TTCAGTATAAGAACTTCAGATTCTGCTTATCTCTCTGTAGTAATATATAAAGCTGAAGAGTTTGTTTGTTTGTTTGAACGGGCTAATCTCGGGAACTAAATAGGTTGGAATTCAAAAATTATTTTTTGTTGGTAACAGCATTTATCGGGGAAGGCTATTTTATAGCCTATTATTATTGTATATTCTGTAAAACATTGCGCTATGAATAACAGGAGCGAGGAAACAACGGGAAATGTAGAAAAAAAAATGACAATTATTTACCTCAGTGACTTTCGACGACTTGACGACGTTTCAAGATACCCAAAAAATATGTATGTAAGAATGATTCCTCCTTAAATGGTCTAAAAAAATGTGCGCAATAGTATGTCTATCTTTGAAGCTATAATATATAAAGATGCGGAAGAGGTTTGCGAAAACAAAATTTTGCGCCCCAAAATAACTACGCGGACGAAGTCGCTGACACAGCTAGTTAATAAATCTGCTAATACTAGTAATGAGTACCTTATATAGAAAATACGAAATGGTAATGTTAGGAAAATCATATTAGTATCTATAAAGTACCGATACTTTGGTGGAGACATGTTCAGAAGTAGGAATACCGAACGGCTGAGACAAAACTGAAATTATTTATAAACCTGTAAAAAAAATTGTTATAATTTTATTGTATGGATCATTGTGAGTTGGACACACATATAGATGTAATTTTACGTCTATTTCACTTAATATTAATTAAGTTAATATTGATTAAATAAGACTTGCACTTGACTTTGCTTTGATCCCGGCCGAATACGTTTAACCACTGAGTCGGTGTGATTTAAGTGAAAACAGTATATATTCTATGTACGAAAGTTGTAAGAAGTCACAAAAAGTCTGCCCATTATAACCATCCCTTTACGTCACACAAAGGGAAAGCAAAATATTATGCTCGTAAAAAGGTGTTTCTATTGTACATTATTTATGATTTCCATTTAGGATTCTCCTTGTTTTTCGAAGTTCCTCTTTTCAGGCTTTATAACATGTACTATGTGTAACAAAAATGGTTATTAGGATTCATTAACATATACGTATTCTATGAATTTAAATTCGTATTATATATAACTGAAGTTTAACTATAATGTAATTTACATAGTATTCGTAAGAGAAAAGTGCGATATTTCGCTATAACGCGTTACGTAACGGAGTTGTTTACCTTCCCGTAATACAAAATAACAACAAGGCTAAATCTCTTAAGCCTTAGTTTTAACTAACTTAGTTTTTTTTTTGGTTTAATCACAATTAAATGTATAACGATGACAAGATACGCTGGTGATGTAAAAAAATATGCTGTTGAATGAGAGCTGTTGACTATTTTCAGTATCATAAGAATAATTGTACAGGCGGGACTCGAACACAGGATTAGTCTCTCATCCCCTATTATGTATTTAATATTATTAAATTTAAGAAAGTTCATTAAAAATGTTGATTTAATTCGTTCGTATTCTTCTCTCACAACACTTAAACTTTTGTATTTAACTCATAATTTTACTCCGGACAGAGTGTAAAGAACTTTGCTTAATTTAAATTATAAAGCTTTCGTTTAGATAAACCAGAACACAGTGGACATTTTCATAATAATTTAAAATTTCACTGTGCTAGTGTTAGCTCGTGATTTTTATTTAAGTGTATGCGGTGATAAAATAAATTGTATGTTTGCTCGACAATTTTGAGTGTATCCTTTGAGTTTACAAAAAGCTCACACATTGTTCTCCCGCTAAAAGTTAATTCGGAATCGAAATACCGCTGTCCTTTCATAATATTTAGTTTGAATTATTGAATTCATCGGATGGATACACTCGAGGTTGAAATTGTATTAAATTAATTGTGAATCATTTTTATTCGAACTTTTTCTATTTAATAAAAGCAGTGGTTGAATAAACATGAAAAAATATCCTTCGCTTTGTATTCTACTATGTATAGATTCATTTTAGCTAGCTACATTCATCATTTATTATTTATTTTTATTATTTACTCGTTTTACCTTTAGTGTTTTCTGCAGTTACGTGCGTACACAATAAAATAAAATACCTTAACGGTTTTAAACGCGAAATATATTAGTTTATTTTCCCTTGACCACGACTGTTATATAGCGTTAGAAATCTTGTGTCTTTTAAAAACAAATTGAGTCGCGGTTTCAGCTACAAAGTGTATTCATAAAAATGCTTTTCTGTTCCATATGAAACTTCAAAACAACCAAGTAGAAAAAGCTATAGGCGAGTGTCGACAGAATTATTTCTCTAGTAACACTATTCTTCCTACTTTTAGTTATCGCAATACATTTGATGCCCTGAGAATCAAACCCAAGAACTTCCTTGTCTACCGCATTGCGCCTTACCTAATCGCTTGGACTAAAGCGGTCGTACACATAAATCTAAATCAAACGTTTCTGCATTCTTCTTATTTCGCACTGGCTCTTCACATGTTTTCCACAGCGGTTAAAAACCACAAAAATGTTTTCTAGCTTGGGTTGCCGAAATGAAATGGAAGATATATTTTGCACACTTTTTAACGTTACCGCTGTTATATTATGCCGACCGCATGTGATGCTTGCAGCCTTACCTATTTGCTTTCATTATGTGAAAATATAGAAAGTGATGAATATTTCAAGTAAGTTTTATATATTATATCTTGTAACCACACCATCTTGTAAAACGTTCTGTCTGAAAACTTTATGTTCATGATCCGATTGCCCGAAGTATGTCCTTAGACGTAGCGCAATCAGATCAACAACATAAGCTGTATTGTTCCCACTGCTGGGCCTGAGGTCTAGTGTTCGTAGTTGACATATTATGAATACATACCTACATGTTAGAAACTTTAGTTCTAAGGCAAATCGATTTCACTACCATCTTTTTCTTTTAGAAGAGCTCGTAGAACTATATATAAAAAGTTAAATATTTAAGTACCCTTATTTACACTAAAAAATTATTAGGTAGAATTGAACTTCAGGACTTCCGGACGAAATTCACCTCATACAAGAATAAATAGGACACAGATAGTCAAATATGAACCACAGATAAAGAATTAACAACTTAAATTATACATCTGCTTTAGGATAGTCTGTGGCTTGTATGAGCTAAATTTTAAAAGGAAATACGTAACATAAATTATTGAAAGCAGGCGATAATTTTAAACAGAGGAACGAACGCTAATAACAAAAATAGTAGACGATTGACCTGGAGATAGGCCAAATGTTTGAATGGCCCTGGCGTATTCAGACCACCTGCTATGCATATGTATGCTGATCTCCATATGCATGATACGTGCAGCCATTTAGTTTGAATGATGAAAAAACATTGCTAGGTAAAAAAATACTATAAAATCCCCGCCATTCTCGTGACACAGTTTTCAAATGTTTGCTCTGAAAGATGCGTTGATTCTAAATGGAAATATGATATTGAATTGAAAGCTTTAAATCAGTATTAAAAACTATATTTTTATCACAGAAAGTGCTCTCATTTTACATTACTTATGACTCGTCTCTTCACTATGAAACGCTAATACAATAGTATTGTTTTAAATCAACAAAAGACGGCTTTTAAATGTATAACGTTTTGAAATGCTGTTGATAGAGCTCATATCAATTGTTAGGAATAAAGCAACTATTCAATATCTTCGTGTTTTCGAGTCTTATAAAAAACAATCACTGAAGGAAATGTATTATAATTACACAGCTTAATAAGACAGCTGCAAGTAGTAGTAACATACATTTTTTTTGGTATATTAAGAACTCATTTGACGTTAGTATCATCCTTACTCAATAACATACTATGCATACATTCATTTAATATCAGTTTGATAGTGTAGTAGACACTTCAATTAAGGGAGTATTAAATGATAATAATATATATGTTAATTTTACAGACAATAGTACAGACAAGCATGGGTTTCAAAGGATACCATTTCCAATTTTCCAATCCACTTGTGCACGCAATGTATCATCAGAGTACAGACGTAGCACGTGTCACGCAAGACTGTTTGGCTACTCTCCTGGCCAAGATCGCATCGACCGGCTCCAATGACCCAGTCTGCATCTGTCCTCTGTTATACCGACATACATTTCAACTAAATATTATTTAATACCTTCTAAAACGTAACGCAATACGCGAGAACGTAATGTGACAGTTGAGGATTTCTTCGCTTCTATTATCCGTAAAATCGCGCCGTAAAGATGCAGGGCAAGTATCGTTTTACTTTAAACTTCGAGTTTTCCGAGTTACGGAACCCCTATTTGCTTGAATGCGAACTTTGAACTTTTCCGTTACAGGATTCCAACTTGTAGTCGTAGTAGTTTTGACGTTTTCTGAACAAAGCGAGGGCGCATTCCGTAATTATATACTTCTCAAGCAACCTATCAATATTGGTGAGAACCACTTTTTTTAACTTACGAGTATACATGTCGCATAAGATTAAACAGCAGACTGTTTTTAATAGGTACCAGTTTCCCCCAAAATACTAACTAACTATTCTGTGTATCTATTCTCTCGTGCGTAACGCATTCCAGCGCGTTTTAAAGGCTCAGTTTGAAACATCCCTTTGTGTATTATATTTTTAAATTGTCAAACATGGATTAAATAAAAATTAAATAGGGATGAATGATGCCTATCATGCATGCATATTTAATTTTCACACAATTTTCGATAAATAACTATAAAATAATTTAAGTTCAATAATACCTTAATTTATATACCAATACCTTACATGGGTAGATTTGTACCAAGTTTAACTTTTAAAACTATTCTACGAAAATAATTATTTAAAACTATAATTCGTCTTAGTAAATTATTAAATTTTAATAATAAATTAAGTCGTATTAATAGCACAGTACTATCATTATGTACAAAATAACGGATATATAATTATCTGTTGAAGGTGTTATTCTACCCCCCAATACTGTCACAGAGGTGGCGTTTGCATCTGCCTTAGCACGTGCATCAATAGACAGTAAAAAGTATAATTTTATTATGAACACACGATATATTACATATGGGGATAGTTACGCAGCTTCGAAAGCAGGTATGTATACTTTTTGTAAAGTTTATATCATAAGAAACTGCTTATTTTTTTTTAATACGTGTAAATTCCGGTTCTCCTCTTGGGCCATGGGGCGAACACATTCCTGTGTCCGGTTCACTGATTGGTTTTGTTTCCAAGCTTGTATACACAGCAATTATTTATAGAAATAAAATAATAAGTTAAACGTAATAAACAACAGCTAAGTATCAACGCTTCAATCAATCAAGTTTAGAAATAGGTCCGTTGTTTTCCCGGGGTCTCAACCTAGGACCTCTCTCACTTAAAGGAAGACAGGGCCATACGTCTATCTTTTAGTTATTAAAGCACTTTTTGTTTGTATGAAAAGTAAACGTAAGTATTCAGTCGTATTGTTAACTACAGTCTACTTTTCTAGTTTTGTATTTTCGGCTTTCCATTCCAGCGTGTGATCTCCTAGCTGTTGGTGTGATTGCAATCTACGGGCCCACTGATCCAAACTCGGCAGATGCAGTGCAGGCCCATTGTCGAGCAGCGGGCGTCCCACACATACAAGTTAGCTTTTGTCCTAACTTCCAATAGCTCTTGTAGTTCCCATTTGATCTGTTTGCGTGGCTTTCGGATTGCACTTCGACAGCTATTCTACTAAATCAACTAGTCTTTATTGTCAGAGAGATTTTATTTATTTATTTATATTTATTTTTATTACTATTATACGTTATATAAGTTATAATTTGATATGTTTAATGATTCGTTAGAAAATAATGCTTCGAAGGTTTTTAATGTTTATCGCCGTTTGTTGTTTTATGGTACAAAATTTCTTTGAGCTTTATCCCATTTCATACAATTTATCTTGTATCTACCAAAGTAAAATAAATTACTAATAAACATATTACAGACATTAACAGTGTTCTGAAATCAGGAAAATATTAGCTAAATGTTAAATTCGACCCGATAATTCGATTCGAAACAAAATCAATGTCTAAAAATTTACCCATTTAGATCATCCCCGTAAAAGGTTACGTCAAGCAAAGGAAGAATAAGACAAAAACATTTGTACGGGCACAAAACACAATTACAAAGAGTTAGAGCGCATATATTGCTATTTTCGTCCCATTCGGTTTTTTGCTGAAAAATAAAAAGCTATTGGTTAGAGAACTTGCCAAACTCGTTTAGGTCGTGTAATAAGAATTTGGCATAGAAACTCGCGCCCGGCAAGGTTAGTACCATTTAAGAATTAATACAAGGCTTTTTGTGCATAACAAGTATACATTTTAAATTTTTATACTATGGCTATTATTTCTAATTAGCCTATTATCTAGTAAATCTTAGAGCCTGAAGCGTTTTTCAGCTTATAAAATTACGAAAATGTACAGACTGAACGCGGTAATTCCATCTGGGGACGGTAGTTGTGTGTGATGTGATTATTTAGATACATACCAGTACAGGACAGTAAATGGCAGGATTAATTAATATAAATAATAAAAATTAAAAAAAATATATTACAAGTACACACAAGTACATCTAGAATAAAAAGCATAGGGTTAGCCTATTTGCTTCACAAACCAAGCACGAAGAGTCTATAAATAATTTTAACATATTCTGAACGTATTTTCAGGCAACTTGGCGACCTCCACCATTAAGAGATCTAGAAATTCCCTCTCCACCAGGCATCAATTTATATCCAGAAGCCGTTGCCTTGTCAGAGGCAGTGGCAGTTTTCATAAAAGACAACGATTGGAATACTTATACATTACTGTATGATGATGATGAGGGTAAAATAACAGTCTCAAATTATTTACGCAATAAACAAATACGTAATAAACAAACGATGTGCCGTCGACTTTTTTTGGCTTTGAATATAGGGAAATCTACACACTGAAATTTCACGGCTTTTTTCATCTGTGGACGGTGATTCGTGGCCCGTACGGAATTTGTACACAGTATTAACTAACTACGATGTCTCAACTCTAAGCTCTGCCAAAATCTTGTTACATCTAATCTAGATTAAACATTGTTTCAGGTTTAATTCGATTACAGGAAATTCTCAAATACGCAGACCCTAATGACAACTGGTTAGTGAGACGACTAAAGTCTGGTAAAGACAATAGACAGTTGTTGAAATCCCTTAAAGTAGCTAGACACACTAGGGTTATCCTGGATTGTCCCTCTGACAGAATACTTGAATATCTGCGACAAGCGCACGACGTTAAATTCTTTGAAGACTATATGGTAAGAATGTACATTATTATTATATTAGATGTAAAAGAAAAGTATAAAATAGGATCTGCGGTGGTAGTTTCTAGAATCCGAATCTAAATAAATCATATAGTTAAAACTGATTATGAAACAGACACAAAATTGTTTCTGTCTATGATCACGTAGTAGAAACGAGCTCTTGTTTCGAATATGATACAAGAAAACAACGTTTTTAAAGATACACTTTTTTATTTTTTACGGCAAGGATTATCACAGCTATATTAAATTGTGTATTTATAAAAAAGGATGTGTGAAATTAAATTTAAATTTTATTTGAAGAACAGCATACAGCAGATTTATAAACTGTTGTAAAACGTGCTATAATAACAACATTTAAAGAAGCACATAACATTTATTATTTACAGAGGTTAACGAGATAACTCAATGAACGATAATATAAAACAGATAGATTTTTAATTTAAATATAATATATATATTTTTTAATTGTAACAGTATTTATTGCCAGACTAAGTATGTACAAACATATTTATTACAGAGCTACGTCCTAATGTCCCTAGACGCGCATACTTTGGATTTGCAAGAGCTAAGATACGGCTTATCAAACGTAACATGCTTAAGAATATTCGACCATGCAGACTCAAGAACTACAGCATATCATGCTGACTGGAAGGCAAGAGCCACGTCCGACATTAAAATTCCGAGGATGACTCACGAAATAACGGTAGACTGATCTCAAGAGATATCGGATACCATTAACTAATTAATATTGTGCCGAGAATTTGTAACTGCAATTAATAATTTATTAAGGGATGATAATTTACAGGTAGAAGCAGCCTTGGCTAGCGACGCTGCTAATCTCTTAACTAATTCAGTGGAGACCGTGCCTAAAGATTTCAAAATTGAGCCCGAATCTATTGAGTGTAAATCTGACGCGAAGTGGGAATCTGGAAATATTTTTACAGAACATATTTTAACGGTATGGTATATAGATTATCGTATAATTTTCTACTGAAGGTATGGATTTTAGCATTTTGTCATTAAGTTTGTTTATTATATGAAAACAAAAGAAAGAGTATTCGATTCGTAAAGTCTATATACATTTTATTCCTGGATTAAATATGGTGAAATTCCGTTTCCCTTACATAAGCACATATTCTCATGTTTCACTAATTTCATCTTAAATGAATTGCTATACCTTTCGTAACCGAAACCTTATAGTTTTAAATCATATCACTAGGAAACGCTACCATTGAGGCAATCTGAAATTTAGTAAAGTAGAAATTAAATCTGAAAAACTAACTGGCAAAAAAATTACCGAGATTTTCAGTGTTTACCAATACCGTAGTCAATAGAAAAGAAAGGACTTGATTATACAAAGATAGGAAGTATATACGAGTAGAATACACTAGCAGACCTGGCAAATGTTCATTTGCCATCCACGACCATTACCATAAAAACTATTTCTTGTAAATTAATCTTAAAAGATTCAACATATTCTGTTGATAAATCCTTTTAGATTTTGCGAAGAAGAGTTGTCGCAGCGCACGCAACGAAAAAACTTAAGGATGAATAATTTTTTCCGTTTTTTTTTTCATATGTCCCACTGTTTCATACTGATGGTAGTGTTTTTAGTGTAAGCTTTCCTCGATAAATCTTCTAACCCCAAAAGAATAACGCACAAAGAATGTTTCAATTCGAATCAGTAGAGATTAGCGCGTTTAAACAAACAGACAGAGTCTTCAGCTTTATAATATTAGTATAGATTTGTCTAGGCGAAACTGTAACAAGAATGGTCACTTCATCAGAATGTTGTGCGTCCCTCGACTACACATAAACTGAGCCTTATACAATTTGTTACTACGTGCTTTAAGATTTTTCATTTTTCAAATGAAACGTGCATGAACAATTTTAAAGTTTCCAAACAAATAAAGCAGGTCTTCGTATACATTATTCCTGTATAATTCAAGTTTATGCGAGTTCCACAGCTTTGTATTATGCACCGTATTTCCTACCGTAAAAGCTACTCGTGTTGACGGTTTTAGCTGTCCTGTGGGACGTTTTCGCGGATATTGTAAAAATAAACTCACAACTATAAAGCGAAAAATCAGGATTAACATCAATTTATTCTAGGGAATACATACTTTGTACAGACACGCAACCAATATACCGTTTTTTTATTTACACTTTAGAACATGTATGAGTTACGTATTATTTGTAGTTCACTTAAGAAGTACACAATTTAATAAAAGTTGAAAAATTATTAAAGTACGGGGCTTGCGAGTTATATATAAATTCGAATCTTGTGCAAATTATTTTTTTGATTACTTTTTTGACTGTATATACAATTGATCAGTAAAATGAACTCAACTTATTTAACAATCTATTTCATTTATCTACGACCTGACAAAAATGAAAAAACAAATTTGTACATCACATACATATTTAGAGCTACCAACATATATGTAGTTATATTATACATCATTTTCTTCCCCCACAGAGCTCTCATTAATTTCCACATTTCAGAACCCAATAACGGGGATTACTGGAAATATTTTACTGGACAACTCAACTGGTGAGCGGAAGAACTTTAACGTGGAAATAATGGAATTGTCTAACAGTGGATTCAATAGTATAGCTAAATGGAACGCCGATACTGGATTTGACTACGTGCGAACTGCTACGGACGTATCCGACCTTCTCGCTGAAAAATGGCAGAATAAAACTTTTCGTGTGGCATCACGGATCGGAGCGCCTTATCTAGTGGAAAGAGTCCCGAAAGAGGGGGAAGTACTCACAGGGAACGACCGCTACGAAGGTTATTCCAAAGACCTGGTAAATGAGATATTGAAAGAGACGTTGCATCTGAACTATGAGATTATAATTGTTCCTGATAATGGATATGGTGCGTATAATAAGGAAACGAAGAAATGGGACGGTCTTATTGGATATTTGATAGACAGGGTGTGTATAATATTATACTGGTCCAACATTCTATCGAATTTCATAATCTGTACACAGATTATTGATACATTCATAATTTGTTAAAGGACATTTACTAAGTCTCATACAATATTATAAGTTTGATATCTGGCAATTTTTACATAATATATTCATAATTTTGTGGAAGTTTCGGATTCATAGCTTTATTGTAAATAAAATATTACAGTAAAAAAGGTAATAATAGTAAAATAATAAAAGAAAATTACAAACTATACTAAATATATCTCGATTAATTGATTTTACAACGATTGTCTAAAGTTTATATCGTATGTGTATATATGCGCTTGTGAGAAGTTTTGAGTTAGTTAAGTGTAACTTTTATCTAATTAACTGACTCAGATTGTAATGTATCATTTTACGTTACACTTATAAATCAATTGCTAATTTTATTGAGTCTCCGCTCAAGACGCGTTTTGACACATTACGAGAAACGTGATTTTTTTTCTATTAAAACTGCTTCATTAAATACTGCCTGTAGTTTACGCGAGTAGTACACATTTAAATACAACACTTTTACGATTAGAACCACGATGTATATTAGTAAGAAAATTATTTTAACTAGAGCTCGACGTTTCGGATGCTTTGAAGCAGCCAAGGTCACCGGGAGATTAAAGGTGGCGGGTGTCTCTAATGTCAAAGCGAACTTTATGTTTTATTTAAATGGAGGTGGTTTGTTTGCAGTTTTATTTACATAGTTTTCATTTAAATCAACGTTTCAGAAAGCAGACTTAGCGATTTGTGATCTCACCATAACTTATGAGAGGAGATCAGCCGTGGACTTTACTACGCCATTCATGACTTTAGGGATAAGTATTTTGTATATGAAACCCACGCCGCCGGAACCGGAGCTATTCTCATTCCTAAAGCCTTTCTCGGTTGACGTTTGGATATACATGGCCGCGGCCTTTTTGCTGGTATCTTTATTGCTCCATATTTTAGCTAGGTTTGTATACATTTTACTTGTAATTTAATCATATTGTAGGATTAATGTTACGTTATAAAAATACCATTGTATAGAAAATCACAACAAAAATCATCTTATATGAGGCTGCTAGAGAAAGAGTGGCCTAATAACAAAACATGATTTTCAATAAGGAAGAAAATAAACATGCGCATTTAACTTAGGCGAAAATTAATCTGTCTTATTTTTTGTGTTTAAGAATTATGTTAACTATTTTCGGTCACTGTGCTCTTGTAGATTAATATTTTTAGACTATAAAAATATAAATAAATCTTAAGTATAATAATTGCAGTTAGGCCACTCTGCCTCTGGCAGCCTCATATAAGTGTATACGGCTTTTGATTTTATTCCTACGTGTGTTTGTCTGAAACGTAATGTACCCAAAACATGACATGGATCCTATAAGCCCCTGATTCTGTTCCACAGGTTAATTTTTTATATATCCATGTAGTTGCCTTGTTTCTTTATTACGTAATGAATAAATACATCATCGACCTGGTTTCCTCGTAAATTAAGATATTCCAGCAGCGCTTAAACTTGGCACGCTCAAATGACTCGCAGGCTCGCGCCAAACGATTGGGAGAATCCTCACCCATGCGATAAGTCACCGGAGGAATTGGAAAATATTTGGCATATCAAGAATTCTTGCTGGCTCACCGTGGGATCGATTATGACACAAGGATCTGATATATTACCCAAGTAATCATGCATAATGTTTTCACTCGTTTATCATGTTTTAAACTGTGCTTGTGAACAGTAGTGACACCTAACATTTTTTGTGCTCCTAAAATACACCCTACGTTATAATGAACATATAGCGTCAATCGTGGGCTAATCATATATAGTGAGTCTGTCCATGATACACATAACATAACATATGGTGATCGATATGTTATTATTTTTATTAACTAAATATGTGTTATTAGTTAGTATCTGTTATTTAGATTTCAAGTGTAGGTTTTTTATACTTTAATGGCATCTTACTTTAATGCAATCACGCATTCCCCAATTACTTTTAATAGTGCACACTTTTATTAGTAATATTATTATTAATATTTTAATATTTGTACAAAAATACTTATCCAGGATAAAAAGTACTTCTTTCTCTCTTTGAAAATCTGTTTGAAAACAACAAAAGTCAAAAGAAGCATTCTTAAAACCTTACAAGCACTTTTGTATTGTTATTCCCTTATTATGCCCATCTTACTTGCCATATTTAAGTAGATAGATAAATCAAATGAAACATTTTGAACGGTTTAAAACATGCTTTTTCTACTTTTTAAAGGTAAATTAAACTGTTAAAAGTATATTGTTTGACTTAACTAAACATTTTCTGTACGGTAATGCTTGATAGAGCGCGTTTATAACATGGTGTTAGATACATTTATCAGTAGAAATAAGAGATGTGATTTTAAATCACATACAAATGGTATTTATTTTACAGAGGGTACTCAACTCGTTGGGTTTGCGGTATGTGGTGGTTCTTCGCTCTCATTATGTGTTCTTCGTACACAGCCAATTTAGCTGCCTTTTTAACTAACGCGGCAATGGATGATTCAATCAAAAGCGCTGAAGACTTGGCTATGCAGACCAAGATAAAATTCGGAACTGTAGGAGGTGGTTCTACATACTTCTTTTTCAAGGTATTTTTCTGATCCTGTAAAAGAACCGATCAGTAAAACTAATACACAAGTATGTTCGCCCCACGCCCATGCTGTATGCCCCATGTCTGATGCCCCATGCCTCATGCCCCATGCCTGATGCCTCATGCCCTGTGCTCCATGCATTGATGCATTGAAATAGGAATCTTAAATACACACAAATTTTATTTTTAAGCGGTCGAACGTGTCCACGTACCAACGGATGTGGACAGCAATGGAATCAGCCCGGCCACCAGTTTTCGTAAAGAACAATGATGAGGGTGTCGAAAGGGTGTTCAAGGGCAAGAGGCAGTATGCGTTTCTAATGGAGTCAACTGCTATAGAATACCAACTGGAGAGAGGTTGTGATTTCGTACAAGTCGGAGGGTTGCTTGATTCTAAGGGTTATGGAATTGCTATGCCTTTTTGTAAGTACCTGAATGGAATTATATCAATTTCTTACTACGTATTTTCCATTAAATTTTCAATTATTTTTCCAGTTTCTTCATATCGTACTGCTGTAGATAACGCGGTACTCAAATTAGCAGAGAGTGGCAAATTGGTAGAGCTGAAAAATCGCTGGTGGAAATTACCAGAAAATGCTACGAAGAAGTGTGTTGTAAGTATATTTTATTAAAACTTTAGAAAATGATTTAAGGAATAATGAAGGAGTGATAAAAATATTTGAAAATATGTAATAGAGATAATGTTTACAAAAGCACAAAAAAGAGGATTAGATACCTAAAATACATTTTCTCAAACATGTTTGTAATTTAGAACATGATTTTGATAATTTTCCTGGCGGGAAATTGAAGCTGCTATAATTACTGGTTGAAAATCCACATCTGTCGTGTTTGGCGGCTAAATCAATTACTATGTTAAATCATATTTGTCGTGCACTTCAAAAATGGAACGATCTTCCACTCCACAACATGGCGACCAAAGAGGTTACTTATCAAAGGTTAAATTTAAATTTCGAACTGGCTTGCAGATAGAAAGCTGTTTAGTGAAAAAAAACATTGGCGCGTAAAAAAAGTACTTATTACACAAATGTATATGTAAATCTTTATCTTTTTGCAGCAACAAGAAGTGGCAGAGGAAGGAACTAGTGCTGCCGAACTGGGAGTGGATAATGTTGGTGGCGTATTTGTCGTGTTAGGTATCGGCTGCGGCATGGCAGCTGGAATGGGGGCGTTGGAGTTTCTCTGGCACGTGAAAGATGTAGCTATTGAACAGAAGGTTCGTATTAGTTACTATTATAATATTTGTAACCTCATTCGTTTAGCAACTTCTATATAGGGCGAATGCTAGACCTTATAGTGATAAAACTAACAATTAAGAAGGTATTGATTTATTATTTTCTAATCTAGTCAAGATCAGTTTTATAACCAAGTATCTATATACTAGTATACACAAATCATTATTAAACATTTGTACTGCAAGATTAATTAAGAGTCGTACAATGAAACATGGCGGGAAAAAGAATGGAGACGGGCTTCTTGTAAGTTCTTATCGTTCGTCCTATGCTCTTTTTAATACTTTAAGAAGTTACTTAGAACTTAAATCAAAATTTTGTCATATCTCATTTAAATTGAACTCACATTTATTATTTACTTAGCTTAACTATATTTTTAAGTATAGAAGTTTGATTAAAAAGTATTTTATACAACAGCGTGGCCATCTCGATTTTTCATATTTCACGAGTACAAGATATCGATAAATATCGAAATCAAAAGCAGATATTTTGTATTTCATTACGTGCGGCTCTTTGGGAGAAATATAAAATATTCCTGATGTATTCGCCATGATGGAATTGATACGTGAAATTAATTAATTTTTCAGATATTTTGTGTTATTATTTTGTCATAATATCATTTATAAGACCGAGCTACATACCACGTTTATTATCTATACTTAAAGCTAAAGAGTTTTTTTTATTTGAACGCACTAAGATTAGGTACTATAACTACTGGTTTGAATTGAAAAATTACTTTTGTTATAAAACATCGAAATGCGACTTATAGGATCGAAGAAAACGGTTCTAGATACCCAAAAAATATGTATTCAAGAATGATCCTCTTTAAATGGTCTAAGAAAATGTCCCCAACAGTATATGTCTATCACGAACGAATTGTAAAGATGTAAAGGAGGTTCGCAAAAACAAATGTTCATGCAAAAAATAATTCTACGCGGATTAAGCTAGTTTGTTATATATTGTGCGTATGGTAGTTAGTTATCACGCACGAGACCTAGCTTTGGATACGAGAAAACATCATATACATATCATTACTTTGAACACACGTTGTACAGATTTTTTGACCTCTCCAGATGTCACAGATGGATGCATTCTGGGCTGAGTTATCATTTGCTCTAAGTTTTTGGGAAACAGAAAAACCGGTGGAACATTCGCGACCATCATCCTCCGCGTCAGGTGACATGGCCTCAAGAGCGTCTTCGGTTTTGCGTTCGGCGGTGGACTTATTTAATATGGATGTATTTAAAAAGGATTCACGATAAAAAGTCAATAAAAAAAATAACAATGTAATAAAAATAGAATATATTGTTTTATTACGTTAATATATGAAGTTAAATTTTGATCAATTACATACTGTAAAAATATAGTATACTTACTACTATACTACTTCTACTAAATATTTTACATTTTAAATAATTTTATAGTTATTATCGAGAATAAAACTGTCAAAGTTATTTCGCAGTTTATATCATTCGCTAACTCCAATACGTATCCTTTTACACCAATAAAAGCCCGATAAAATTGTATTTTCTCATTGTAGAATCGACAATATTTATAGATACAAAACTCCAATAACAAGATATAATGCTTACCGCTTCATAACACTTAATGTTTCAAGGTTGTAAAGTAGATAAAAGATTTCCTTTTTAAAATGTAATATTGCATAGCATACAGCTAAGTATAGAATACATGTAGCACAGCTATTATTATTAACTGTTATCTATATCAATAAATCTATTTCTATACTAATATTACAAAGCTGCAGAGTTTAAATTGTTTGAATAATAATCTCAGAAACTACTGGCACAGCTAGTAATTTGTGATGCGAACTAGGTTTGAAAAACTAAATTTTGAAGCCCAAAATTACTATACTGTGCGAACAAAGTCGCTGGCACAGGTAGTAAAAAAATAAAATCTATTTACAAATTTCTGAAGTAAAAGTTAGTATATTTCATCGAAATTAATGAAAGAAGTTGCAGCCCGTAACACAGAGACCGCTCGTGACTGCGAGCGTTCTCTGAGCGGAGAGGGCGTAGCGGTGGACGGAGCAGCGGAGCGGGGCGGCGCAGTAGGCTTGTGCAGCTGCCGCGGATTCAATGACACCCGCCATTCGCTTATCAGTGCCTCTTTATACGTCACCTAAAAAAATGCAATTATTTATAAGTATTATAAGTTACCATATAAATTATTACTAGTGTAGACAAAAACAAATGTCATTTAAAAAAATAGTGTTGCTCTAAGCTCAAGGAAATTTAAGATAAAATAAGTAAAGATTTAAAAAAAGACGATATTGGATCAGCTAACAAGCAGGATCAATAATGATTAAATCATTAATATGGCTATAAAAATTTGGGTTGGTGATAAAAGGTAAAAAAATTAATTCTTTTGTATCTTTCAATGCCACACTATAGAAAAATTAAAACATTTTTTTTTTTATAAAAAACATTGTTAATGTTTGTTCAACATTAAAATATTTTTTAACACTTAGGAGTATGAAAATACTAGTAGCCGATTTTCAGACCTACTGAATATGCATTTCAAATTTGGTGAAAAATGCCGATTCGGAGGGGTAATAAGGGTATATCACTTTCAAGCTGCATCTAAAACTGTCCCGCCTTGGGATGCAGAAGTCCAACTCGGTTTTATAATATAAGTGTATAATTGTGTGTGCGTTTTACTATCAATATCAGACTTATAAAAACGTCACTCTTCTCCTACCTGTATTAAACCAACGCTGTTTAGTGTGAGATGCTGAGATCCAGCAACACAGCTGAGACTGGTACTGATTGTCATTCTTATCTTTTTTATTATTTATCTATTATTTGTTTGAAGCAATTTAGTGGTCATAAGTTTATACTTTAAGTGTGTTTAGAAGGGCAACAAAACGTTTGTAATTTTAATTTAAACGTTGCCGTTTAAAACTCACGGTTATAAATCATTTCTTTCCTGGCAATAAAACCCTTTTGTCCTTCGCTTTTGCCCCTTTTGCCGAAGTGACAACAGACTAAAGATTGACAAGACAATTTTCGATAGTTTTCGGATTCCTTTTATGGACTGAAATGTCATTAGTTTTCGGTCGATTTAATAATATATGTATCTACCACAAGTAAAATTATATAATGTTACCATTAAATTATGCTAAATACGTATTAACTAGCAAATCTGAGATTAAAACGTATGTTTTTCATAACTATTACAACGGAAAAGCAGCGCAAGGATGCAGCAAAACACTTAGGCCATAATTTTTAAAAGGAAAACTGGGTTCCGCGGATGGAAATTTGCCAAGGAAATGTATTATTTAAATATCTGTGTTGTGCAAGTTTGTGGGCCTGTTTAATTACCTCAGTTTATTAATAATTCAAAGCTCGCCGTGAGAAACTATCTACGTAAAGTGCCCCTCCTTAATTGTAGCGTTTGTAACTTGAACTCATTTGTAGTATTTGCATTTGGTTAATGTAAGTTCGCTTAACATTTAAGCCACTTATATAGAAAATTAAATACACGTAACTCATTAAATTAACAATTGTAGTGTCTACTGTTAAATATATATTCTCGTAATTAGTGAGTTTTATGTTAATTGTATTCTGCTTACGCTTTAAAATTATCAGTTTGACAGTTTATTGTTTAATATTTTAAGTAATCATTGTTCTATAAATGATCGAAGTAAAACATGGGGTACTAATATAACTCTAAATTGATTGTTTTATTAAATAAACAAATTTTTATTTGCATCTAACTAGTGGGGCCATCTGTTGTCTATTTTTGTTATCTTGTAAGAATTCGTGTAAAAACATTTGTAGTTACACAAAATTAAATATATTAATAATTTAGAATATTAAGCTATATTTTAAGATTAAATATAGTCATTTAAATAATTTGTTTCAAATGAAGTTGCAATTGTGATATAAAGGTATTGCGACCAAAGACAACGCTAATAACATACCTTCTCTTTAACACATATTTTCCGAGCGTGTAGCAAGAAATCGATAATTGCCACAAACAATCCAATTACTCCACCGATCGCGAGAACCAGAAATATTCCGCTTGTATTCTTCATCTGTAGTGAACCGCTGTCGCTATCATCCGATTCGGTGTTTTTCTAAAAAATTTAATCGGGTCCTTTAACCAAGTGCACAAATGTGTTTAAGTTTTGTAATGTTTTTTTAACATGGGACACCTGACTGTTTTCAATTATGATAATTTGCATATATTTAAATAATATCAACTACTTTCTGCCAATTAAATAGTCGTCAAAATTAGCCCAATAGTTTCACAGACTAATTGTAATTTTCAAATAAGTTTAATCAATATATCGCGTTTTAAACCGTTAAAGTGTTTTATTTAATTTTTTTTTTAATTGTAACACTCAAACGAACAAGCATTTTCTGTCCGTTTGAATTTACAAACGAATACTGTACTTCTTTTTATTTGTGTAGATGGTGAAGTTATACTGACTGCACGCAGCATTTTCTAAATATATACATTATACGAAATATGTATTAAAAACTCCAAAAATCCGTAATCAAACACAAAACCGTCTGGGGGCTAATCGACTCTCGTTTATTAAGAATTTGACTTAATCCAGCCTATCCAGAATTACCAAAAATTTACATACGTTGAATTCGTTGCTTGTTTTTTTTATTTTCTGATCTTTAATAACTATGGGAATATTATATATTTATAATAATAAAGTAATTTTGATTTTTTTTTATCTCTCATAATTTGCGATTTATATTGTAAAAAAATCTATAGCACTTAATAATTAAGTTTAAAACAAAAAATACATTACATCACATTCGGAATCGTTGTCCTCTTCTACCCACCACTTCTTCTTAAGAGCTAAAAGCTGTCCCGACTCTTGCAAAGCCAGTATTGCGCTATCTATCAAACTTTTATAAGGGGAGTCTGAAAGAAATTGTAGTTTATATTATGTTTGTTTAATTGTAATTACATCCAAATACTTGCCACAAATGCTGTTATCACTTAAAGAGAACATTTATATATTAGTTGGAGGAGACTAGACTACGCTCCATCATTATATATTACATGTTTAGGAACTTATGGGTATTGCTTTGGCGCGACGGACGTTAACAGAAGAATCGTAAGAACGGAAGAATCAACAAGAAGTATAAACGTAATAAGCCTGTTTGTGCTGGAAACAAATTAATTCAATTAATAAGCGTATATTGAGATACTAATTTTAATCTAAAATATAATAAATATTTATGTATATAATATATTGAGCTTAATATGTATGAATTACTGTTATTAAAAGCTATAATTTCTGTCTATGTACGGAACTTATGTAATGTCTTCATTATTTTTTTTTAAATACTTTTCCATACATTTTAGCTTTACTAATGTCACTCGAAGAAAGGTAGAAATGTTCTAGATTACAAAGGTTTTCTTACATTTCGGCATAGCAATTCCATAATCCTTCGAGTCTAACTTGTTTCCAACCATCTTGAGGTCGCAATATCTTTGCATGTAATATTCTATAGCAGTGGATTCCATGAAGAAAGCGTATTTTCCCTTACTCCTCAACACCCGAAGAAGACCTTCTTCGTTGGAGTGAGTAAACACAGTTGGCTTCGAAGCTAGCATCGTTGACCAAATTTTTTTGTAGACCGTATCATTTGATGACTGTAAAAACAAGTTAGAATGTTTGTTTTATACACATGTTCGTCCTTGCATAACATTAAACTGCAAACTCTTTTAACTAACGAAGCTTTGAAAAGGTTAGATTCCGCATTTTATGTGGGGCAGACAGTTTTATTTTAAATTTACTACAATTTAATTTACAGTCATACACGTTTGTTCCTATTTTCTGGAACAGAACGACACACGTAGCTGATATAAGAATAACATGTTATAAAATATAGTATACCGTGTCCGAAACTGTATGTTTTTAAATTTCAAATAAGCAATACCGAAGATTAACTTCCTTCGCTACTTCAAAGTACACAAACACACATCATGTCAAATAAAATAGTTTTCGCCATCAGTTTTAAAGCAAAACTCATCTCCCTTTAAATGGTGGCTATTTACAATTTACTTTGTTCACATAAATCCTTAAAACACAGACATTGCTCTGGAGCTATGAAATATACACGTGATTGTCTCCAGAGTCCGTCAGGGAGCCAATTCTGCTATTTACAATGGTGGCCGGGACTGACGTGACGGCTTAAGATGCTGTCTTCGTCACGACCTTCACATTCCAATTCTTTTACTTCCAAAATAGCAATTTGACCCAGTGATCCTGTCTAGAGTACAAATATCTCAACGCTATTAAACGAAAGTCCAGTCAAGTTTATCTTTAAAATAGAGGTGAAGTTACATTAATTCCCATGGAGCTAAAAATTGGTACGAATTTTCCGAATACATTAATACAAAAATAACATTTCAACCTCTATATCAAGGAAATGGCAATACTAACAATAAAAAAAAGTGTGATAATTTTTTATAGAGAATCGGATGACCTACAATTTTAGTCCAAACTAAATATGTTTGCAGTAAGCCACCGTTTAGCTGAAAAACGTGAAAAACATATTTTTGCAAGCTTTCACCATCAATAAAATACAGGGGGGAGCCGATGGTGACTTTTCACAAATCACTTACATATTTGGAAGAATTATACGATATTTTAGCTCTATGGAAATAACTATAAGCTTCAAATTCTAATTTGGTAGACTATGAATGTCCTTTGCTACTTAGTATTCTCCTAACGCCTTATCATACTCACGACAATGATCTCTTACAAGCAATTGAGTTTTAGTAGAAAACCGTTTATTTTATTGGTGTCTCGATAGTCTCTCGATAGAATCTCACTTGTTCGTGAAATAGCGGAATTGAGTCCTTGGATCCTCTCTTTTCATTTGTTACGAAGTCATTAGGGCTGTCGAGACAATCCTTCATAGCACTTGCATTATCTCTGCACTAATTGCTTACGTTGGCTTTGTTCTACTTCGGGGCTGGAGGAGAGTTTCGGGGTCGAAATTCGTTTAGCCGTCTTGGACTTATTTGTTATCCAAGTTCATTTAAACATTCAAAACTTGATAAGGTGAATTTTCATTTCAAAAGATTGGTTACTATTGGTTTATTAGTAATGAATCAAAACTAGCGTTAAATATTTTATATTAAGCGGCGATAGAATGGTGTTAGATAAAATTTTAGTCCAATATACGATATGGAAGAGCTGGTAACCCTAAAATATGTATTATTCACGTAAAAGGGTTTCCAAATCAAAACTAGATTGATGTAAATGCCTGGATAAATATTTTTATTTTTATCTTACCATAGATAATTTTCTGTGAAATTGCCTTTACCGTAACCGTTGTGTTCGTTCAATTGTATTTTTTTTTTGATGTTAAATGAGTGAAAGTCATTTATTATGCAGTCTTATAAACTACTACTCGCGTAAACTAAAAACAATATGTAAATATTGTTTGTAGTTTAGGCGAGTAGTAGATCTTCAAATAAAATACTAACGATTTAAAACGCGAAATAAACGACTCCTGCAAATCATCCAAAACGTTAAGCCGTAGTTTAAATAATTTGTAAATAACTTTAACTAAATATATTTCGCATTTTGAACTGTAAAAGGCTTGCCTTGCCTTCTTCTCATGAAAATACAGTGGCTTAGATAAGACGAAAATAAAAAACCTTCTTTGTGGAATAATGGAAACACCTACGGCATAAACTCAATAACTTGGCTATCTCACCTCAAAGAATTTGTAAGTAGAAGCGTTTGTTACGGCGCCGTACGAGATTTTATTCTGCTCGGCGAGATCTTTAACTTCGGTTATCTCCGTGCTGCGTCTATTGTTTCTCAGGAACGTAGACATATTGGCGGTGTAAGAGGCGGTAACGATTAAAGCGAAGAACCACCACATACCAGTCACCCAGCGAGACCCGAACGCTCTGATTTATAGAAAATGTGTTAGTGATTTCGTTAGAAAACTTCAACAACATTTAAGAATTCTTCAAACTGCAACGAGTCTTTTTTATAAAAGAGGAAGACATGGGGTGAAAGTTTAAATGCCCCAGCCATATAAGATGTGCTGTCGACCCTTTTTTGTCTTTGGATATTCGGAGATCCACAGACTGCAAGCGAAACGCTATTAAATTTCACGGGTTTTTTCATCTGTGCACGGTATTTCGTGACCCAGACGGAATTTCGATATTCCAACCAGCCATTTAATATTCAGATTTTCAGACAAAATCTATATGTTTCATATAATATAAGATATCACGTGCTCTTTCAATAAAAAGTGGAAAGCTAGAAGAAACAAAAAAAAATCTTTGACTGAAAACTAGTATTGTCTGTTTACGCGAGTAGTACATCTTAACAAAACATTGTTATATTGTTATTGTTATTGACGCTTTAAAACGTCAGTATATTTGCTAAATTATATTTATTTTATCTACAACCCGACATTTTCGCGACTGCTGCAAAGCATAAGAATCGTCAGGTCATGGTTAAATATGAAGTAATAAACTGTTAAAACTGTTTTATTTAAATAGAATCTCGATTGTGAAGCAAAATTCATCGATAATATTAAGATCGTTCTAAGTATATTACATATGTATATAATAAGAGATTTTTGTAAATAATACGTAACTACATACAATATACATAGTAGATGTATCCCCAGCTTGTCTTTCGCAGCCTTTGTATAGAGTGATTTATTATTATTGTTTTGTTAGTTAATTATTTCCTAAACACATCAAATATATAACAAATCAACGTAGCTCCCAGAGCATCTTGAGCACAAAGATAATCGATATACAAAACTTATACATAAAGATATATCTTATCATTAGCGTGTCATTGTGTTATCTTTATACTTTACCCCAAATTCCTCAATACCAAGTATGGAAGTTAATTTTTATAGCGTCATATAGTAGCTTACCACTTTGTAAAGTAAAATATATGGATATATCAATAGATGTAATTTAGTCTAGATTATATCATGTATTAATTGCCATGCCTTTGTAAAGTTATGTAACATGTCTTTGAGGAAACGACTTTTTTTATATAGAGGAGATCAATCAAGCAAGGGGTTTACTTGACTGGAGGAAATACCCCAGACATATAACATCTAAGCAAGATGAGATGTTGAAAGATGGATGTGAACCTCTATTCTCTGAAAACGCTGTTAAACATCATTTTTTATCAGTGGTTGTTCGTGACCCGGACGGAATTTTGATATTCCCACCGCTCATTCGATATCCAAACGAAGTCCAACATATTTCAAAAAAGTTATAACTTGCAAAATTAGATACATGTTTTACCCGGTGGGAATCGAAACCATGACCCGTTGATATTATCCATACATTGCTATCATTAGACCAACGAGACCATCAAGTTTATTAGTGTTTAATGCGATAAACAATTTTTCACTGAAAAATTCAGTGAAAAGCTCCTCTTAGTATTCGTAAATGTGGTTAGAGAATAATACAAAATCAATACCTCGGTAATATGTCACATCCTTGTGTCATGATAGATCCCATTGTTAACCACATACAATTATATAAACTCCATATGTTTTGTAAATTCTCAGGATTCTGGTTGCACGGATGTGGGTTGACCCAGTCGCCTTGACTCATACTAAAAAGTTAGAATAGTAATTTAAACTACCCCGTTATCTATAGCAAAAATTCAACCCCTGATTCACTATGATTTTGTTACAGTTTAATTTAAAATGTAGGAAACGCACACACTTTTAAGCGTAGTTATTATTCTTATAAATGATCTTTGTACTTTTTCCGTAAGAAGAAGAAGAAATCGCAATCACATAAATCTGTACTAATATTATAAAGCGTTTGTTTGTTTGAACGCACTAATCTGAGGAACTACTGGTTCGAATTGAACAATTATTTTTGTGTTGGTTAAAGCATTTATCGAGGAAGGGTTGAGGCTATCATCACGCTGCAACCAATAGAAGCAAGGAAACAGTGGGAAATGTTGAAAAAAAAAACGGGGAAAATTATTCTTCTTCGTGGGCTTCCGTTGCGTGCGTTGCATAAACGGGTTGAGATACTAAAAAAAATACTATTCCTTTTTATATGATATAAAAAATATCCCCTCTATCATAATTTGCAAGAGTGACAACGACGTGGTGGATAACAGCTGTAACTAATTTATAAAGAAAGAGAGGAGGTTTGAAATAACAAATTGTAATAGCCAAAATAACTATTTTGAAATAGCAAACTTGACTCCATCTTTCCATTGCATTGCCTAAAACTGGAGATTTTCGGTTGTAACCCTGGGGTACATATAAAATAATTCCGGTTCGCAGGATACAAAATTCGAATTAACCACTTGGTTATACATAAAATCGAGAAAGAGACATAAACAAATGAGTCTGGAACATGCCCTGGGGAAATGCAACAAATGTGAATTTAACACACAAAAGTAACCGTTAATCAATTTCACGTTTCACGTGGTCACTAGTGAAAAGATAAGCCACAGTTATCAAGGAACTACTTGGTTACTTACCGTGCGCAGAGTAGTAACACAAAAGAGACAATAATATAAGTCGTTCCTAAATACAGCCATACATCTAGGGACAACGGTTTTATAAATGAAAACGTATCCGGTGCCTCGGGATCGGGTTCTTTAAATAGCATACTGATGCCCAAAGACATAAATGGAATGGAAAAGTCAACTACCGCGTTCCGCTCTGACGTTATCGTAAAGTCGCAGACGGCCAGCTCAGCGTTCTGAAACAAATGTACAGGTGTCCAGTTATTGTACGAGTGCCTACGCTTATTAGGATAGCATTAACATAAAACTTAAATATAAAATTCTCACTTTGAAAAGACTGAACCGTTTTTTTGTAATTTCGCGTTCTTATTTTCTATTCTATAATAAATATATATATTACGATAAACTTTTATTTATTGTAGAATACTGTATATATGGTAACAAAACGCTACCTCAATCAAGAACTACAGATTTTAAATTACAAATGAACTATAGTAGTCCTTTTTGATTAAAATGTGAAACAAGATGGCCGCTATTTATATTAAACCCTTAAGGGATCTTATTGGAAAAAGTTATTAAGATATTAAAGCGTAAACTATAAGCAATTTGCCTATAACTTACATGTTCAAGTAAATCCCCAATAATTCCATCCCACTTCTTAGTGCCTGGTGTCTGACTTCCATAGCTATCTCCTGTCACTCGATAAAATTCATACTTCATATCCTCGTGATATTCTTTTCTTATAAAGTCGAATATTGCATCAATAAGATCCACTGCATAACCCCGATAAACCTCAGTGCCATTTGAATCGTCTATGTCGAAATATGGTTTACCCCTTCTTGACACAACCTAGTAACGAAAATAAATTTAAGAAGGTCTTCATTTACATAAGATATAACAAAATGCGTTAGCCATGTGATGTTAGAATTAAAATATAGGAAGTGATGATAACAATAGACAATAAACGATATTCGTGTGTTGAAAGTAAAACGGATATAAATAATTTACACGTATAATTTTAAGTAGAATGAGTGTATTCACTCATATTAGAAGAATAAGCACATGTAACTTAATTAGAATAACGACTCATGGTACAATTTTGACTTTACTTTCTTTGTGATTATTTTTTAATTTAAATATACAATTTGTCATTTATATTTCAAACATTTTTATACCATTAACATCTAAGAAGCACTGATGACTATGACGTACGACTACTATGTACTAACTACAAAACAAGTATTTTTTTTAAACATAGTTCAGCTGTAATTAGATCGAAATTTGTTTATATTTCTCAAATTGCCGCAAGAAGATAAAATAACTTCCATATTAGAAGTTATATAGGTAACAGTTAAGCGACTGTCGCTATAAAGGTATGCGAGTGACCGTAATTATTTGCATGCATATTAAAATATTGCATTAAGTGTAGCCAGATGAGAACATCAGAAAACATATTATCCAACACCACCGTCCTCTTTTATAAGCAATTATCGCCTTATTTATTTATACCTTTCTTTCAGATAAATATAACCTCTTTATAAAATCTAAGTAATGCATAACGGTCTACGTTTGAAAAGAAATCAAAAAGAAAAATAACATTTTTAAATTTTAACCATCTAGTAAGTAAGTAGTATTCACAATAATTAAAATATATATATATATATAAACGGCTTAATTGTTTTTGATAATATTAAAACATATATCAAACCCACGATAATGGAAGTATCGTCCCGTTGCTTTAGTTTAAATTACTTGAACGGTCTATAGTTGTTCACATTGTACTATAAATTTTTCTATCTTCATAAAACAGTTTCCCAATTTAATACTCTTTCTTCAACAAATTTACAGGTCTTCAAATTTGAAATAACATTTTTCAATGAAAATTTAAAACTTTCAGTCCCACTTCAATTTCAAATCGCTAGTTATAAAAGAACATAGAATATTCACCCTTATAACGGACTTCGAAGTCCTGGCGACCGATCGATCTGTGACGTCCTTTTCATCTGTTATCATGTCCGTCTTAGACTCCCAATAGCCGACGTAAATGAACTGGCTTTCGTTACTCAATTTAGAATAATGTAGGACAAAGTTAGTTCTTTTACCGTCCTCGTCGAATTCAATGTTCCCGGTGAAACCTTTCGCTGTAGTCTGAAAGCAGTTTTTCCATTATGTAAATCGGCCATTCATTTTTATGTTGGCATTTTCGATTTAGCTTTTACTAAATATAATGAAGTGACTTCAGTGTGAAAAGACGAAAAATGTTTTATTCAAACTGTTTACAGGTATCTGATACTTTTGCAAACTAGAACATTAAATAAAATACAGGTTGAAAGGAACTGAGTTAACACAATCCGAACCGACGTTTCGGATATCTTATAGTAGCCGTAATCAACGCGTGGTCAACTACGGCCCGGGGAGACAAAACAAATATGCGTGACCCATGTATCAGTGATCACGGCTGCTGCAAAGCATTCGAAACGTCGGGCCATAGTTAAAATAATCTCCAATTGGTAGGTAATACTCGCGTAAACTACAAACAGTGTCTTATGTATATAGCCATATAGCATATAGCCATCCTTATTTTCTTCCGCGTAATAAAAACCAACTTACCTTACCAAGAGCCATTCGTAATGCGTCACCACTCGGCCAAGCGTTAGCTTCGTAATCTGCTTTAGTATTCATAAAACATAATGGCGGGGGATCATCAACCCGACTGTACGGCCCTCTAATATAACTATCCTCGTTATCCAACTGCATGCTCCGTATTGCCTTATCCAAATGAGTGAGGGCGTCAGCTGCTAACGCAGTTTCCAGCTAAAAGATTGTCATAAAACTTTACAACTCCCGCTGCAAGTTTCCAAAGAAACCGACGCTAGACGTAATGTCAGTTTAACAACAGTCGTGAAAATTACATTTCACAACCGTTACATATTTTATTATTTTCTATCAAAGTTCTACAAACAAAGGAATTCAATACACGTAAGGCTATTTACCGTCTAGCTTCGAGTGAAGATCACGAGGTCCCGGTTTGAACTCCCGGGTAGGCCGAATCGTTAGTTCGTTATTTTGGACTTTCTAATAAAATTGTCTTTCTAATAAACTGTCGGTTCAGGTTATATTTTTTAAAGTCTTTGGTCGTTAGAAAACACCAACCCATACTGGAGAAGCTTGGTGGATCTTGGGTAATACTGGCTCACACGGAATTCGATATTAAAAAACTTATCCATGGATTAAAATATTCATAATATTTCGTAGTTATAATATGAATACCGAATCTGATTATGTCCACCGTGAAAATTAAATTAGCTTTAAATTTACTCACTCGTATAGATAAATTAGCGATGTTCATATTCATATCTTTCCATTTTATGTCGTTGGCCCTGGTTAAATGCATCGTAGTTACATTAGCCCTGAGGTCCGGAATATCTTCCAAGTTCACGGTGTATGCATCCAGATTAGTTAGTATAAAACTCTAGAAGAATATTGTTATTAGATTATTTATAGAAGTTTACAGCCCATTTTAATAACGATGATAAGTTTTATAATTATAGAGAATAGAGATAAACTAGTGTATAATCTGTATTACATTACAGATTATTCTTTTTATAGTAGTTATAATTTTTTAATCATAAAAATATAAAAGGAAAAACAAAAAAAAAATGATTTTCATGACATATTAACGACAACAACATTTACATAAAAATATTATAATTTCCTTTTAATTTTTTCTTTCGTAATATGTCTATATGTATGAAATATTAATAAATTTATATAGTATGACACATCGATGTTATTTCTCTTCCGACTTTCTCTTATACCATCGATTCAAGAAAAAAATGATTTACCAAAACTGACATCAAATAAAAACTCTATAACTGCATAAACTATATAAGTGCTCGCAAAACATCACGAAATACAATTAAAAGGACAATAGATGTCATTTTACGCAACATTTATTTGGTAATAAGACTCATGGAGTCCGCATCAAAGGCATTTCCAAGATAACAAAACACCTTAAACAATGAAAATCTAATAAAACCTACTTGATATTGGGTGGAATTTTCCACTTGAATGATCTCCATCATATATTTTCGAACGCTCTCAACGGCACAATCAATTACATGATAGCTCATGTGCTCAACCTTGAACACGTTTTTGAACGTCTCCCTGTTGTCTCCTTCGGAGTTCAGTTTCCTGAACAATATTTGCTCTTGTTTGTAGGGCCACGTATTTATTACCTCTTGAAGGCGTACAAAGCCTATGAAATGGAAAACCATTATTTTGTTTTAAAATTACATTTACAGCTGTAAATGTTGGTTTAGGCCTAACCCTAAAGGTGTTTGGGCTTTTATCAATTTAATTATTTACTACATCTGTGAGTATGCAACATAAAGTTGTCGAGAATACTTCTACATCTATCGTTATTCTATTCCTTCAAAGCAAATTTCACAAAAGCCTTTTTTATCTAGTCCGACCTCGTGTTCCCCAGGATTCGAATCTAAGACTTATCTCACTATACACAATGCTGCATTGTAGAGAATAACCAAAGGTGAACTAAAAGTGTTGTAATTTTTACAGTGAAGTTTAGTATGCAATAGTAAAATGCAAGTAATAAGCACTACACTATATCTAAAAATTACAAACGCAATAAAAAATGAGAATTTAATAGTAACTTTAATATTTAATGTGTTTTAACGTATTCTCGAAATAAATTAAGAAAATATCTTCGGCTAATGATCAAAGCGATATTACAAGCGAAGTATAATTTTAATTAACTTTAGAAACAGCGACTTACTGCCAACGTCTTCATAGAAAAACGTGAATTTATCCCACTGCAGCTTTTTAATTAGCGTTGCGTATGCCTTGGATATAAGTTCCGGCGGCGGATGGTACAAGTATGTGTACGTGTTTTCACTCAGCGAGTCTGGCGGCTCCCAGCCCATAGACAAGTGGGATATCTAAAATTTAACTCGGATCATAATCACTTTAATACTATCAAAAATATATATATCTTTCAAGGCACGCAGTATTTGGGGAGCTGTGCCCGCGACTTCGTCCGCGTGGAATTGTTCTTTTGGCATCTTATTCTTCATTTTTGCAAACAACCTCCTCAGATTTATAAATTCAGCTGTTACTTACGACATCATCTGCATCTCGTCGGTAACGCTTGTTAATCTTAAAAGATAGGCATATGCTGTCGTGGACATTTATACATATCTATGTTTATAATTTGTTACAAGCAAGAAAAATTTCTACATTTCTCTAGTCACCGAGATCATATGTTTTAAATTGGGTTTTGCTCGTCTTACGAGTTTGGCTCGATCTTAGCTTTTTAACCTACTTCCAGGGAAACATCAATTCCGTCGTAAGCTTAACAAAGCAACGACCGTCAGTTAACTAGATCATGTTCTAACATTGTAAACGGTTTCTTTGACCGCCCCTTGAAAGCATAATGGAATATCGATAGGTATAGCTTCAATTTTGTGTTATTAAATTACATTTTCTATCCGTAAATTTTGTCATTAACAGAATAAAACCAGAATTGCGTTGAAATATTTACAAACTAATTTTATCGTAAATCGTATTTACTTATTATACATTAGTACGCCGAGTAGTAGTTTGAAAGTATGAAGCCTTTGGTATATAGACAAGATCTAATATTCATCAATAAAAGGCCCCGAACATCGAAAGCTGCATGAAATTCAGATTTACAGATCAGAATCTTTTCCAGACGATAAAAATATCTGTATAGCAAGTTAGAAACCGTAAGGCAATTTATAAATGCAACGTTTTCTAAAAGCTGCAATATGCTTCGTGGTCGTATTTGCATTTATATGACGGCGGTGTATGATAGTACTCACGTTCAGTCTGTTGCATAGCAGGCAAGTGACGTCACAGGTACCGCCTGTTGGGCGAGGGTCAATCAATGCGACGATGCCTTTATTATCGGACGTGTAGGGACATACTGACAGAAGCATATTACATTAATTACATAATACAACGCTGAAAAGGCAAGCTTGAAAGCTCTAAATTTAAGGTCTTTGTAAAATATTCCTTATCTGTCATAACAAAAGCATATTTAATTTAAATAAAACACTTTAACGGTTTAAAACGCGATATATTAGTTAAACTTATTTGAAAATGATTTTTAACTTCGGCCCGACGTTTCGGATGCTTTGCAGCAGCTTTGGTCCCGTAACAAAATCATTTTCAAATAAGTTAAACTAATGTATCGCGTTTTAAACCGTTAAAGAGTTTTATTTAAATGTGTACTACTCGCGTAAACTATAAACAAAAGCATATTTAATGTCAAATAAAAATCGTTGACTCTGCCATGACTCGAACCTACGAACATGCCTTTTAACAATTGATCCCGTGTTTATTATATTATTCTTTATCTTCGCCACATTTAATACACCGGTTTACAATGTTTAGAATATATTAACACGGCTTAATAACTTTAAACATTATTATGATATTAAAATATATTCATGCTCAAAACAAATATAACACAGGCCTCGAATCCACGACCAACATCGTATCGTGCTGTTGATGATTCAACTTCGATAATATGAAAAAAAATTACTCTGCATCTACGTTATCTGTTAAATAAACAAGATAGACAAAAGAGAGTAAACTGAAGTACTTACGTTCTAAAGCTGTAGAATAACTGTCAACGACCTGCAGGTAGATAGCGCGGCCGTGGTACGCTCTCGTACTACCCGACTTCACTATATTCTCGAAAGCCTGCGCCGATGTCGGCAAAGTTTGTTTATTAAATATACCGCCTGAAAAAGTAAACAAATTGAGCGCTTGAAATATCAAACCTAAGTATAGTACCGTACCTCCTCGTACGTACCTATGGGGTATTTAGTACTCACAGCTGCCTCAGTATAAACATTACTAAGTGTTATCACACATATTATAAGTGAAATCATTATAGGCGAGCTTACGGGCAACCGCCTCCTCGTCGTCTGAAGTATTTTTGGAAAACAATTTTAGGTCACATCGTTTCGGCGCGTGCGACGATTTTCGTCATGACTAATCAGATTTAGAGGCATTCAGACGATGGCGTTTCCTTTGAACCGGTAGCGAAACTGAAAGTCTACGGAAAATTTTTGCCGCGAATCAAAAGCTTTAGAAAAGTTTCGCGTTATTTTAAAGTTTAAAAGATTTATAAATACAGTTTACAAAACTTTGTATGATGTTTGTTTATAATTCAATGTGACAGTGAAGTGCAAAATGTGGTGGTGGTTGTTATTGTGCGTTATACCAAAATGCGCCGCGCAAGTAATGGTAATAGAAACACAAGAAGTTGCCTACCAAATAGGTAAGGTATTCTTTATATCCCTTAGATCAGTATACTATGATGTAGGATGATAAGTTTTGCACTTCACGCCTGTGAAGTGCTTTCTCTTTTTCGTTAAAGTGCTCTCCTAAAAATTTAAATATTATAATAAGGTCATAAAGGGAAGTAAAAATACTTGTATATTCCTCAGAGGTATTTCATAATACTTTCCCCCTCGCCAAGCCTTCCAAATTGGACAATATTATTTATAATACTGATTTAGGAAGTCAGTCTCATTATTTAACATTATATGGCCTTGAAATTTGTTTACATCATTTATTGTTTTTACAATTTGAATTACTGTGTCATATTGAATATTGTAATCTTTAACTATAGCTGGTATATTTGAGAGTCAGGCTCTGACACAACGGCTGGCGTTCAACGAAAGTATGAGACATAACCATATGAGTGGATCGGATGCATCGGCAGATTCAGAAGATAGTGAGTACCACATTCTTTTAGATGTTCTATTTACTAAGCATTATATAAGCCAAGGTCACGTAAACTGCTGAGGAGGGGAGGGTGTATCTTTGCCTGGTCCCGCTTTTCGCCCCCTTCTAACTTGTTAAAATGGCATTATTTTAACAAGTTATAAGGGGGTGAAATTGTATGCATTGAAATGCGCGAAATACATTTATTAAACAAGTTAGATCTTACTTATATTCTAAGTTATAAGAAAGTAAATACTGTCTATAGTTCACGCAAGTAGTACAAAACATAAAACACTTTAACGGTTTAAAACACGATATATTAGTTAAACTTATTTGAAAATGATTTTAAACTTCGGCCCGACTGCAAAGCTTGCTTGACTGCAAAGGATTAACTAATATATCGCGTTTTAAACCGTTAAAGTGTTTTATTTATAAGAAAGTAATATATATATATTATATTATGAAGAAATTTTAGGGCTGACCATTGGACTACATCGAACGTATACCGTAGTTTTATATCGTAACATTAAACTTGTCTTTCATTTACCTTGTATGCCTCTTTTCCTAATTTGTTGGTGTAAAAACATCTATGTTCATTTATATTTTTAGATACAATAGAACCCTGACTTTAATAATCAAACTAAGTCAGGTTTCTATTACTACGCCAATATTAGTTAATCGCCTTAAAGTGAACAAAGAAAAAAATTGTTTTTAAAATGTAAATAAATTGTTTAGTTAAATGGTCTTTTACCATTACAGCGAAACTATTAGAAAATAAAAGAATTATTAATTATAATTTAAATTTCTTTATATCTAACTATTCAGTTAAAGGCTATAGAGTTATTTTTATCGGTCTAAACCGCAAAATTTATTTTTTTCCTGGATCCGACGTGTTGGTTTAAAGTGTTATAAAAATGTATTTTTTTATTTTTTATACGTTCAACGACGTTATTTTAGTTATTTCATGAACTTTTTATATGCATTTTTCCAATTTACACTTTTGTAATCGTATGCACTGATATAATATTTGTCCTTTTTTTTAATTATTATTCTAAATACACTATTTCTCTAAGAGTACTTTTATCACATTTTTTTCAGAAATGAAGGATTGGCGCCTTGACCCGGTTATACTTCAGCCATCTAGGGCCGACAGCTACTCTGTTTGGAGAAATCGTAAGGATTTATTTTCCTCAGTTGTCTATAGCTAATATTTAAACAAAAAATTTTGTTTTTCTTTCGAACTATTATTCGAATGAAAAGTCAGTGTCTTCATTCATTTTGACGAATGTTTTAATTATTAAATTAAATTTTACGTGCTTTCGAATCGATAAGTCGATATTAATGTTAAATAAATATAAAATAGCCATAATCTATATGTGTTGCGCAACGGGCAATTTTTATTTAAATACGATTTTATACTTCTTTGTTTTAACGAAATCAAACAATGCTTTCCCGGGTTTTGAACTTATGACCTCCGGCGCAAATTGCGATCGCTTGCTTCGTTAATCTATTACGCTACGGAGGCAGTCGCGTTAATATTAATCTAGAGAGATTTAATACCAATACTTTCTCTTACAGTCTGTTCAAACAAAGATATGCAACCCATCGCCATCTTTGGTCCTCAAACCCCGATATTTGATGGAGCAGTTCGCGATCAGTGTGCAATCGCTAATATTCCTCACATACAAGCTACTTGGCAGCCAATGGACCCGTACTTCGAAGACGAGATAGCGAGTATTAAGAATGATGAAACAGATGAAGATGAAGATGATGATGATGAAACGCCAGTTTACAAGAACATCTCTATTAATTTCTATCCGAGCGCAGAAGATATTTCGTATGCTTATGCAAGATTACTTAAATATTATAGATGGGAGAATTTTGCAGTATTGTACGAAGACGATTTTGGTATATATATTTTTAATATTCGGTTTTTACAAAATTGGGACCACCACTGTGGGGAGTAACAAACTAAAGATTTGGAAGCAATATTGTGATAAATAATATACAAATTCAGAATTTGAATTTGAATCAAATCTCTGGCTATTAACATGCAAGTCATTTCCACTTTTCATTGTTGGTTAAACATTTCTATAGTTCCCAACCAAAACTATTTATTATTTTTCTCCCGATTTCGAACACAGAAACTTCCACATTAAAGGATGATTTTGATCATTGAACATCGGTGGCGCAAAAAATACATAGCAAATATATATTTATATAAAATATACAACAAACTTTTATTTGTTCTTGGGTACAAAGGTTTACTGCGGATACAAAAAATTCTGGCCGAATACACAGACCAGGTTCCGGTAACCGTGAGACGATTAGATCCCAACGGAGACAACTTTAGGGTAATTGGTTCCCTCATTGCTGAATTAATTTCGACCAATTGCTAGGGCGAAGTTAAACAATGATCTTTTCTTGCAGATATTTAAGGAATTGAAGAAATTCAAAGAGTTCAGAATTTTATTAGACTGCCATGTCGATCGCATTCTCAAATACTTGCTTGAGGCTCGAGGTATCAATATGGTCAACCACTACCAGGTATATTTTAAGATCCTCTCGAAGTCTCATTATCCCACGTGGGACATGGGACAAACAGATATCGATATCGACGATTGCGTTTCAAACGATTAAAAGGATTTTTTTATTGTATACGCTTAAAGAACAATCAAAGTTTTTGGTCAGTATACTTTGCCTAATCCGACCAGAATTACGGGGGCATTTTTCCGTTAAACAAATGAACATTGTTTTCAATTCTATATATATATATATTACTAAAAGGCTTTGAACATATGAGGTATACATTTATTTTATTAATTACAAATATTTTAATCTCTTTGTTTGTTCTTAATCCGTTAAAATTGCTTCACAACGCGTCACCACGCTGCAGTAACTTTTGGACAACTAGTATTTTTGTCAATGGTAAAATATATTCTATATAGATAAGAGTTCTTGACAGCTTATTGCTGACGCATCAATGTTTTAATTGCAATTAGGGAAAATGGTGACATGACTCACCCTCTATTAAATTCTCTCCCATCCGAATTTAATATAAGAATAGATTTTTCTTCTCTTTTCTTCTCATTATTTTAAATTTGAACTTATTTTCTATCTGCTTTGTTCCAAGACATAAATAGCACGATAGCTACCAACGAGTGAGAATGGGCGCTATTGGTATAATGTTCGGATCACGAATCAGTTAAGAATATTTAGCAAAAACTCACCAAAAGGATTCCATGCACGGGGTACATTAATAGGCTGCAAGTATTTTGTAGTGATTGTATTTGTACATCTTTACAGCATTACATTCTTACGTCAATGGATTCTTCAATGATTGTTAAAGACTTGCTTCCATTTAACTCGAACATAACATGGCTTAGTTTATCGGATTTTGATGCGTTACAAGACGCACAACACTTCCTGGCAACCAGAGTTGGTAAATGGACCAATGAGAAGGTTCAACTAGATTCACCACCGGTCACAAATATTGAGGTAAATTTTGAACATACATATTAGGTAAAAAAAAATGGTATTTGCCGTATTTAAATAATAGTAGTAGATACCATTTTTTTATAAATAACTGCGTATAATTTAAAAAAAATAAACCACGTCAACGGAAATAAAACGTAACCTAATTATTGTTGTATAAATTTGCATTATACTCGAGTAGCATCGGATGCAATCAGCTAGGCTCGGCCCTTCCATGGTAAAATTCTGCGCAGACGCATTTCTGTGTACGTTACACTGATTAATATATATATAATAACTAAAAACGAACAAGTTCTTATATTATCTTAATTTTCATCGGAATTCAAAGCCAGGATTTCCCTAAGCAATGGTCGTAGCCTAGCTTTGCTTAGGTCATTCGCGTTTGACTAGTAAGTATTAGCTGCTGCTAAACAGCTGATCAGATAAGTATTAAAAGTGAATATGCTTGAATACTATCTGTCGTTTACTCTAATAGTACATATTTAGTAAAAACACTTAACCGCTTAAAACTCGAAATGTTTTGTTAAACATTTCGAGTTTTATTAAGCATTTGACTAATAAGTCAACGTCAGGCCGTAATTAAACAAAGTTTAACTAACACATTTAGCATTTTAAACTGTTAACGTGTTTGATTAAAAAGTCAATATAACGTTTTCCTTCTTTTGGTGTAATATTTATCTTCATCTCATTAATATTAATAAATTCTTCAGATTGAAGCACTCGTTATGAACGATGTAGCGAATCATGTCCTTAAGGCATTACAAAAAGTAGGCGAAGTGGAGGATATAACAAGACCAGACGAGGATTTGTGTAAAAAAGACGCTGACCCCTGGCCGTTCGGAGCTATGCTCCAAGCTGAAATATTAAAGGTAATTCTTTCAAGCTTTTATCCAGGGCGCTTTTATACGATAAAACGGTAAAATATCTTAACTCAAGGCTTTATTGAATAATTACTAAGTAGTTGAGAATACTTAATAAAATAATATTTGATAAAAGGAATTTGGAACGTTAGACATAGGTTTCAAGTAACAGGTTTTCAAAGAAAATTCCATTATATGGCTTCAGGATATTTGTGTGGATCGATATAGAATTTATTTGTAGTTCGTAAAAGTTCAACAACTAACGAATTGCGCTTTAAATTATCTAAAAAACGTTCGGGACACCCTATGCCTATCTTAGATTAAGTTTCAAGAACAACGGGACGCAAACGAAGTCGTGGGCAATAGCTTAAATCTATAAGGATGCCAGGAGGAACCAATTTTAATGCCTAAAATAACGATTCTACGCGGACGAAGTAGAATCGTTATTTTGCTTATATATTATAAATTATGGTAGTCTTTTAACCTGATTAAAAGTGTTTACATAAGATGTTAACTTTAATTTATCACAGACTCAAACGATGGGGGTAACCGGAAACATCGAGTTCGATGAATTCGGTCGCAGATCAAACTATACCCTCTACGTCAACGAGATACACGTATCCACGCGACAAACAGTTGGTACTTGGAAGTCGACTGGAGGTGATATTATTGAAGACAGACCAAACACAGATGTGAACAGTCAGCAACAAACTAGTAAACACTTTATAGTGAGTAAAGGTTTTAGACAAAATTTAATTAACGTCATCTAACGCCTGTAGACCCTCTAAGTAGCTAAACGGTCATTAGTTTGTTTGGGACCCGGATGTAATTTTGATATACCACTCATTTAATATACAGACTTCCAGACAAAGCCCAACATGTTTCAGGAAATTTTAAGTTAAATTGACTGGAAAAATGTTGCATACAGTGGCGAAGAAACCCACGATCCGATAATTATTAACCATTCGTATCCCAACCAGAGAATAAAATGTTGCGATCGGGAAGAACACAGAAGATGAAGGGGTTTACAGAAAATAAAATTAATAAGAGCAAGAAAAACGAGACCTTACCCTTTTTTCATTCAGATTTAGATAGTCTAACTAATAATTGCGTGAAAAATCTATTCGTTTCATTTTTAGATAATCTCTCGAAAAGCGAAGCCATACTTTTTCGACAAAGTAAAATGCCCACCGGATAACGACACCTGCGTGGAAGAAAATGCCGACGAGAAATACGAGGGTTTCTCAGTTGATCTTGTAAAACACATCTTTGACACTTTGAAGAAACATAATTTCAATTACACTTATTCATTTCTCCACGACGAAGACAAAAGCTATGGCAAATACGACCCGGAGCGAAAGAAGTGGACGGGCTTGATAGGCGATTTACTAGATAAAGTATGTATTATTAATAGTGATATTAATTAAGTAAGCATAATGTTTAAGTAAGTGGTAAAATAAAAAAAAATACATATTATACGTGCATCGTGATATGCCAAAAATTATTGTTGGATTTATTAAATAATACTCAATATTCTACCTAAGATAAGGCTTAAGGCTAAGGAATAAGGCTAAACACTTTTCAGCTTTTATATACAATTCAATTAAATTTCTTGTTTACTCTTAAGCAACGCTATACAAGATATATTAATAGCCAGAGCCAAAATAGGTCGACCGCGCATGTTATAAGAGCTTGTCTGCGCTCCTCTATCATTAAAAAAGATACAGATACAACCAAAAACGACAAAAATATTTACAGCTTTCAATTCAAACGAAGTTTAATCAAAATGGTTGAATCTTTCACATAATATTATTACGTAGATTATTGTGTATTATTATTTACTTTAAGGAAGTGAGTTTATTTGATTCAAAGTCAATTTTAGCCTTTATAATTATTCACATGTGCAATTGTAACATGTGAATTATACATTTTTTTTAATTATTAACTTTTTTCAGAAAGCAGATTTGGCAGTATGCGACCTAACAATAACGGAGGAAAGAAAGAGCGTTGTCGACTTCTCCGTACCGTTTATGACTCTGGGTATAAGCATCTTATACACGCAAGAAAGAAAAATTTCACCTGGATGGTTTTCTTTCCTCAACCCATACAGTTTTGACATGTGGATACACACGGCGACAGCGTATTGTGTCGTGTCTATTGTTCTCTTCGTTTGTTCAAGGTACTTACGGAGGAATGAAATATGTTTTATAACGAAAAGTGATCTTTTACCTTTACAATCTAAAATTGTTATTACTATGGTTTTTATTTTATTTTGGACAGTAGTTAAATGAAATTGTAAATAAGCTCACTAATATTTTCGCGTTTAACGGTTTACGTTAAAAACGTTTTATTTAAATGTGTACTACCCTCGTAAGTTACAGAAAGTATTTTTATGTAAGTAATATTAGCATTTAGTTTATTTGTATGGTTGTATTAGGATATCACCAGCCGACTGGGAAAACCCACAACCCTGCGATAAAGACCCTGAAGAATTGGAGAACATTTGGAATTTCAAAAACTGCGTCTGGTTAACAATGGGCTCTATTATGACACAAGGCTGTGATATATTACCTAAGTATACATATTTATTATAAAACAGTAATTATTCATGTAAATATATATATAAAATTCCTTGCTCGTCTTCTACTTAGAAGGGAATGTTTAAGTCGTTGTAATATAAATAATGTTTATACATACTACCGCTATATTGCATTATGTTTTCTTGCCCTATTTTATCTAAATTTATTATTTGCTTTATTAGTTTATTTCTTATATATTCTATAAATTCGCCTTTAAATCGATGGTTTGTTGGAAGCGCGGCAAGTGTGAAATTCAAAAATACCAAGTCAAAGATAATCAGGAGAACGCATACAAAACTATGTTTGGCCCAAAAGCAATATAATTTCAATATGCTAATATAATCTAATCTCCTAAACGAATGAATATAGCATAGTCTTTGAACCATAATCCTGTACAAACGACATAAGATATAAAAAACACCACATTTGTCGATGTTCTGGAAATTCATCGATATGCTGTCGTTTATTTTTCGTTCTTAACTTGTTTTCGCTAATACATTATCATTAGAGTTTTTATTCACGTTTAAATGTTTATTTTAGAGCGATCGGTTCACGATGGGTTTGCGCCATGTGGTGGTTTTTCGCCGTCATCGTATGTCAAACTTACATAGCCCAGCTATCTGCATCTATGACATCAGCTTTGGAAAGCGAACGAATTAACAGCGTTGAGGATTTGGCGAAACAAAATAAAATTCTATATGGCGCTATACGGGAAGGCTCTACTATAGATTTCTTTCGGGTGAGATTTTCAATTGTTTTAATTATTTTTATTCACTTACAAAATTAATCTAAATTAGAATTCAAATAATAATTATTATAAAACATAAATTGTGTGTAAAAATATTAAGGATAAAAATATTATATTTGTTGATTTTGCAACATTATTTCGCCTTCAAGTGAATAACAAGCTTCTCTATCTTTCTTTGTCATAAAAAAAAATAGTAAAAAGATCATCCAGGCAATTGAAGGCCATTAAGGGTTTGTTACTGTAGTTCTGAATTTGTGAAATAGGTACTCCGAACAGTAAAAAGTAGCTCTATTATTTATACTCCATAGAAACTTATGTTCCATGTTCCATCTATGGAAAATAAGCAGAAACATTAGATGTCTAGAGGTTGGCAAAATCAAAAGTACATATTATAAATACATACAATATTATAGTTAAAAACTTTTATTGTTACATTTCATAATAATATTGATGAATACAATATAAACCACCATCTCTAGTTCAGTAGAAACGGTGATAACGGGATTTCACGAAATGAATTAACATTTCATTAAATAACTCCTTCAGTATTATTTTAGAGCTTTTTGTTATTGTAATGTGCATTTTTAGAGTTCAAAGGACAAAATGTATCGGCGTATGTATGAAAATATGATGGCGAATCCTGTCGTTTTGTTGGACAGTAACGATGAAGGTGAAAAGAGAGTTCTGAATGGAAAAAATAAATACGCCTTCTTCATGGAATCTTGCACTATTGAATACAAGTTGAAACGAGACTGTAATCTCAAGAAAGTTGGCGGCGAATTAGATTCCAAGGACTATGGAATAGCAATGCCCGCTAGTAAAGATCCTTTTCTGTTTTTATTTAAGCGAATGAAACTTTTTCTTTACATGTTTGCTTACTTTGCTTGATAAAAAATAACAGTGCTTCTCAAGAGAGCCTGTATTTTACACGATCACATTGATAAAATATTCTTAAAAGTAAAATATTCAACGATTTTACTACTATCCGATATTACACTTTATAACTGTAAAACAACAAAATAACGGTTTCAAACGTAAAATATATTAGTTTACTTATTTTTAAATAAGTCTCCAGCACTATATTTCACGTTTTAAATCGTTAAAAGTGTTGCATTTGTAATTTTAACATGAGATATTGATATATTTATGTGACATTATAATTTTTGCTTATGAATCAAATACTCCGTTTGGTCTGTGTGTTTTCTAATATGTATTGTATCTGCAAATTGAAATATGTTTATTTAATTACAGATTCACCATTCCGAACTCATATCAACAGAGCTATATTGGAATTAAAAGAGTTCACAATACTCGATCAGATAAAACGAAAATGGTGGGAAGAGAAATATGACGCTAAACAATGTGATGTATGTTTTTAATTCATCTATCTCTGTTAATTGATTTGTTTGGTTAGTAACAAAAGCTAATTTATTAAGCCGCGTATCTAGTAACTAAATGATAACAAAGTTCTACGAAAACAAAGCGTATTGCATAGAGATACACGATCGTATTACGTAGGGTTGCGAAAACCGAGAAAAATCTTCGGTTATCTCGAAGGAATGTCTTTTTTAACATTTATCAATGTACGAAAAGGGGACTGTTACACAGACGAAACGTCATTCGTCTAAAAGTTGTCTGGCCTAATAAATAGTTTGACAAAAGGTAAATGCCCCAAACGGTTTTTGTCATTACCATAATCAACTTAACAATGATTTTACCAAATGAAACGTTGTTATACAAAAATTTTTCAATTTGACGTTAGTCGTCAGAGTGAAAATTCTGCGAAACGTTAGTTGCCAAGTGATAATCTGCGAAACAATTTTCGGCGGTCGAAAGAATCATTGTAGATATAAAAGAATAAAAAAAGAAATAAACTACTTTTATTAATATATCCTTACTGTATGTTGTTTTAAAAAGTTTGATATTTCTAGAACGCACCCGACGAAAGCGACGTCGAAGGAGATTTAGAAATGGAAAATTTAATAGGCGCTTTCATAGTTCTGGCAGGTGGTCTGGTGTTGAGTTTAATTATAACAGCCGCCGAGTTCATGAATGAAGTTCGCAATATTGTCATACGGGAACAGGTAACTGCAATAATTACCTTGTTATCGCAACAATTAGGAGTCACAGGATAACGTTTTCATTTACCTCTATTTTCTCACGGCAGTTATTATTAAAATAACGAGAAAATTTAACTTGTCCTTTCAATAGAAAAGTTCGTCTGTATGTTTGCATCTCAAACATACAGCTTTTCTGATAAATGTATTTCTTTACTTTAATCAAGGTCCAGTCCAGAACTAATTCTTTTTTAATTGTACAACTCTGTTTTATTGAATGCGTTGAACCACTAAAATGCAATATTACATTACTTTAAAATACATTAATGTAACGTATTGTAAAGCTCAGTAAATATGATTAATTTAGCCATAAAGTAGCTATCAAATAATTATAATACAGAGCTTAAACCCTTAAAATTTAATGGTGATTTTAATCTATTTCAGGTTTCTCATAAAGAAGTTTTTATGAAAGAATTGAAGGCGTCGTTAAACTTTTCCCAACTCCAAAAGCCAGTGCTCCGCAATCCAAGTCGAGCACCATCTATTGCTTCTACCGACAGCACGGAAAATAAAATGAAACGAGCTGCCAATATTGAAAACTTCATTGAATTCGAAAAGGAGCCCATGTGAAACAGATCTTATGTTGTAAGACGTTGAGATTTACTGGAACTGTCATAAATATTGCCACCAATAATAGAAGATAGACTAAGTTGATAAATAATGATAACAAAAAGTATGTTGAATAAAGTATTCTTTAAATTATTACTTGATTAAGATATTTAATATTACAATTATATTTTGGTTTTATTATGTCTCTTTGTCAAATGTATTAAAACTTATTTTAACATTCATTGATTTAAAATATTATCACAAATATTAACATCCTATTGAATATAGGATTGTTGTCGTTCGTAAATACGATTTAATACGATACGAAATTAATTTCAACTACTAAGAATATTCTGTGTTTATGCAGATAAACAAACATCTCCTTAGACCAGACCGGCTTCTTAAGGATATAACAACTTTTGGAAATCAGCTAGTGATCGAACCCTAGAAGCTCGACATTTTACGCAAAACAACACATCTGACTTCTTCATAAATCATTTGTCTTTGTGTTAATCGTCTGCGGATATCACGAATACCCTTTGACCATTAAGAAGCGTAAACGGTCACAACGTGTGGGAAATATGATTAGTTGATAAGGAGCATCCGGGGACTACACGTGGTCTAGTGCGCAGACGCACTTAGAATTGTGGGAGCTACGGAACCCAATACGCCCTTTTACGTAACAATGACCATTCTCATATAGCGACTTCCATTGAGTAACGTGGTAGAAAGTGTTTGATATAGCTCCATCGCATCATGCGATACGTGACGAGCAGGATGCGTCCATCGCTTTGATTGCGTACGCGCTGCGATTGTTGCGAAAGAAAAATGTACACGCTGTCTAGTGGCGCGGGAGCCACCGATTGAGATGGCTGTGTCGTGGGTCTCTGTGGCTTTCCTAGCTGCTACAGCGCTCGGTGCTTCTATCGGACGTAAGTAATTAACAAGCCATTTGAATACTTCAAGGAAGTAGTAATTAAATTTTGATAATTCTAAGGTTTTATTTTTTAAGGTATTTCGATTAAATGCATCGTGTTTATTTTAAGTTTTGATTCAATTTAAATAAATAAAAAATATCTCTGCGTGTTAGTATTATTTATAATTGTGTATTTGAATGTAACCATGCAATGGCAAGCATTTTTTACGACAATTATTTAAATAATTTTTGCATTTTTAATAATTTTTACAATAATAAAATCATAGAGAAAAATTACATTACTTAAAAAAAAGTATCAATAGTCAATATGTGAAAGATAAGCTATAATTAAATAATCAATATAATACAATCGTCGAAACCTATAAGATAATATATAATTAATTGATTGATTTTATTAATTACTTATTTAAGATCTAGTAAATAATTGATAAATTCTTCTATTCGACAATTCACTATTGTAAGATAATATTATATTGTTGTTCTTACGTTTTATCCCCTTTAGAAGAAAAAAATATTTTCTAACCCTCTTTAAATGAAACTTGGAAGATTCTATTCTTTAGACTTAACAAAATTATATTCATTGTCCTTTGTTTGGAATGTATTTAAGACTGCAAGTAAGCGGATGCAAATGAAATTATGTGTATGCATAATTCTCTTGTATGATTGATGATAATGTTTCAAACTAGTAACACCCAGTTATTAATGTCGCAGAGTTCCTAGTTCTTGCGTAAACCTACGCTAAAGGAGCTAAGTACGCGCTAAGACTGTCATCAAGCAGTTATGTCACAAATTATATAATTGTTTAACCCAGTTCCATTATTGGCGACAAAAATCCTAATCTCGCATACACTTGGTTTACGCGAGTAGTACAAATTTAAATGAAACACTTGTAACGGCATAAAACGCAATATATTAAAAATAATAAATAATTTATTTAAAAGTTGTACACAAAAACAAAACAGATAAGTACTAAAAATATTTAAGGCTTAAAAATGTTATAATGGCGACTCCTAAAAACAGGAGCCACTGAGCATAACGTTACGAACTCGCTTGTGTTACAACACTGATTTTGACCCCTGATATATATATATATATATATATAGGTTATAATAAATTAAATATAAGTGGTGTGATATATTCCGCGTTTTAAATTGCTAAAGTGTTTTATTTAAGCATTTTAATGACATTGAAAGATAAACATGCATGCCATAACATGTAAAAATGACGACTTATTTTCGCATTGGACATTCAGATATTGAAATTCGTAGTACCTTTCTTACGATCAAAATGACCCACTATTTCAGAAATCAGATAATACCCACATCACGTGACATTAAATCAAAGTACCAACACAAAGAAAAAATCTGGCTGTATTTTGCACAGATAAAAATGATTATTAAAAATAAACCTAAATACTAAATACCTATAATATACCCGGTATGGTAAACATATTAACGGTTTTAAACGCTAACAGTATTGCAGCTATTTATCAAATATAGTTCACATTTTCACTTTGCTGGGCACCCTAAACAAATAATGTTTTACCTACTATATATTTTTCTAAAGCAATCAAGAATTAGCATACCATAACGTACTTGATTTGCTTGCTGAAGTCTTTACATTTACTTACTGTAAAATTTTGCAATTCGGTCGATTTAACCGAAATCAATTTGTATTAAATAAACGCTGTCTCTTGATTTCGATTTGTCACGTCTCAATCATTGGAATCAATTAGTCTTGTTGAGTTGTCGCGTATTCGATCTATCGTAATTTGAAACTTGTCTATTATTATACAAAAATAACGACTGTGTTAGTTAGAGATACGGAATAGTCAAATTAATTGCGTCAGCCAGACTTTTTTATGATAGAGAAGGAGAGACAAGCACGGGGCTCACTTGATGGAAAGTGAGATACCTACCTATTATATAACATCTAAACTAATAGCGCATCCAACGCCCTATTTTGGATATTGGATATTCGAATTGGTTGTGACCCGAACGGAATTCCGATATTCCCAACACCCATTCAATATTAACATTTCCAGACGAAGTCCAATAATGTCAGAAAAATTATAAATTTGTCAAAAGTATGTTAGGCCTGGTAGAGATCCAACCCACGACCCGTCGCTTAAGAGTTTAGCATAGTCTAGGACCTAGGTGTTAACCTAGAAATTCAATGAGGCTTCTGTTAATTTATGATCTTCAATAGCGATGCAGCAGTCTACATTTATCTTGGAGAGCCTAACTTAAGGTCTAAATACACAGGCGTTTTGGCGTATACTTAAAAACTGCTTTTGTTTGTAAATTAAGAAGACTTCATGTATTATCGAGTTCGTGAGGTGGGAAATTCAGTCCCCGATTCTGCAACACATATAGCTTTGTTTAGATTGTGACACATCTTCTGTGCTGAAGAAAAACAAAGCAGCTGGCAGTGGGAACTGTTACATGCTTCAACATGCTAACAGGCTTCAAACATTATCATACCAAATCAATACCATTCTGTCTTTCAGTATCGTTCCTTCCGTATCGGACCCCATCGTTGGAGACTGCGATAAACTCGAACCGTATAATGAGGATTCTAAAACGTGTATGTACGTAGCTGAGGCGGGAAATAATTCGGTGATGGATCGCATGTGTAAATAAAGGCTTTTACTAACGAGCGACTACAACTAATACGCGTCTAGATCTATAATATCTAGTTGTATATAATTTAAGAATTACATATATCTATAATACATAGATCGCCCATTGTATATAGTAACAATAAATTAATCACATACTGTCTATAGTTTACGCGAGTAGTACACATTTAAATAAAACACTTCAACGGTTTAAAACGCGATATATTAGTTAAACTTATTTGAAAATGATTTTTAACTTCGGCCCGACGTTTCGGATGGGGGCTTTGCAGAGGGCCGAGGCTTTGCAGCAGCCGTGGTCACGGCTGCTGCAAAGCATCCGAATCCATTTTCAAATAAGTTTAACTAATATATCGCGTTTTAAACCGTTGAAGTGTTTTATTTAAATAAATTAATCACATTAATTACTAGTGTATGTTACAAAAAAAACAAGACTACGTCTTACAATCTTATACACGTACCATAAGAAGCCCCAAAATGGAATCCCGAAAAACCTCGGCCTTTGGTCAGTCTAGGAATTATTGAAACACAAAAATATGCCCCACGTATCAAGTGGCAAACATTATATCATTTTATACAACCAAGACGCTCGTGTACGCTCCGCCTTAAGTACGAGATACCTACTTGCTGTGCATTAGCCTATTAGTTACCACAAATTACCAAATAACTACTGCAATATATCACTTACCCCTTAATTTATATTTGGATGGAGTGTTTGTGTTTATTAAGCGACCATTTGCCTTGCACTGTTTGCGATAATGATTTTAGCGCAAATTGAATTTCAATATTATAGATATAAGTTAGCTCAGGTTATGTAAGTAATATATTGTGAAAATAATTACTTATCCGGTGACCGGGGTACACGCATTTTTATGCCTGTTACATAAATCAATTATATTTAAGTACAGATTGAAAGATGTAAATTATTTTTGTGTTGGTTAGAGCATTTATCGAAGAAAACCATAAAACATATGTATGGATAATGTTTACTCTTTAAATGATCTAAAAAAAACACCGCCACAGTCTATCTTTTAAGATTAACTTGCAAGAACGACGGGATGCGAAAGAAAAAACATAGGCACAATGTCACGTTAATTAACTTTAGCACTGATTACAATATTGTCTATATAAAAACCTTGGTTATATAATGAATGATGAACCAGTAAAATAATTCGCACAGCATGTAATTTAGTAGTCTCACTAAGGAAATGATATGCGAATGTGAAGATTACTTCCACCCACGCGATATTGATTTACAACGAACAATTTTGTCCGTAATTCTGCACGCTTAGAAAATTCAATAGTATTTGTACACAAATTATTTTTATCTCTTTCTTTTTCAAGCTTCGAATCGATTATAGGATAGTGCATTAAGGTGGGTTGGAATTTATCGTATCTTATTAATTAAAGTATTTGAAATTTATATAAGGTGATGGGGGAACTAATTTTGACATTAAATCAATAGAATTTAAGTGAGAATGTGCAATAGTCACATGTACGCATTATTACAAAAATATATTTTTTGAAAACTTATATATTTTTGACATGGCATTATATGAGGTAAAATTCGATTTTGGATCGAAAAAAATTTACAACACCGGCACTTGAACTGTTGTATTTTTTTAAACCACAATAGTATTTCTCAAGATAATTATTAGGAGTGCAATAAATAAATTACTATTATAATATCATTATAAGCATGTTTTGATTAAGCAGTAATATGTTTAATGTAAATAAGTACGTATTAAGAACAATTTTAGATCTTAACCAAACGGTGATGGTACAGACAGAATACTTAATCTTGTTTTTAACAACAATGTTTATTTTAGCCGCCGCAGAAAAGCAAATAGTGGAAAAGTCAATTTGTGGAAAAGTATGGGTGACAGTACACTCGCTTAACATACGCTTGGGAGTTGGACAAAACCTGCTAGATGCTATAGAATTGAACTGGGACTTCAGTTCTTGCGCCAATCTGCCTAATCAGGTGAGTAAAGGAGAGATAAATTCGCGTAAAACAACATGTAAGTACAAACACTCTAACACTAAATACGTACGTTACGAATTTCAATGGGCAATTGTCTTTTCTTTTGCAAAAAAATTGTCAAAATTTGCTTGTAATGGATGACAGTTGTCTTTAATCTTTTCCCCTTTTACAAAATGACTATTCGATATAAGCAAGCAATATATTAATATAAGATATAAATAACACTTTAACTTTTTTGGTCACGGGGAGACCCCGTGGTCTCCCCGTGACCACTGCTGCTGCAAAGCATCCGAAACGTCGGGCCGAAGTTAAAAATCATTTTCAAATAAGTTTAACTAATATATCGCGTTTTAAACCGTTAAAGTGTTTTATTTAAATGTGTACTACTCGCGTAAACTATAGACAGTATTTTATTAGTACATATATAGTAACCGTAAGTAAAATGTACATAAGCTACTTGTCAAAGAGGTTAAGGTTCTAGGAAAATCTATGAACTGAAGCTTCGGGCATCGATAGTTTTTTAGAAGTGCTGGAAGTTTCTTGTTCATGTCAATATAGAACTGATAAATGAAAAAGTAGGAGAAATAAAGAAGTGTACAAAAAATACACATAAGAGAACTAGAAGGATAGAGCAGAAAAAAATATCATAGTAATTCTTAGTATCGCGACTTACTGACACAGTAGGGTCTGAATAATTTTTTGTGTAAAGAACATATTAATTATCGATGTAAACCGCAAATAATATAATTTTAAAAAACGTTTAATAGATCCAAGTAATAAAGAGGATTTTGACAATCCTCTAGATCCAGCTTCATGATGCTGTCTAGCCTAATCTTATTTTTTTAGGCAATTAAGATTTCTTTTTCTTTAGTTCAGCTTACTGATCCATATTTAGAAACTACCTTTCATAATTATGATACGTTACTTTTAAACAGATTGGACTTTTCGGCTCTCGACCGACCGGCTGGCACAGCGCCCTAGCAGTATACCAGGTCACCTCTGCCACGGGTCATATAATAACAAACATTTCTCTTGGTGAACCTGACCTTCCCGGTGGCTGGCAATCAGGTGGCGGGCTAAGAGGCCCTCAGTGCTTGTGGCCGTGGGTTGGAGCTGGTAATGAACATGTACAAACGTTTAATTGCTTAAAAATCCAGCCAACCTGGATGGAGGATTATGGGTAAGCTTGATAAGTTTTAAGCATGTTTTTTGTTCAATATATCTATCCCATTTTCATTAATGATATAGGAGGATAAACAAGAATGAGGTTCCATCATAAAAAATAAAGTGACTAACATTGTCTATCTTCTTCCCTTCAGTTCGTAATATGTATAGCCCCTATTTCGTTTCAGAGAGCGAATCAATAAACTACGCATTGGCGATTTAGCGATACCAGGCACTCATAATGCTGGAGCGTGGCGATTTGATACTGAAATTAGTACTGTCACAAGAGACAGCTTCGTCCTCTGTCAAGACCGATCTATTTGGGCGCAACTCGTTCACGGAATCAGATACTTCGATTTCAGAATTGCCTACTACGACTTCTATGATAGGATTGAAGACAGGTACGTATTCTATACATATACTAGTTAATATATAATAATTTTAATGAAGATCCAGATTATTCTTACCTACGTTTAGGAACCTTGAATGGTAACCGAAAAGTACACGTTTAGTTTCTACCCTGTTTATATATACATATAATAATATACATATTCTATTTGTATAAAATCAAGTACAGGCGATTCAGAATGACGAAATATATAAATTATAACAAACTTATCTCTCTGTTATATAATACTAGCTATTCGAAAGTACTGCACGAAGTTTTTAGTGGTTTTTGCCAATTTAAATCTGGCTCAACTTAGAACAAACTATTGTTTAATGAAATACAAATCGAATTATTACTTATTATATTTGTATGCTGTGGAACTGTGTCCTTTTAAAATAAAACCTCATTGCTACATCTAATTAAATATTATGGATATCTCTTATATGAGACCAGGCTTATAAAATATTTATTAAATCAAAACAAACATTCATGTTTAATGGGCACACTTAATGCATATTATGATACAGATCGAGTAAGCAATTATAACATTATATTGACATTGTTCTTCAGTGCTATCTCTTGAGGGCTCCTTACATGAATTGCAAAGTGTAACTTGTGTGAGTGCTATCAATGTAACGATTTATATTATTTCTAGAAACCTATTTATTTAGTCAGCAGAGTTGTACTTATTTCTATCTGTGAGATAATAGTTATTGGAACAGTCGGTTTTCCAAAAGATTAAGCGATCAAATAAAAGCCTTTGGTACATCTGGAAATCGAGGTCTTAGGGCACTTATAATTAAACCTATATTAATTTAACTAAATTATTACGACTGCATATTATTAAAAATATATATATCGACGTTTCAATATATAAATAGTTTTTCCTTAAACCTCGTATTTACCATTGGTAAATAAATTGCGCAGTGACATGTTATTTTTCGCCTGAATGTATTCAAGTCAAATGTAGCGTTGCGCAACGAAATGCACGCGAGATCGAAATTTGCACTTGTTACGTGAATCGCGGTCAGTTGACGCTTCACCTACATTGACCAACAGAGGCGGTCGTGTTATTAAAGAAGACGTTTATCAGTAACCAAATGCGTCCAACGGTATTAGGAACGAAAACTAAGGAGATTCCTTGTTTAACAATTTAAAAGTTATAACATCAAACAAAATATGATATGATGAATTAGTTAAGGTTAAAATTACATTGTGCGCGTGTAACGCTTTAAAACTCGCTATATATTAGGTCAACTTATTAAAAAAATATATATGTTAACTGCCGCACAACGTTTCTGATACTTAGTAGTAACGATGGTCTCGAGGAGACGAGTTAAAATATTTTTGTTCGTTTAGTGTTACATTAAACTGTGTACCACTCGCGTACACTGCAGACAGTATTGTGTAAGTTGGGATAGTAATAGCACGCAACGTTGTGGATGTCGGTTCACGTCAACCAGATTTTAAATTTATAAGATACTAGCTGTGCCCACGACTTCGTCCGCGTGGAATGGTAACTTTGGGTAAAATTTTTAATTATTTAAGCTGTTTATTAATTTATGTAATTGCGCATTTATCGCAGCCAATCTATGTTGTAAGTGCTACTTTGCCACAACACTCTCACCTCACATCACCCTTGCTCTAACTCTCACTTCCACTCCCACTCCCACTCCTATTCTCAAAAAGCCAAAGAAGAAAATTGCATTGTTCTAGCTACAAAAACCAGGATTTCCATACAAACTTTCACTTCCCCTTTTAACCACTTACAACCCCTTTTTCGCAATAAAAGGTGACATGAAATTTAGTACCAAATTTCATTCAAATCCGTTTAGTAGTTTTGTGAAAGGGTAACAAACAGAGAGACAGAGTTACTTTCGCATTTATAATATTTGTAAGGATGAAAAGTATGAGACGGAACGACGAGTTTGTTTGTAGTTTCAATCGCTTAGTAAACCCGTTATTGAATTTAGAAATATTTATATTTGCAATAGCTACTGAACAATAATAAACTCTTCTAAAAGACGGATGGACTAAAAATTAACGCACAGCCTAATGTTATTATATTCTATCGGGGACACCTATAGAAGGTCGTTGATGGTGTGGACTGATCACCAGTCCACACCATCAGCTGACCATTTCACCCATCAGTCTAACGTTAAACAAAGCTACTTAAAAATTTAAAATTGCGTTTCTCGCCTTATCCGATAATAGGTTTATATGAATTTTTCACATCTAAATAAGAAAAAGGACGAAGACATTTGTTTAGGATGAATAGGACCCTATCAACTTCAAATTGTTTTTAAAGAATCTTTAGCTAAATTGATGGAAAATGCTATTATATGTAGTGTTCACGAGTGTACCACTTAACCGGATAGTTTTGTACGAAGCTAAAATCATATGGATACTCCATATACTAGCTTTTTTGTTTATGGAAAACATTTTTCTTAATAAAACTGTTTTCCATAAAAAAAACACTATACGTACTACGAATATCTTTGTAGAAACTTCTTAAATATAAACAATATTAGATTAAAATTCTCACAGATAAGAAAAACAATTAAATAGATTAAACTTTGATTGATTGTTACCTAATCGATGCATTTATGAAAATCGCTATGCCAAATCTTACTGGTAATTGTTGCACAAATGATAACTCATTAATAATCCTTATATTATCACATTAAACCCGGAATCTTTATAAAGATTATTATGCATTTCAATACAATCAGTATCTATAATAAAAGAAAAACATTTAAATAAAACACTTTAACGGTTTAAAACGCGATATATTAGTTAAACTTATTTGAAAATGATTTTTAACTTCGGCCCGACGTTTCGGATAATTTGGAGCAGCCGGCTGCTGCAAAGCATCCGAATGTTTAACTAATATATCGCGTTTTAAACCGTTAAAGTGTTTTATTTAAATGTGTACTACTCGCGTAAACTATAGACAGTATTTAAAAGAAAAACATCTAAAATATTTTGTTAAGTTTAGTATCGAATTAGTTAGTATTTTAGAATAAACAACATACACTAGTTCTCTAATGCCCAGACCAAATATATTATGTTGTAAGTATGTATGATACATTTCTCCTTTAAAGATATTTTTTCATTAATTTTGCAATATGGCAAACAGAAACAGACAGACAAATTATTTTGGAGATTATAAACTATGTTGTGGTAATATTATGTGGTTGTGTCGTTTCCTCTGGTCAGATTTTTTTCAATGCAAGTAGTTCTGTTTTTTGATAGGAATGATGCACCTAGCTGGATCCCTAGATCCGAATCCGGGACCAGTCGCGTTTAAGGCATGTACATTTGTGTATGTAGATGTGTGTAGGTACATGTGTAGCATTATATATTTTTTAGTACGTACCTAGTGGTGAAAATTGAGCCACGAAGGTGGTCCGAATATTATACATCAGAACTATCAAATTACAGATATTGGCTCAACCACAACTTAATCCGAGTCCGTCCACTTCTACCCTTGTTAAGAGAAATTAGAGCATTCTTAGATGTTACTCGAGAGGTGAGTACGGATATAATATTAATATTCTGTTAAAACAAAAGCAGAACTTTGAATTTATTTCAGTATTTCAAAGCATATATTATTTTTAGATTAACTATTTAAAAGTGTAATTATGTAGATTTGTCTAAACTTAAGAAATATTTTTTTTTACTTCGTTATTTAATATGGTATATGATATAGGTACCTCATACGATAATTCTTACGTTTCAGGTGGTTTTCCTCGACGCTCACCATTTTCCCGTGGGATTTTACGATCAGAATGGTGCTCCTATCAGATCGGTCCATTCGGGGCTCCTTCATATGGTACAAAAAGAACTCGGTGCCCACATCGCAGTAGCGACCCAATTCTACACAGGGCCTGGTACTAAGGGGCCAACACTACAAACTTTGAAAGACGCTGACAAGCGCCTAGTTTTCAACTATGTTGATAACACTATTGTAGCGGGTAAGTTTGTTGATTTAACTTAATATAAAAACCATTTTATTATTATATAATATTGAATCTGTTTCCGTTATTGATACAATTATAGGCAAGAAGTTATTCAGACTTAGTGCATAGGCGATGAAATTTGTTTTATTATTTCCTCGGGATTTAATTCTAGAAACTCTTGCGTTTAATGCAATTCTATACAATGCTCTTAATCGTTTGCCTATTATGTTATATATTGTTCATAACAGGAATCTTGAATTGTAATCGAAGATTTACCTTGTTGTGATGATTCCTTTCCTTGATTTTGAAGTTTTATTACTTTCACTACACTTTATATACTGCAGTGAAAGCAATAAAAAACAATATAGTGAAATGTTACACCGCGCGAAACTAAATGTTTCTCTTACTTATTATGTCGACTCTACTTTCGAACTTCTTTTTGCTAATTATTTTTATGCGGCGCGAAAAGTTTGATCAAATACGTTACATATGAATATCTTCAATGTATATCTATTCCCTTGCTATTTTATTTCTTGGACCTACGGTCAAGGGTAGTTTGCGGTCCGAAGAATGCCCTTGTATCGTAGATACAAGTGATTAAGCACATCGTTAGTGCAAAATAATACTCCCAGTCTAAGTCTGACAAATATCATAAAATTTATAAATATTAAGTATTGAGACAAAGTTATTTTTGTTACAGAAAATAATTGGCTGTGGCCGATTCTACCTCATTTATGGGCGAACACGAACAACCCTACAGCACTATTCCAGTACTTAGACCGTGCCATCAGCACCTCGCCACAGCCTAATGCTCGTTCACCTTTGTTCTCTGCAATGGCGCAAACAACTCCGACTGTTCTCGACATACTCTTTGTGAGAGGATCTCTGCGGGCAAACGCTGATCAAGTCAACAGGAACGTAACAGCTCGATTGGCGAGCGTCTGGCGTCAGCGGGCTAACATAGTCTCAACAGACTTCTTCCTCGCGAATGATGTTGTCGATGTGTCCATAGAGATCAGCGTGGAACGCTCCAACAGATTATGACGTCACGGTCGCTCGCGACACGGCGGACTCTTCTTAGATTTCAAGTATAGCCACACGAAAGCAAATGTTCACCGATCTCCTTGGCTTCCGATCACGTCACACGATCGGTACAACCACTAACCCCCGAGTTCACGGGGTCAATTGGTATAAATCGCTACTAATCTAAAATATCCGCTGCCAGATCGAGTCACTGCCACCAAAGGGTCAGCGGACAATAGTGAGATGAATTAACTTATTTTTAGAAATATGCTAGTCTTCTTCCCTATATACGGGAGTAAAATTGTGTAAATAAATATTTAGCAAATTTTCTCATCGTTTTATTTTATCGTAAATCAGATAAAAGAAACGACTGGTACTCTATAGCCTTACATAAATAATGAATTATCTCATTACAATAAATAATAACTTACATTAATAATTATACTTGCAACAAAAACGAGGTAGATTCTCTGTGCGGTTAGGCACATAAACAGTCTAATTGAGTATCACGTATGTGGCGCCAGTAGAGGCAAAAGTTCAGCTCTGCTCATTCTTGACAAAGCTCGTGCGTCTAGGCCCATAGCGGCGGCTGCTCCGTTCACGTCTAAACCAAAACTCTGAAGTAATGAAGCGAGGGCGACTTCTTCCCCCGTTCGGGGATCTCGCAGGCGCGGGCAAGAGCCATTGCACTGCGGCCAGGAACATCTCTCGATGAGTCTTCTTGGAGCGCAACGTCCACGTTCACCTCTATTTACACTTGCGAAGCGACGCTCCCAGCATCCAATCGCCCGAGGTAGCGACACGCCAGATACGTTAATGGCCAGCCATTCAGGTCTCGCCAGAGCTCCGTGCGCAATACAAGCGGGTGCAAACGTGGCTCTAACGCCTTTTAAACTTGCCCGTAAAGCTGTTCCCGTTTCGTGTACAGCGTCCCATTGCGCACGAGTCCGAGGAGCGCGTACACCTTCCGCTGTTAGCTGAGCTGAGTCAAATAAATACTGAAACACGAACAACGGTGTCCGAATATGCGGGTAAAGACGATAACCGAAGTAACATAACCATGGCTTTTCTTTATATTTTTTGACACAAGAAGATGGCGGTTGTCCCTGCCATAATGTGTGCCCCATTCTTGCTATTGCGTCTACGGATGATGAGCGTCGTGCTCTCGTGTGTCTGTCAAGAAACCAGCCAGAATCGGCTATAGCCGCTACTCGTATTCCGTGTGTTCTCATGCTTCGCCGTGCAGCATCAGCGTGAAGCATTACTCCTGTGCCACCAGCACTAGAGCCCACTAGAAGTAAGCGACCCTTGAGCCCGAAGTTTAGCAGTTCATTGAGTACAGCTTCAACTATGAGTCGACCGGTGAATGCAAAAGTATCATTCGTTGTCTTTACGCGAGTTCCAGCCCACATGTCGCTGGAGCAGTAAGGCAATAGGACGTGGTTAGAATTATGCCATAGCGGATTGGCTGTTTGATCCATGGAGAGTAGAGCAGGTGCGCGGCGAGCCCTGGGCCAACGAGCAGAAGACATCAGTCCGGGCCGTCTCCTCCAGCGCGATCCACACGATTTGGCATCCCAGCAGTAGCCGCCACCTTCCAAGTATACAACCCAGTGGTGACTGTTTGCACCGCGTCGAATATAGTATCTGTAACCCAAAAACTACGAATTTAATACATATCAGTCTAAGTAAGCGAATTATGTTAAAGGTAGTAAATAGGTTTTTAGATGCTTGAAAATAAGTATAATATTTTTATTTGATTTAAATTTCTTTGATTATGTAGTTTCAATTCAGTGATAAATATTTAAAACTTTTGCGCGCCGTCGTAACGTAGGAACCACGGCCAAGGCGGGGTAAGGCATCCCAAACGTCAGATCGTAGTTAAAAATTAATTAACTACTATATTTACAACCGTTGTAAAGTGCTTTATTTAAGCGAACTAAAGTTATAATTTAGTTTTAAGTGTACATAATATTATTTTAAACTTTGTTAGTTTAACCTTATCTTTAGATACAGGAAACAAACTCTTTAGCTTTAGCTTTTTTTTGTTTGTTTGAACGTGATAATCTCAGGAACTACTGGTTTGGATTGAAAAACTGACTGAAACAGTCTGGTTCCTTTTATGCTGGTTAGCACATTTATCGAGGAAGACTATCTATACTAATATACAAAGATGAAAAGTTTGTTTGTTTGTTTAAACGCGCTAATCTCATAAACTACTTTTTACATTTATTGAGAAAGGCTATAAAACATAGCGCTGTGACTAATGAGAGCGAAGAAACGGCAGGAAATGTCAAAAAAAAAAGGGAAAATTATTCATCCGTGTGGGTTTCCATTGCGTACGCTGCGAAAACGGTTCAAGATACCCAAAAAATATGTATGAAAGAAAGATGCCTCTTCAAATTATAAAAAAAAAATGTCCGTAACAGTATCTATTAAGATAAGTTTCTAAGAAGGACGGGACGCGATCTACGTCGTGGGTAACATTATTGATTTGAAAAACAAAATGTTGATGGCCAAAATCATTATGTACACGAACGAAGTCGGTAGCTCAGCTAATTGATTTTAAATAAAAAAGTAACACCAAATTATGCGCCTCACATGAAACATGCGTGAAAATAATTTAATTCTACATACCCTGCAGGTGTCCCATCATTACACGTAAGTGTCGCATTAGTAAGCCAGACCAGTCGTAAGCTGTCTGGAGGCGCCACGCTTTCACTTGCAGCTGACAGCAGGAACTGAAATTATAAAAAATATCTTATTTCACTTGCAAAGCTACAACAATTCTTAAATATATGTAACTTCTACCTTCCAAAAAATATACACTAGGCTTATCTATCCTCCTGTGTCATAAAAAAATAAGAAATACCTCTCACCCGCAAACATAGCATTGTTTCTAATATATTGTTGCCGGTTCACTTGTCGATTTTATTAGGAAACCTGACTGAGAATTAATTTTCCAGGATTTTAACCCAGGACCATTCGTTTGTCATTTCTACCACTGAGTTGAGGGGATATAACAGTTCCTTTTAACTTTAAGCTGCATATATGACAATTTTATAATCTAGTCGCCTAATTGGATTTTTATTACAATTGCAATGTTATTGTAGGGGCAACCCGCTTCGCTACGTAACGCATTACGATGCCAAGATATCTCGTTTACAATTTCAATATTTAAAAGTTATCGGGAGTCACGATGGAATTTAATTTATTAGCTCTTTTAACACTGTCCTTAATAATATTGAAAATTTCTCAAAACTTACTCCGTGCGTTGAATCAAAAGCTTCTCGGTAGCTTCAATGCGTATGGTTTATTTGTAAATAAGAGTACTTAAGAGCTATTATAGTGACGTTCTGCGAAGCAACGATCATTAGATTCCCTTTAGATCTTCAAACGTGGATATTAAGACACATTATAATATCTACTTATACTGTCATTCGGAGAATTATTCAACTTAACTACATTTATGTATGTATTCTCCTTTAGAAATGCTGAGATTTTATGAAAGAAATACGAAAATAATAAGGTACAACAAATAAATAAATTAATAAAAAATCGAATTTAGATTGAAAAAAAATTACGACGCGGAGAGGACTTGAACCGGCTATCCCTCGCGTTCCGTGCTGTTGGTCTAAACAATTTGCTATTGCTAATGTTAAAAGTTGCGATTGTAAATTTATGTGACGCCACCATGTGAAAAATATTAATGTTTTCATAACAAACCTTAAGATTTATGAGCAAGATTTTAATTACAAATGTTAAAAACACTGTCAGCCCAATTTCATATTAAGTAAATTAGATAAAACACTTTAACGGTTTAAAACGCGATATATTAGTTAAACTTATTTGAAAATGATTTTTAACTTCGGCCCGACGTTTCGGATGCTTTGCAGCAGCCGTGGTCACGGGCCGAAGTTGAAAAACATTTTCAAATAAGTTTAACTAATATATCGCGTTTTAAACCGTTAAAGTGTTTTATTTAAATGTGTACTACTCGCGTAAACTATAGACAGTATTTAAGTAAATTAGGTTGAAATACAGGAGTGTGATAAAAACCTAAAGTAAAGTTGTTTGTAGAGCTTGACGCATGGGCTAGACACATTTCTATGTGTGTTTTACTGATTTTATTTACAGGCAAATGAGTCTTATCAGAGTATTGTGCCCTACGTTATTGTTTTTAAACGAACCTATGATCTCTTGTGCTTAATGCGTAACGTTTGAGCCATAGAGACATGGCTTCGTTAACGAGATTAAGTTCTCCATAAAACTTCTATTGGCAAAGCGCTCGAAGTCTCCATCAACGCGTTTTAAAATAACTCTATTATGATAATATTGAAAAAGTAATTTAAATAATGCTAAATGATTGTTAATCGTTAATCTTCTATGCAATTTTGCTTACCTACGATCAAGATTGCACGACATATCTGCATAACAGATTATCTACTGGCGTCTTGTGCATCTAGTAATTACATATATAAAATAATAGTAACATGATTTTTATATGGCTGGTTCCATGAATAACACCTTTATACTTCACTAATTGTACTATAATATCATACCTCTATCTTATTACACGTACGTTTTATCCAGGAACTTTGACTGGCAAGTTGTAAGAAAAGGCCTTCCTAATTATTTGTGACCTGTCATACATAGTCCAGATAAGTTTGTGATAGTAGGTGAATATTTGCACATCTTGTACGTGAAAACTACTAAGCAAATTGCGAAATGTTCTGCAGTATACCTAGCTTGTGCCACAAAATTATGCAAACATACAAGCCTTACTTTAATAAATATTTCGTTTATCGTAAATGTAGTATAGTAACCTATAATGATTGGTTTTATTTAGGTCTAAAGAGATTTTAAGACGAAGGGGGCGTACCTACTTAATATCGTGCTATATTTCAAAGAAAGTTAGAATCATAGAAAGTTAATATTACAGCACTCATAGTAAGAATTCCTGAGTATGACTAATTAGGGCTAAAATCTACAAAAAAACAAAAACAAAAGCCAAATTAATGAGGATTATATTGGTAGGTAAATGTTTTTTTTTTTGTAAATCCGTGCGCCGTCTATTACATCCTCATCCACGTCACTTTCACACCTAAAGATGGATTAGAGGGACCTAATGAAATATCCAAATAAAAAGATGACGACTCATGCCCATAGGAAATATAAGCAATGGATAACATTTAAAATAACAATGATAAAGAGTTTGTTTGAAGGCACTAATCTCAGGAACTACTGGTGGGATTTGAAAAAATTTTTTGGTTTGGTTAGAGCATTTATCGAGGAAGGCTATAGGCTGTAAAACATCGCGCAGCAACTAGTAGGAGCGAAGAAACCGCGGGAAATGTGGAAAGCGGGGGAAATTATATTAATCTTTAAATGATAAAAACAATGCCCGCGACACTATGTTTATCTTCCAAGGCTAACTTGCAATGACGATAGGACGCGAAACAGTTATACTAACAAGGTTCATCTTTCTTTTTTTATTAATTTCATGTTTTCTAAAATAAGCTTGTATGTAAAAATCATTACAATTGTGCTTTCAGCAGTGACTGTTTATGTTTTTAAATATCTTAGAAATGCGAGTTAAATAGGTTTAAGAATTTTAAAATCAACTTACAACTTACCTTCACTCACACAAATATAGAAAATACCAAAACAAAAAATCTGGCACCGATAAAATTCTTTACAATACAAGATTGATATAGCATTGAAGAAAATCCCTCAAAACAGTTATCAAACAGATACGTAAAAACTTATATATGATAATCTCGAGAATTACACTGAAAATTGTTATCCAAATAAATAACGTACACACAGGGTCCACGCAAGGCAGCAACCTCGGGCCGGCACTGTTTGTCGTCGCACAATCATTGCTGGTTCCCGCTGATGTAGAGCAGCGAACGCCCGCGGCCATCGCACCCCATAGTGACCGCACCACTGCCATCGCCACTCGCCACTCGCAACTCGCCACCACGAGCACAGTAGCGACTTAGCCAGCCCCGCTACAAAAAGCCTCTATTTAGAACAAGGGCGAAGTCACAGAGTAGAACGCTGCAGAATCTTCGCTCGAACTTAAAACTCTCAACCGATAATTAAGTTCTGTTTAAGTTAAGCTTTTAACATTGAAACAATGTAAATACGTGTAATTCTATATTTACCTACTCATCTTAATTACGAAGTAATGTTATGTACTTACTTAGTAATTAAGATGTTTGTAACTTTGTAACTTGTTATATCTACTACCACCTAAGATATCGTCGAAAAGTAAAAATTAATAAAAACCTATAAAAACAACTATCACTAAATATAAATACTTATAAAAGAGTGTTAGCAAGGTATATAGAGCTTATTCTTTTTAGTATGAAGTCTAAATTCTTGAATACCGCTATTAATTTGCGGAAATTATTGGTAGAATACTGAGACATAGGTCGACTGTCGATTAGGGCTTGTCCTATCTGAGCATTACAGAGACTTCACAGACTCTTTCATCTTATACTAAATAAATTATTCCTAACTAGGAATCTTTGTAACATCAATACTCTGTGGCAAAGGGCCGGCTTCATACGCGGCGTCGGACCGAATAAAGGTAACAGGCGGGCTCGTTTATGTAGGGGCGGCGGGAGCAGTCGGCCGCGGCGGCAAGATCAAACGCTCCGCAGATCAAAGGGGCCGCCGCGCGATCGGCATCCGTCATTATTATTATGCAAGCATTACAGAGCGCGTGACTCAGGCGAGAGGGCCACGCGAGTAGCGCGGGCGTCGCGCCGGCTTACCCCCTCCGCCTCTCTAACTCAACATCTGTCAACAGCCTCCGCGCTGGAAGAATGAAGGCTTGTTTCCGTTACATGGGGCTTGGGACCAATGTTTGAGTTTATTTTTATCCTGTACCCTAGCCGATTGAAGCACTTTACCACGTATTCGTGGCTCCCAAAACATTTTATGTTATTACGGGGCAGCATCTTCATCTGTGTTACCCGAGTGTTTCATTTTGACAGTTCGTGCTGTTGAAAAATTACTAGTTTATAACATATATTTATTTACTAGTAGTCTTTTTATTTTGTTATATATTTTAAACTCTAAACAATAGTACATAGTTAATGATCTCAACGTATAAATAAAACATGTTAGTATACCATAAATACCATGTCTCTTGTCCTTCTGAAGTTAAAATAAATAATAAAATGTAAATTTACAATAAACTAAATAATTTAACTTTTAATGACTACAACTACGTTTGGGCAGCTTAAAATCGCCGTCGCATTTTAAACCGTTAAATCTTGATTTGTTTGTCGTGTTAACAACACAATATTTACCTAGACCACATGACATTGAATCCAAAGCTTTTTACGAAAACGCTATTTGCATAACCCGATAACATATTTGATATTGTCCTTAGTAGTTTTGTTATAAATAGTTATAACCAAGATATAATAAAATAAGTTAATAACATTTAAACGGTAACTGCTCAACGTCTGTTTAGATATATCAAATAAGCCCTGAGATTAGGTATTAACGAACTACTGGCGATATTATTTATCATAGTACAGTGTTTAAAACGGTCTATGTGTCCAATTCAACTATCAACAATAAACCTAAATTCATTATTTAAGTCTTAAGCGTGAGTGAAATGCGGAAACCTGAAAAATTGTTTATGGGGCAGAGTATAAAAATAAAGGTCCTTTCTTGTAATAAGCTTGTTAAAACGAACGATACGTAAAATAGACATATCTATCCTAATAATAAGCTAAAGAGTTTATGTTTGAAGGTACTAATCTCAGGAACTACTGCTTCGATTTTTTTTTATGTTGATTGAACCATTTATTGTGGAAGGCTTCTAAAACATCAGGCTACGTCAATAGGAGAGACAAAACTGAGGGAAATGTGGGGGCGTGCGCTGCAAAATATGTAAAAGAATTATTCTTCTTTAAATAGTCTTTTATGATTTACTAGCTGGCGCCTGCGACTTCGTCTACGCATGATTAGGATTAAGTATGTATCGCGCATTAAAACTAAATGATGTCTATCATATCATACATAACATAATTATGTGTAACTAACGTTTATGGCAGCGCACGCAGAAAGGTAGGTGTTTTCCTAGTTACTTGACACTTAATGTCATATTTTGGACAGCTCACACAATATCTTTCTAAATTGTAGCCTATGTATTATTCCGATGTATAAGCCATATTATTGGAAAGTTTAATAGAAATCCATTCAGTAGTTTTTGCGTGAAAGAGTAACAAACATCCATCCACACATACAAACTTTCACGTTTATAATATTAGTAGGATTCAGAAGAACCGTTTTTTAAGGAATTAAATTTCGTCAAAATAACATTTGCCAGGTCAGCTAGTCACATAAGTATCCGTCCGTGACAACACCAGGTACAACTCCTACGCGAACGTACAATATAGTGCGTATTTTTAATCTCGACTTAAGATAAAACTTAAAACTTATCGATATTAAATTGTTTAAAGTGACTGTTTACAATAGCATTATGGTATTATTGGGCTTAAGTAGAATATAATTAGCGTGCGGTCTTCCGCTTTCGATGCTTGTACCTGCCAGTAAAAATGCCATCATAAAGCCGGGCCGGCACAATGTAGCCTTTGACAGTTGGTACCTTTGATGCCGACTCTGATATACGAGCCGATCTCATTAAACTTATTTTATCGACTCCCGATACAACATCTACACCCTGTGCCACATAGCATGATAAGTTTTAACTCGTCTCCCCGTGACCACGGCTGCTGCAAAGCATCCGAAACCTCGGGCCGAAGTTAAAAATCATTTTCAAATAAGTTTAACTAATATATCGCCTTTTAAATTATTGTGTTATTTGTGCTACAAAAGTCATGAATTTAAGAAGAAGAAGATAATTGAAGAAAATATTAACTTGACCTTGCGTGACGAAAAATCGATTGTGGAATAGAACTTCTTTAATTAGACACCTTTATATCTTAAATATCTGACTTAATAATTACCTGCTTTTTTGTAATTGTAATATTAATATCGAAAAATTTTCATTATATGAAATATTGATTTCAATAACAAATCGAAAATCTAATCTAAATATTCAACTCACGAAAGATTAATCCTATTCCTGTTGTGAATCTTGGCATCCTATATTAGACAGAGTATAACTATCCGTCCAATAAATCAGAATCTCTGAAAGAAATGTGCGATCCTAAACAATAAGTAGAACATTCAAATTGTTTATAGCGTATTAAACCCATTATGCTAGTCGGAACGATCTTCCAAAGGAACGAATGAATCGGAACGATATTCCGATTCAATAATAAAGGACTATTATACAACTCATTTTCCATAACAATAACCCTGTTTTAATGCTCTCTTTTAATCGCTTCTTATTAAATTGTTACGGGTAGGTGGTAAATAAGAAGGAAGACGATTATTTTTGATAGGTTTGTATTTTACTAACTACGTTCGTGTTTAAAAATACAGCGCTTTAATTATTGGTAAATATAAAACTGAAGCTTACTGCAATAACACACGTTATCAAAAAAGTGGGGTACGTATCCACTACATTTTTTTTCCTTCAACAATTCAACCCACATTTGTAGTAACAATATATAGGTAACTGATTTTCAAACTGCTCTAGTTTTTCGCAAAGGATTCATTATAAAGTAACCATTAAATATAATAGTAATCAATTCACAACAATAATAATTTAGATAGCTTTTTATCATTGGAATATGTAAAAAGTTCGCACAATGTGACCTCATTTTGCAAATGGACCCGCGCCAAAAAGGGAAAAGTAACGAAGCAATAAGCAAACAATGGCAACAAGTAATAAATTACTAGTCACCTTGCGTCGGAGCAAGAAATAATGGTGGTCTTTTTACAGAGTCCAATCGACTCGCTACCGGGGTTCGCACTGATGTCCGCAAAAAATGCTTTGGTCATTCCCGGTGACGCTTAGCGTACAATCATCCACACAAATCAATTCAAAACATAATTTATAAATGGCGTGCCAAATTTTTTTTTACCCAAATAATCAAAGGGAAACTATAGCAATATCATGTTGACCTTGCTAAATCTAACAAAGAAAACAATCAACGCATAAAGACAGAATAATATTTATAATTAGAGCTATTAAAGTTTATTTTATAATGTCTGTAAGCCCGCGGTTCAAGGTCCTCCATTTCACATTTAAAGCCACAATTATATTTTACTGTCAGTAGAGCTCTTTCAATTAACTTTAAAGAGCACTAGTACTAATTACCATCATAACTCTTTGAATACACCACAAAAATAACAAAAGCGATTACAGTGGGAGCGAAACGCTATTTTAAATCGACTTTACCGCCTCGATCGGCATAAAAACAAGATCAAACGCTGCCAGCGGCCAATTAACGTGCGCCGAAACACTTTTGTCACTGACAGTCCGCATGAATAAGCATAGCGAGCGTACGAACGGAGTATCGTAGTCCGTGGAGTAGTGCGATTCCCCGCGGCCCGCAGCCTCCGATTCACAATAAATCTGAACCGATAAGTAGTGAGGCGGATCGTCGGCGCGGCTCGATCAAAGCGAGGGGAGCACATGAAACGAGCCGCCGCGCGCTCAGATGTTACATTCGATAGCGCGTTTCCATCCACGCCCGGCACGTCTAATTGCCCCTTTGTCCGGTGACATTTTAATTAATTTGATTTTAATGCTGAATGACACGACGAACCGCACCGCGATGACGAAGGTCCCGCGGCGGAATTTTATTTATTTTCCGCAATACCTGTCGGCGACGTAATTTACTTTGAAAACGTGGAGTGAAGAATTATACGCTTTGATTGAAGTATCTTCAATTTCATAGACGCATATAATACTAAAGTAAATAATTGGTTCTCATTCATTGTACGATATTCTTTAGATTAACTCGTCTCGTTGCACAATGAATACAGATCAAACAGTAGGCAGCGCGTAACAGTTATTATCGCTTTATATGCACGAAGTAATAACACCTTTGAAAAGTCCGTCAGCTACTGGCGTCTTGTGTAATTAATTCGCCATAAACGACTTCGCCACGACCAGTGACGCATTTAATATAACGACCCGTATCTACCCCATGTTGCTTTTAATACGTTCAAATTACAATTAAATATTCTTATTGCTTATCTTAATTCTCTTTAAAATTAGAAGTTTGTTTAAACACATGAAAAAAAAACGGAAGATATTTGTAATTATCGTACCTCCGTCCTCCATTAAGATATATAATAAGTATAATACGGTATACTAAATTCCACCAGAAATGTTTGGCGATTTTAATATTTCTCAGTCTGTCATATATGCTAATACCATAGAGAAGAATAATAACTGGAAAAAAGATTACAAAATTGGTATTTAAAACAGCTTTATTGACACGAATAAATAATATATTATATGCGAAAAAAGGTAGCCAATTATTGACGAAAATATAGAGAAAATGACATTAAAATAAAACTCTAATAAAAAACAAATGATTTTTCCAAGTTCAGTAGAGATATAAAAATATTATACAACAATAATAAGGCACGAAGTTTTATCACAGAACATCTAGTTATTTCTTGTTTATACACACCAAAGGTTTTGGGCAAATCTAAATACAACAGGCATACTTTATAAATCGAAATTATCGGACTTGCCCAAACTCCTTTAAACATACCATTTTCTTATACTACATAAAACATAAATATTTTGACTAATCACATCGCTTAGTTATGAACAGAAAATAATATTAAGAACTTTGAATGTGAGATCGATGCAAAACTTTTCATGGGCAATAAAAGCTATCTAGACATGTACTGAGAATGATAGCAGATCCCTAAAAAAACCTACTTCAAAATGTAAAAGATTAATTGAGGCCGCTAGAGGCAGAGAGTAGCCTGCAATTTTTATGACTTGAGTTATTAATATTTTCATATTCTAAAAATAAACAAGAGCACAGTGATTTTTACATAAATAATATGTTATATATATAAAATTATTTTTCGCCTAATTTAATTGCACATTTCTATTTTACTCCTTAATGAAAATCATGTTTTTTTTATATGGCCACTCTGCCTCTAGCAGCCCCATTCTAGAGCTTGCCATGTAACATCTAGAAGCCAATGATGAACGAGTAGCACCGTTTAGCGCGAGATTCGCAAAAACTTTAAAATTAACATTGCTCGATCGTTCCAATTAACCGTCGCAATAACAAAATATCAACTGTCAGTCTACGTGTTTCTTGCTACACGATATTAATGATCTTATAAATTAATGATAATGATTTTATTGCGAGATAAGTTAAAATTAAATTAAACCTAGCTTAATCTCGTGGACATTAAAGTATGTAGTTAACTTTTTGTATACTTCGTAAAATAGGAATTATTGGGATTTACAGATTTGTAATTTTCGAAAGGTTACAATATAAAACCGTTAGCTTTGGTACGATAGTTACGTAACACATACACGTAATGTAACATAATGTGACTTATATAAAAAAGAAGTAGCTATCACTCTTTAGTCTCTACAACATATTCTGAATTACACCTTTGACAATGACAATATATTCTTAGTTACTATACGGCGAAAACGAACCACATTTACATCAAAATTAGATTCGAATGAAAATAAATTGCTTGATTAAAACTGCACGAATGCTAAACTGCTTACTGTGTGCAACGCACAAACTAAAATTTACGATGTACATGCTATTCTACACTTTTGTTCCACTGTTCGGCCATTTTTATACATGTTAAAAACGAATTTAAAAAATAAAGATTAACGATAATTTTACGAGACATTTTAACGTCATATTTCCATTTAAGAAAAAAACAATTTCAACAAAACACCATCTGTAATTAAGTTCTTGCCTTCCCTTTTTTAGCATTCGTTTTATTTACTTAGATATCAATGTTTTCATAACTTAGTTATAGGCAAGCGTTGATTCGCTGACATAGCTGTCTGTATACTTATTCTGTAAGTTGTATCACACGTGTGTACTTTTATTGCTTTCGATTATGCATACTTATTGTTTATATTGCTTTATAATTAATAAATACAAATAAACGAACCACTGTATACGTATTCCTTTTATTGGCGTTATTGCTTATAAGCTCAAAATTACGCAGATACTTATTAATAAAGCATTATCTACATTGAATGTACAAAATGTAAAAATTCTACAAACTTGTGCGTAGTTGTATTGTGAACTCAGCCTAATGAGAAGAATTGTTTACTTGGCATTTTCTGTCTCTGTTTTTTGATAAACTCTCTCGCTTGCTTGTCCCCTTGTCTTGACTCCAGTGCTTTAATGGCGTCACCATCTGAAATATTAATTTTATTATTACAATGTCTGATTATATTTAAGTATTTTTTATTATAAACCCTGAATAAAAGGGGATTCAGAGAATTTACGTTACTGTGTGTGTAAAACTACCACTGATCGATTTATTATTTGTATTTACAGGCAATGCTTTACTTCTGTAGCCCGACCGAAAAACTTATCGCTTCCCCTGGATCTACACCACATGACCTTCGTTAATCTTCTTAATGCTTTTCTCTGACACTGCTCCAATATTGCTGATGGCATACTAGGCATAATTAACCTGAATACTTATGTTGTATTCAAAATCTATTTATATATTTGATACAAAATAAAAATAGGAAAATATCAATAATTTTATCATAATCGTATTTATCGCCTAGAAATTTGTTTTTTTTTTAACTAAAGCTTAACCATTGTTCGTGTTTAATATATATTTTAAGTAGTACTTATTAATGTTAGATATAGTAATTTTGTTCTTCCTCTTACCAATGTTACTGGGTCTTGAGAGGGGTAAATGCTGTTGCGACAGACTGCTAATCGGCGCGGGCGTCTCTGGAACTTCGCTAAAATGTACGTAGGCTTCACCCACAAATGTGTTGCTGACACTGAACATATCCTTGTCCTTTATCACGAAGTGTAAGAGCCCGTCTTGGATGCGACGCTGTTCCGGTGTTAAGGGTCTATAATAAATAGATCGAGTATAGTATTACTAGGAAACACATTTAGAAGATAATTCTATATTTCTAATACCTGATCCTAAATAAATATTGTTATTTTAACTTTGACATCCACAGACGATAAAATTTTATACATACGCTCTTATTATGAGTAGTATCTATAATTTCATGAATTATTTAGTGGTTAATGTTTTTTCAATAAATTCATGGGAAGAATAAAAAAGAAATAACCCTTCACTCAACTGAAGGCTTTAGGAACTGGGTGAATATATTATTAAAGTATCAACGATTAACACAGTATTTATTAAAAATGTTACTTACATTACGAACATTTCGTCATACAACGGAAAGAGGTTTTTGTTATGAGTCTGAGTCTTAGGTTTCTCGACGTTTATAAATGTGTCTTCAGGTAACAACGCAACTCGGACGTATGAGTCGCAGAGACCTAAAAAATGCGAAATGTCATTATTAAACTTTAACAGGTATATATAAAACACCTTTTTTAATGGATATCAGAGCTGTCTATATGTGGTAGATATTTTGATATAATATGTGTACAATCGTTTTTATTTGGAGAACATACCGTTAGAATCCGTGGCCATCAAATTCCTAGCGTTCATGACTTCGATCTTAAGATTATTATCTATAAACTGCGCACGCACAGTCAACAATCCCATCTTTGGCTCGGTAACGGCCTGCTGTTCATGCCATCTCTCTAAGTGGTACTGGTGTATCAACTCCCTTGTCTCCATACCGTGGAGTTTTAGTAAATATTCCACTCGCTTAAGCGTATCAGACGTATAGATCTCCTTGTTATCTTGCCGGAACGATCGCACCATTATCTTTAAACATTCGTGAAGGTTCGAGAAGAATGCGGGTGGTCGTCGTTTCTGGAAAAACTTTACCGTTATTGTATCTTCCTTATATAACCTTGGTGGTATACTTGTGTAAAGCTCAGCATCACCAAGTACTGTTGGTGTATCGTCTGTCGCAAAATATAGTTATTAACATACATTTCAAGACATATAACTAGATTATAATTAATGACTATTGATTGGAAATATCTTGTTCTTGAATATACCATGCTTATTTCATGCTATGATATTCGGGGAGTATGGAGATATATTGCTTTCAATGACAATGTAAACGCAAATGCGACGCAACATAGTTTAACAAAATATACCCCATTACATTCTGGTATGGTATATGTAAAATAATAGAGGCAAACATTTTAAGCTGTCAACATTCCCAATACATATACTACATATAACGCTATAATGCACATATTCTCTACAGTGATAGATTTCAGGAACCTGGGTTTTGTATTCATCTATAAGTGACTCTTTGTTTTTAGATAGGCTGTCCCACACAAGTTATAATTCAACCAATAGGAACTACCTTCATTTATTTTGGTTGATTTTTTTTTGTGCTACCATCGCAACCGTTTGCCACCAACACCGTCGGTAATGTTTAAGCTTAACCTAGATAAGGAACATATAAAAAAACAATGTTTACTTAAAATTGCCAACCACAATGTTAGCTCCAAATTCTAAAAAAAGGTTTGTAAGTAGACTAATAAAGGTAGCAAGATTTTCAAAGTTTGTTTACATTTTTTGTTTTTTAATAAAATTTATATTTTTATTAAAACATTATTTGTGTATTAATTCCAAAGTTACCATGACACTGTGATTTTGAGTAATTGTGCGAGATTTTTGCAAAACGGTATTACTAATCGAACATAGACAATCCCAAAATACAGAATACCAAACACAAGACCACACTAATCTATAGGATATAAGGCACAGATAAACATATACAGCACATAAACAAGGTGCTCTGTAATCTATGGTTTACCGCGTCTAAGTTGGCGGCGGCTGATTTGGTCAATCGTCTCGGGTCGATATACCGTGTTATCTTTGCCCTGCGGTGCTATCAAACAACATTTAAATAAATAAAAATATAACTTTCAAGATGACTAATAAATAAAAAACAAATAATGACAGTGCAATATTAACGCGTGCATTTTAATCAACTATTTACCCGAAATGTTAGGTTCAGTGGCGCAACTTTGTTTTTGACAAAACGCATTTTATAGAAGCGGAAACGGGTAGCGACTGTCTTTTTCTACAATTAAAGTTAGATAGTTAGTGAAACACTGTTAATTGAATTGATCCAGTGAAGCTTTATGTAATCAAGAAATACGATAAAAAGCATTTACTACTACAATTTCAATCAATCATCAATCATATAAAAAGGATACTAAAAAACAATTGTCTATAATTTCACTAGATCATGAGAATATTAGCACAAAAATTAAATGAGCATAAACAAATTAACAAGCTCTCACCTCCAAATTAGCTTGTATTAACTCATATAGGACCTCGCCGAGTTGTTCCCACACAATATCTAGCGTTCTTGAAAAGTTTTCGTTGTTGAGGTGTTGATATAACGTGTCCAGGTTAGCTTCAAGATACCGCATGACTCGGTCCATACTAGAACAGTCTTGGTGTAAGAGTTCAGCTCCTTCCATCAAGAAACGGGTGATTGATGGCATCATCTGTTAAACACATACGGTCTTCCATAAAAAATATATTTATTAGTTCACATTTAAATAAAACACTTTACCACGACTGCTGCATAGCATCCGAAACGTCAAGCTGTAGTTAAAATAAGTTTAACAAATATATAAGTCGTTTTAAAACGTGTAAGTGTTTTATTTAAATAGTAGTTATTTGAAAAGTAACAGAAAATACCTAGGATGCTACTAAACTTAGATTTTAAGGCTATTATGTAGATAGTTTTGGTCTATTAATTTGTAACTTGTGTCTTATTGGGCGATATAACCTAATTAGGTTAAATAAAGCCTATTAAATAAAAATAAAAAAACCGGAAAAAACACAAAAGGAAAATCCAAAAGTGGATTTAAACCTAATATAAAAGATATTGACCGATGTATTTTTACACGTAAAATTTCTCTTCTCTAAATATTTCAAAACGCCAAAGGTATATTTTAGTAAGGGCTAATAGTTTACCTTCTTAATCATGACTTCAAGTAGCTCCACGATTTTGTTTTTCACCGTGTCTATTGCATTAGCTATGACGTTGTGAAGAGTGTCTCGACATCTGTTTAAATGAAAAACAAGTTCTGAATTAGTAAACTATAAGACATGCTGTTCCTAGAAATGTATGTTTTCCTTGCCACAATATCATGAGTATGCATTCAAAGACATCGGAAGTCAGCTGATACACCGAAAACATTGGACAAATTCCTATCGGCCTCATTACTTACATTACATTTAACGACATGCCTAATAAAGATTTTGCCCATTTTGGAAGAACCTGGTGGATAGTTTTAAACAACAATAATGGTTAATTTACCTCTGTGCTTCAACTGGAGATCGAGCCTCGCACATCTTCTGTATAATTTCATCCATTCCCAGCTCCTCAACAAAAGGCTGCAAGCTTTGCCGCACATAATCAATGTTATTGATGGCAACACACCATTCAGTTGTCACCTCGAACCGCTCTTCGTACACCGTGCTAACAGTTCCCACACTCTCTACCCGAGTCGCCATTTTGTCAGAGTAAAATACACAACAACGGCAAATGTCCTGCAAAATTAAATAAATGTAGCTATCAATACGATTTGTATAGTGCGGTATAAGGATATAAATATAAATAAATGTTTCATTCTTAAAATAATCTAAAGCTCGCATATTTGTATTTTTTATATCTCGGGATGTAAAAGCTAAACCTTTTAATTGTGTTTCCGATATGTAATTTGTCCACTATCCTATTGTAGTATTTTTCACACAATACTAGCTGCGCCAGCGACTCCACCCGGGATATAGAAGGTTTAGGATTTGAGAGTTAAAAAACACTTAGGTATATTATTTTTCAATTATCCAAAAATATATGGTAATAAGCAAATTAGTAATTTGGATTTTACTCACATCAATAATTTTCGCAACAAACGTATAGCATCCTTCCACGTCCGGCCAAGCCAGTTGCTGCCAGAAAATTTTGATCTGGTAGAAAATAGCCAAGGTGTCAACACCCGAGCTACTGTACTTGACGTTTCCATCAACAGGAACTAAATTATCTAATTCGACTGCTTTTTCAATTCGGGTGAGCGCTTTGAATGCAGCGATATCCAGCCATTGTGCCACTCCACCAAAGAACCAAGAATGAAATTTGGATATGGAGTAAGAATTCCATTCCACTTCATTTAGACCTTGACCCAATCTGTAAAATAAAATATTAAATTATTGACAATCGCTTTTTGAACATTAAAGCATCACTATTTAAGAATTTAGGTTTTTTATTTTATTTTATATTAGGTTATTTATTAGGACTTTACTATTTACTAACCCTTTTTCACGCTGACAAATAGATCTTCAAAAGATCCTACACAATAACATACTAGGTAAACGTTAAAAAGTTTCAAAAGTAATATTTCAACTTTAATAAAACGTGATAAAAACAAAGACAATAATGTCGATCGTTGATAATAAAAGATACGTTGGGCCATAGTCAACATTAATAGTAAATAAGTAAGTTAAATAACTACCCGCATTAAAAGTAGACTTAACAAAACTAAATAAAATAACTTAACTACAATAAAATAAGGGAACTTACGTTAAGAATCTCTGCAATGCCAAGTACAACTCGAATAACGTGGTTCCCATCGCTAAAGGTTCTGATCCGACTTCAGGTGTGCCCATCCCTGTTGCTCCATTCAACCCGCCTGCTAAATGAACGCTATTAGTCGAACCTTCGCTATATCTCAACCGTTTTAAACTCTTGCACACTTGCAGCACCTCTGGTTCCACGAGTGACGCTATTTTATCTTCATAGACTCCGTAAAGTGCTTTTGAGTAAGGGAAACTCATAACCCTGGAAATTTAAGATTTGTTTATTACTTTTTTTAATCCCTTAAAAAAACACTCTCATACACACACATATTATTCGGACAATAAACTTATTAAATGAATCTAAAACATTTTACTGTCTTCGTACTTTCTGCGTTCTGCTATAACGTATAAGTGTAAAGCATTAATGACCAAGTGAATTTCTAGCAGACTTTTACAATAAGAAATATAAAATAGGATTACAATAGGAAATACTCACTCAACAAAAACTCTATCAAAATATTCAATAGCTCGTTGCAAATCCGATCGGACCAACTGAATCACCCTTATCAAATGCTGTAGTCTAGAATCTTCCGTTTTATCTTTACACTCATTGTTATCCAATATATGGACAAACCAGTCCGCAGCGCCTTGCACCACAGCTTGATTTAGGACATCGAACATAGATAATTTACTACCATCAGTATTATCTTTTAACCAGCCATAGAGATTAGAGGGAAACAGGTCTACTGTCTCTGGCACATCGAGAGAAGACAACTTGTAAAGTATTCGCAGTACTTCGCGAAGGGTTTTCATAACTGTTTTATCTCCGGCTGTTTTCTTTCTAAGTTTCCTTATGTGGCTGTAGCATGTTGGTAGAAGCTTCTTTGTACCGTCCCAAAAGAGTTTTACATCTTCTTCGTTGACTAGACCTAGAATTGCAAATTAAAAAAATATATCGTATAAAATAGAGTTTAACAACCATCTGTCGATAATCTAACAGGTGTTATATTATGTATTGTGTTACTTTCAACTATTTCTTAATTAGAAAAGCAATGTTCGCTTGAGTAAAATGTAAATTAGATTATATTGAAAAGGTAAAGCATTATATAGTTTTATAACAATTGTTGCATAATATAAGTGTTATTCTTTGTATTAATTATGTAAAATAACTTTTAGCTAATAAAAATAATGAATATATACAGCTATATTGATTGAAACATACGCCATTATCTGGTTACTTGATCTGCACGTCAAGTAGAAGATTGTAAGATAAAGTTCAGTTGGAATCTTCCACATTAAACGTGGAACACTGATTTGATTACGAATACATATTGCAAGTTCGCTGAACGCTTTTTAGATTACTTAATAAAATTATAGCATAACGTATTAGTGTAACTTGTGGTACGCCCACATGGAGTGAAGTTCGGAGACAACTTTTAAGTATAGATTTTTTCATAGTATACACCATAATAATACTTTAAAGATTTAAAACGCATAGTATTTAATTTATTTCTAGTTACGTTCTATCGTTTCGAATGTTTACGGGAGTAGGTAGAAGTACGGGGAAGAGACCCTGCGAGATCATGGCTGCTTTTTTATTTTTAATATCTAAGGTGATCGTTTTTTAAGGGAAATTATCTCGATTGTAAGTATTGTGTCATTTGCAACTAGCGCATTGAAGGCGTAAGGTAACAATAAGCAAACTTTAATCAAGCGGAAAACGCAAATCCCAGATTCAACAACAGAGCTATAACAATTCGATTGTCACGTGACATGTTGATAATGTAATCGCGTTTGTTTAATAAATATAGCGGAAATTTGCAAGTAACTGTATTATGATGTCACTTGTACAGGTTTTAGGTCGGCAATAAACTTGTTAAAAGAACATGTCCATATAGATAATGCAAGATAATTGTAGTGCTTTTTATTCTATGAAGGACGTTTAGCTAATTAAAAAGTACTAATTGTAATTTTTTAAACTACTGTTCAACTTGGCGCAATATTTTTTTGCAGTTATGGCGAGATAGAATATTTATGCCCCTTTTCTAAGTAAGACAATGCAACACCATACTATACAACAAAAGTGTGGACGTTTGGCCTTTCTCGACCTAAGTACTAATTCATTCTATTCTATTTCTATATAATAAAAGTAATGTGTTATATTAGCTCACCTGACTGTAGCGGTTTGGTTATTTTATCCAAAAGGATGTTAAAAAGCGCGAAGCTCAACGGATGATCTACTGTCACTGCGCAAAACACTAGCCACTGCGCCAAAAGGTTGTCTGTCTGTGTTAGACCACTTTGCGCAGCGTGCTGCGTCAGTATACCTTCTGCCGGTGCACTGAAGTTACCACACCACCAATAGTGCGCTACCTAAAATTGATTTTTGATAAATATTATTTTATATGATAAAAATTATTAATGAGTTTATTTTACAAAGTAATCTAACGATGTAAAATATATTTAAAAAAAGTGAAATCCCGATGGGCACGATGCAGTGTCCATACCACTGATCGATTATATGTATATAAAAAAAATTACCACCAGACGTTATGCGATGCCCGAACGGAACCCAAAACCATGAATTTAATGCTAACTGATTTACAACTGAGCGTTAGTCTTTTGTTTGCTCATAAATACATGAAAAAAAGTAATGTGTCGATTCAATTTGAGATACATAGACGTCATACTTAAAAAAAAATCATATTACTCATATACCTTTGAACTCTCCAATTCGTGGAGCAATAATATTCTTAGCAAATGTCGATGCTCCTGCGCAGCCACTTGTGAATTCTTCTCGGATGAAAAGTTAAAACGAACTTTGACAACGCCTTGCCGACGAACTTTACTCTTTTTACTGAGATTTAACCACATTATCATACCTCCCGCTGGTATTGACTGGAAATTTAGAAACATAATTACTAAAATACTTTCGTCTAACTTATTTGTATAATTTTATTGGTTTTACGTTTGAAGGTTCAAACTTGAAAAATTAAATCTAAATAAGATGTTTATCTGAGCAAACATTACTTAAAATAGATTCTGTGTTAAGTGACTAATAATGTACATAACTTCGTAACAAAATCCTCAAGAGTGATGAATAACGTTACCTCACGTCTGGTATGGTCACGTGAGTCACAGGAAATTTACACACTGACTATAAAAGACCATTATTTTCATACAATAATTCGAGTTTAACTATTGTATTAACACCGTTTTGTAACATGTAAAGGTCTTTGAACTTATCCGTTAGACTATTAATAATATTGTCTTAAGAACGTCTGACAATAGAAGGCCATCTACTTTTTATAGAAGTAGGCTTGTATGTGTATCGTGATGAACATATGAGGCCGCTAGAGGCAGAGTAGCCTAACTGCAATTTTATGACTTGACTTATTTATATTTTCATAGTCTAAAAATGTTAATCTAAAAAAGCACAGTGACCGAAAATCGTTACCATAATGTTTACATAAATAATATATAAAACTTATTTAAATTCATTTTTCTTAAGTTAATTGCGCATTTTTATTTTCCACTTCATTGAAAATCATGTTTTTGTTATTAGGCCACTCTGCCTATAGCAGCCTCTTATTAGACTTACTTTGAGAGGTATATTAGATGTTCCGATCAGTTCGTTGTCGTGTTTGCCAGTGGATGCGGTTATTGCTATCTCTTTCATTAACTTCCTAAGGCCTTTAACGCCTTTTACCTCAAAGATTTTCGTCATCTTTTCCTTAACTGTTTCCGCCGGGTCAAAGTCCCTGTAATTTCATTAAATCTTTTAAAAACCACCCTCCGAGGCTTACTGTTTAAGGTATAACCTACCAATATGCTAAGCGTGAAACATCCTGACTTTGAATCTATGAAAACATTTTAGTTTCCATTAGGCAGAACGCAGAAGTCTCATCAACTACTTGTTAATGTGTCCATCTACTAACACAAGGGAAACGGGATTTCACGTGACAAACATAAAATAAATTAGAAAGTTTAAATAAAACACTTTAACGGTTTTATCGAGTTTTAATCCGTTAGTGTTTTATTTCAAGGTGCACTACTCGCGTCAAGTATAGACAGTATTTAATTAGAAAGTTTTATTTTTTGTAAATAAAAAAGTTGCAAGGAAATCTTACTGTGTATAATATTTGCGAACTTAAAGTTTTAAATATATATTTTAAAAATGATTTTAGGTTAATCAAATCATTAAACAGACACTATTGTTATATGTAGAGGATATGTACGATATTGTGTATACATTTTAATTGTATAAAGTGACACTCACCAAACTTCTAGTACAAGTGTATCTTCTTGAACGTTTCCGGACATTGGTCTGTGAAGTAATAAGATTTGTTATTGCTTGTGGACCAAAGACATAAGATCTACATACATTTTACGTAACAAAACAGTTTCCGCCTTTAAACGCAAATCGAAGTGCAAGGTTTACAGGTTATTTCAACTAGAGTAATCGTAAAACTAGAGACGGTGTTGTAAATGAAATAAGGACTATTAAATTAAGCTTACAAATAACTGTGTACAAGAAAACAGTAGGCGTTCAAATTTGAAAAAAAAAATAAAGCCCTTATTGTACATCTTAATCATAAAGTCAGTACGTTATATGTTAAATACTTACAATGAAAAATGTTCCTCCCAAACCGGGTTTAACGTGCTAGATTTTACAGAAGTATTATATCTATGCGATGTATTGGAAGTTAGGTAAATTGTGACAAAAGGGTCACTCAACCCATTTGGGTCTTTAGGAACTAGATCCTTTCCTTCAATCACTTCTACGTTTAACATCAGTTCTGGGGGTTCCTTGGCTTCAGCTTGCGTTAGAAGTTCTGTATGTTTGTCATTTGAGATTTTGAAAGCCTCTTGGACGTATGAGAGCATCGCTTGTGCTCCCACCTCACAGCCTATGTCACTTCCGCCGACATTGTGTAGTATTTCATAAAGTACCTCCAGGTATAATTCATCGACCTGTAAATAATACAATCAATTCTTATCCACCCCGAACATAAATTCCGATTCGAACGCTCAGTCTCATTTTTATGTTGCACAAGAATAAACATAAGAACAGATAAATCTTCCAAAAAGAAACGTTTCCAAATAAAAATCGAACTAGTTTGGATCATGGCTATGGTCAGCACACAAGAATAAACAAACAAAACATACCGAAGAATCATAATAATAAACTAATTTCATGAACTATGAAAAAGTATGCACTTTAAACACTCTTCCGCGTGCAACTAGGTCAAAATGTGCAATAGCGCTAGTTGCTAAGATTCACCCTAAACAAAACAGAAATATCGATCAATTTTGAACCCTGTAGTATTTGTATCTGTTAACATTAATAAATATAATATTTCAAATCGAGGGACTATAGACAGACTGTATACGATTTTGTATAGTAGGGAAGTTTGTGCGCCGTCGTGGGAAATCTATTGATCTAACGGAAAAGTGGTAGCTTTGATTATCCACTGCATAGTACTAGCCTTGTATGCGTCTGACTAAACATAACTCTGCTTTTACAATCAAATATATTGTAATACGTATTAAAATGTAAAAACGTTTGTTTGTGCCCGTTTCATACACCTACTCGAAAAAGTACTTTATTTTTAAACGCTGCAGTCATGCACGAGTTTTTCGAAGACAAAAAATGAACTAAGCTCTCGTCACCAAATATTTCCGGTCAAAGAATTCCGCATAATAATTTTATTTACATTGTTTTGTTTTATGCATGCTCGCATTGGATCGATATTTACATACGGTCATGGATTGTATTAGCATGCTGGTCTGCCTCTCCAGCATTTCCTTCTTAACCCCCCGGAACTTGGTCCTTAATGTCCCCGTTCCGTTCATCTTCACTGAGTTCACTATTCACGGAGCGCACTTATTATTTCATTGATGGATGATAGTAAATGGTCCATCGTTGGTCACAAGCCAGGCTGTTAGGTAACAGATATAAACCTGGTGCGAGCCGTTTCAGAACTGACGAGCCGACCGGGACTCTGGATTCGAACATCACTGATGCTATTTTCGCAAAGCGCCGCCAGAGACGAACGCGATTTCGACCAAATAATAAAAAAGTAATTTTCTTTTTTTATTTACTACTCATTGCGGCATTGAAAAATATCTCAGATGATTGTTGAACGAGTCGTAAATTTTAAGTATTGTGACTTTAAAAATCTTTAAAAGTATAATATGGCGCATTTAAAATAATAAGCTGCTTTATCTCCACTATCTCGTAATGTTTGGCTAATGGAAAAATAAATTTATAGCCACCTTCAATTATAGATAACTGAGATGTATATCCTATAAAACAGCACATAAAATAAAGTTCCCAGCATGTGCAACTGTATAATGTACAGCGGGATCGATAAATCATTCGTTGTATATTTAGACGATTCATAAAAACTAAAAGTTACCCTGGTTGTTTTCATAGCATTTGCTGCAATCTTACTTTGCAATATAAGCACTAATTACTCAAATTGTTCTTTAAAAGACACAGAAAAACATAATTTATGCCGATAGATTTTTACAGGATCCATTAAAATTACATAATACGGCAGTTAAACTTAGCAAAAATGTATAATAGTTACTGAGTGTTTATATTATAAAGTGGTGTTATAACTCGTAGGCGAACCAAGGTCTTATGAACTGCGCAGACGCACGTGCTGACGGATTTATTTATTGTATTAACTTCTTGTTTAGAGTATCGTTTACAGTAACTTATTGCTCAGACAATAAATTAACACGGTATATGTATAACTTGTTACTGCAGTATTATATATTTTATTGTGATTTTTTAATAGACCGAAGGGTAGACAAGGATGTGTGTGTGTGAAGAACAGCTCTTCCATCAGTGGGCGATGGAGTAGTAAACCAGACGGTGTTTTAACCTTCCATTTAATGGCCAAAGTTTCCAAACACGATCATAACTTTACATACATGAAACTACGAGTTTATATTTTATTTTTATTTTGCCCGTCGAGTATTAATTTATCAGTGTCTACTTATAAAGCCGAATCACCAAAGCTAAAATGCGTCGACGCATCTAGTGTAGATGTGTGTACGAAAGTTGTCCATCCTCCTCTGTCATAAAAAAGGAGACAAGCAATATACACAACATAGACATTGATTATACAATGTCTATGTTGTGTGGCTGACGAGTAATGACTAATGATACTTAATTAATATTCATTTTAATTATAATGTGTATTAATCTTATTTACAGATAGACGCGTTGTTCAAATAACTTCCAATCCATGAATAACTATTTATATGAATAAGGCAACGCTATTATACAAATCCAGACTTCGTAATGCATACGACTTGAGATTACCCAGACTGTAGGTAATCTAGGCCCAGATATTACTAATTGACTGTGGTTTACCAAGCCAGTGCTTTTAACCCAAATTGTTTGCGCGTATGATATACTAACTAAAGCCAATATTAAGCCGTAAAGTATGCGTGATTATAAATCAAGCATCTAAAGACAGGGGTTTGACACTCCATGAATGTTATTCTCGGCCATTCAAACCAACCTTGGCAGGCAAGTTGACAAAATTACTGATGAAAATAAAGAGTTGGCAATGTGCCACTACTTGACCTACCTATGTGTCTGTGCGTTAAAAAATGTCTACGGTCCAAGGTGGAATCCAAGCAGGCATTGTTTAAAGCCTCTTTATTGACACTCTTAACTGAATCATTATTATTATGACAATTAATTATTTAGAATAGATATCGTATTATTTCATCCATACATTGTATTATTTATTATTGGATTAAACCGGTTTCGAAGAAATATTCGTAATAATTATAAACGTGGTATGCAAAACTGCAGTTCAAATTTCCCTGTCACAAAGCTTATTATAATTTTGACCTATTTCCACAAATAGCCCGTCTTATGACTGCAATGTCTAGTTCAAAATGTGCCATCTGTTGTGAATACTTTTTTATCAGTTCAATTGAGAAAAAGTTTTAATTTCTTACAACTTCAACAAACGAAAAATCTTTATCTTTTAAAAATCTTAGATCACTTGAAAATAGTACTTATATTAAAAAAGTACTTTAAAAAAGAGGTGTTGTATACCAACTATCTTGTCACCTGCCTACGTTCTATTGACAAGTACAAGTACTTTAAAATGTGTTGAGGTAGTGTACTCACATTCCATCCAACAGCTTCTACATAGAAATCCAATTTCTCTGGATCTTCGGGTTCGGAGTCTGTATCAAGAAGAGTCTCATTCCCACTATCTGAATCTCTTGTAATACTTCTGCTTTCTCCAACTTCTGATATCTCCTTTTGTTCACCATCCTGTTCCTCTGCCTCTTTCAATGGAGCGAGAGGTGTTGATTCTTCTAAGGCAGCTTTTTGAGACACTTGCTTCAAAATTGAACCAAATTTTTCAAAGAAACTGTCATCTACTTCTTGTATTCTGAAAGTGAAGTTTAATTTTATTTTGTAAAAATAATAAACAAAAATAAATGGTAAAAACTAGAGTATCTTCTCTAGCGCAACTCAATATCATCAACAATATAACATGGAAATGGGTTCACACTCACTATAGCAACTTTACATAATTATAATAATATAGATAAGGAGAATAATTTAGTTAAAAAAATGATTTAAAGTTGAAACATACAAAACTATCATTAACTATTCATTTGTATTGAATTCATATAATCTTATGTTAGTTACAAATGATATATATCAATATCAAAGAAACTGAGAGGTTATTTCGACAAATATTACAACAGAGGTGAATGACCTCAGCTATTATTTCCTTAGAATCTTCCTTAGCATGCAAGGTGTTAAATAAAATAGCAAGAATTCAGATCTATGAATTTATTTCAATGAAAACTAACAAAAGACCTTACTATACAATAACATTTATAATAATTGCAATGACTAAATGCAATGTTTGTAATATACTTATATAACATATAATCAATTTTATAAATATGCTTGTTTTTTTTAAATCATTTATGTTTAATATTATATTTAGCTATCAATCACATATTTTGGAAGACTGGAATGTTAAAGATCTAATTATATTTTTTTTACAAAATAAATATACATTAATGAAGCATAATATTACACATATTTTACATAAACCATTCACTTAACATTATTTATTAGACTTGCAACGAATAGTATATTCGGCAGTATACCGAATACCGAATATTCGGCGAGACCCCTGACCGAATAGCCGAATATTAGGCAAAAGTATTCGGCTGGATTTTTGCTCCAAAAACTTGTACAGACGTGATTGTTTCGCGCTCCTTTGTTTTGTTCTAACGTACTCGTTATTATTATGTACCAATTACTACTATTATAGTATTATTTATTTATTTATTTATTATAAAGACAATTAAAACAGCGATAGCCACTTACATTAATTGGATTTCTATCCAATATTCTATTGTGTACTTCTGTACACAATAGAATTACACTTAACAATAGAGTATGCATCAATTACATTAGGACAAAATTTAAAAATCAGACAATTCTCTCAGTATTGATGACCAGTGATCTGCGAAAAGATCACATTTGGGTCTTAACTTGAGGAGAGCGTTGAGTGAGGTTAAAATTCGTGGTATCGGCGAAAACGCGCGAGCAGAGGTGCGACCTCTCGGGACGTCAAAGAGATCGTGTCTTCTAGCGTGGCCATAGTTGTTCGGTACAAACAGTCGACAGAAGGCTTCCCTCAAATAAGTATCATCGATTTGGTTTCGAAACAACTTACAAGCTACAACTAATTGCCCACGAGATCTGCGACTTACAAGAGAATTAAAGCCAAGCTGTCCTAATAAAAACAAGGTAGGATACAAGTAGGGGTAAAAACCGTATTGGTGTTTGTAAAGAAACCGCAGAAAGGCTTTTTGGATCTTCTCTAGCATGAGTATATATTTTTCCTCGTGAGGGTTCCACCAATTATGTACCAATGACTACTTATATGATTATAACAGAAACAAAAATATGAATAAGTATATACGTAAGCAATCGATTTTAATTTTTCATTTTACCAATTATTTCTCTATGACAAAATATATTATTTAGGTATTCGTTATTCGGCCGAATAATATGTAGATATTCGGTATTCGGCCGAATATAATAAAAGCAGCCGAATAGGCCGAATACCGAATAGTAACCGAATATTCGTTGCAAGTCTATTATTTATACTATGATATTGGTAACATTTTGTGTAATTATTTATCTAATGCAGAAAACAATGTGTATTTGATATCTGTATATTCCTCAGCCCCATGCTTACTTCCCTCTCTACCAATTCCAGATTCCTTAATTCCACCGAATGGTGGTTCTGCTGCTGATAATACACCATCATTGATTGCCACCATGCCAAACTCCAGTTGTCGAGACATTCTGAATGCCTGTCCGAGGTCTTTAGTAAAAACATAGGCAGCTAATCCGCTTCTTGTACTATTTGCAATTTCCAAAACATCATTTTCTGTTTTAAATTTCAAGCATACTACAATAGGGCCAAATATTTCCTCACTGTAAATTTTCATGTCTTTTTTAACATCAACAAGTAATGTGGACTGGTAAAATTTATCTCCAATGTCTGATGCAACTTTTCCACCGATCATTACTTTGGCACCCTTATTTACTGCATCATCGACCAAACCGGCTACTTTCTTAGTCTGATCTAAATTGATTAGGGGTCCACAAGTGACACCTTCTTTTGTGCCTGGTCCTAAAATGCACTTGCTACTAATTTTGGATTTTAATTGCTTCACAAAATCATCAAAAACATCCTCATGTATCAAGAACCTATTTGCTCCCACACATGCTTGTCCGTTATTTCTAAACTTGGCGAGCATGGCTTGTTCAACAGCATGATTTATATCAGCACTTGGGAAAACAATAAATGGAGCATTTCCTCCTAACTCTAAAGATACTCTTTTAATACCTTTTGCTGCCATTCCATAAAGAATTTTGCCAACATTTGTGGAACCAGTGAAAGAAATACAACCCACGTCAGGATCCTCACACAAAACTTTACCAACAGCAGGAGCATTTTTTCTACTAGAAGTTATGACATTGATGACACCTTTTGGTACTCCAGCCTCTTCGGCTAGTTTCACTGCAGCCAATGCTGTCAGCGGAGTATCTTCAGCTGGTTTTATGACACAGGTACACCCAGCTGCCATTAACGCTCCTACTTTACGAGTAATCATGGCAAATGGAAAATTAAATGGTGATATAATTGAAACTACACCTAGAGGTTGCCTTGTAACCATAATCTGCTTATTTGGCCATGGACTAGGAATAACTTCACCATTAATGTGACGTGCAGTGTCTGCAAACCACTCTAGAAATGAGTTTCCATAAGTTATCTCTCCTCTAGATTCAACAAGAGGCTTCCCTGCTTCAGCAGTTATAAGTTCCGCCAGATGTTCACTGTTTTTCTGACATATATCAAACCACCTTCTTAGAATAATCGCCCTCTCCTTTGCAGTAGTATCCCTCCACGTTTTAAATGCACAGGCTGCTGCATCGACAGCCCTTTTAGCATCCTTCGCATCCATATCTGGTATTTCAGCGATAACATTGTCGTTTGCCGGGTTAAGGACGGGAAAAACTTCATTACTCTGCGCATTCACCCACTGGCCATTTATGTAACCTTGTTTCTTTAGCAAATGAAGATGTCGAGAATCCATTCTTACCAAATTTTGTTTAGCGAGTGAGCAGACCCGAGAAAAATTCATATCGGATTCGCTTTTATCACTACAACTACACGACTCACAAGATATTGAATTTAAATAGCACTCAAACGATAAGATAACTATATTACATTTCGCTATAGTTTATAGTAGCATTCGACCAGAGCAATTTATCAATTTATCTGGCCGTATCCGTCTTCTACACAATATATATTTATATCGTTTTTAGTTTAGACCCTAGCGCGATTCTCATTCACGAATATTGATATCGAAGTAGACTGACATTTGGTGCTGTCATACAACATGTCAACACATACAAGTAGAATATGACAAATCGAAATTAAAAACATCGATTCATATTTTTCGCTTAAATATCATTATTACCCAACAGTATGGTGAATTAAATTTATGTACTTATAAAAGTTTAAATTATGTCTTTTTTTATTATTGCATTCTTGGTTTCATAGATTAAATAGGCCTGCAATACCATGTAGAGTGTAGACTAATCGAATCGGTTGTTAATAATCGAGATTAGACTCAAGCGGTTCGAGACATCGACTGTTCTGTCACTGTCATTATATGCGCGAAGATCATATTGCGCACAGCTGAGAAAATTCGAAACTCCCGCTTTTAGAGATAACACGAGAGTAACAGGTAGTAAATAGGTATAGTCTTATTATTATTTTACTTATGATATTTTTAAAAAACATATCGCAGTCTGTGTATTATGTGTAAGTGATAATGAGTCAACTGGTAATACTATTCTTATTTATTTAAAATGTTGTTATTTAATTAGGTATTTTAAATCTTATTTAACTGTGTGAAGTAGATAGCTATCTAGCTAAAAAAGTTATTTAAGACTTTTAATTAAATTACTAATGTATGAATGACCATTTTGAACATTAAACTATGTAACCTACTATAAACTATACTACCTTAGATAATCATCATAATCAGTGTGATTTTAAAATAGGTAACTAGGTAGTATTTTTTTAAGATAAAAAAATCTTACCGACTGTCATGCACTTGTTCTTCCAAAGATTTTTGCTGCTGTAGCTTATCATAAAAGCTTTTCCACATCGATTCTTCATCCATTGTGACTTTACTTAAATTAATTCTCCGGATAGATACGCGTTTTCTTAGTCGAAGATACCATAACAAAATGCAGATAAATGAATCACACGATTGTGATCAGCGTCGAGTCACACAGTTAAATGACGTAAACAAAATCATAACCTTAAGTCTTAAACCCGGAGTAACGCAGAGTAAGATCAATCGACACAAAATTCTGCTCTCTCCTTTAATCGTAAAGTTCACTGAACGAATAAATTCCTCAAAATGTATTTTGTGTACTGAGAATCTAAATGCGGTTTTGTATGTCTCAAACGCGTCTTAGAATGATTGTTTTGGTTTCGAATGAAAATGACGTAATTCAAGGCGGCCACGTTCGCCGGTCTGCAACGCAACTATAGCACTAACATATCACTCATATATACAGCCAGCATTAAACATACATTCACGTGCTTTTGTAATAAGAGTACAGTGATTATTATCTGTATTCAAACACCGTCAATCTAACTCGCACTTCCGCGAGGCTTCAACGGATGAAAACAATATCCATCTATTTTTTGTTAATTACCAATGGTATAGCTTAGAACACTGTATAGTGAATATTATGTACTTACCTGTATTTAAAGGGATTGTATTAATATAGTACGGAATTTATGAAATGATTTCAAACAAATAACTAGGTACATTAAAATTCACGTAGGTAGATCATACAAAAATTTAGAATAACTTTTAAATAGTTGCCAGGTGCATGTCGCAATTATTAATTTATCGGCAGTTGTCTCTTAATTGAAATTCGATCGATTATAAAATGGCTTATTAGTAAAATTTTCTACAAAATGATAGGAAATATCTTTACGTCTACAGTTGATGACCTAATAATAATTTCATAAATAAAATATAGCCTTCACTTATAGGATCAATCTCTTTCTTTTGAAGTATTTTTTCAGGATCTTGTAGTAACGCAGCGAATCGCGATTTATGTATTTTTTAACAATCTAAAGTGAGCAATTACAAATAAAGAAATTCTACCCTTTGTCACCTATTACGCGATTGAAGTAAATCGGAGGCATTTTGTAATACCTTCAAAACCTTGAATTGTTTCCGATAATATGACATCATGCAAACTTTTTTTAGCGGCCTTCACTCGTTCACGCAATTGTTTTAAAACACTCTTTTTATACTCTACGCATTTTTTATTGTTTCCAGAAGACTAACAGTAGTTCTCAGTAAACTCAATTGATCCAAATTGAGATTAACAAGAAACGATGATGGTATGATCAATAGCGTATCGTGTAATATGTGTATCGTTATAATGGATCCAGAATCATTTTTAAGTCTCGAATAGGGATAGGAAAAAAACCGTGTATCTTACGGCCTATCAAAGAGTACGCACGTTTTACTGCATAAGGCTTGATCTTGTCTATAAGAGTATCAAAGTAAAAATAGCCGAAACAAGAGGCATTTTTTCAGGCTTTTTTCAGATTATACATTTATAGAACAACATTTTGATCCACTGTTACGAACGATTGGCTTGCTCTGTTCCCGCGACTTTGGCCATCACATTATTTTGTGTATTAAACAGCCTTCTCAATTTTATACATTATAGCTGTCTCGTTGCTCTTACGAGTTAATCATAAAGACCGCCATATCTTATTACGGACTGATTTTTAGATTACCCACATTACCCTCTGCTTTTTCGATCCTACTGATCGCTGCCTAATGTTTTAGAGCCAAAAGCATTCCCTGATAAACATTCCAACTAATACAAAATTTTTCAACTCGAACCAATAGTTACTGTGATTAAACAAACAAAAAAGTCTTCAGCATGATAATATTAGTGTAGATTATAGTCTATCATAATCTTACATAAGCTCAACAGTTACAATAATAGATATGGCATAAAAATAACATTCATTTATTACTTCTATATATTATGTATACAAAAAAGCTACGAACATGTCAAGAAAATAGTTGAGGAATTATATTACAACTAGTTGTGCCAGCGACTTCGTTCGCGAGAATCGTTATTTGGACATCCAAATTCGTTTTTGCAAACCCCATCGTCTTTATAAACGTAAGCTGTTACCCACGACGTCGGTCGCGTCCTTCCCGTCGCTCTTTCTAGTTAATCTTAAAAGATAGAAATATAGCTTCGCGGACTTTTTTTTAGATCGTTTAAAGACGAATCATTCTTTCATATTTTTTGAGTGTTTTGAACCGTTTTCGCAGCGTACGCATCTGAAACCCACAGAGATGAAAATTTTCCCCCGTTTTGTTCACATTTCTCTCTATATCTTGATCAAACAAACAAACAAACTCTTCAGCTTTATATGTTAGTATATAGATAGAGTAAACGTATCTCCCAATGCGTAAATTTCTGACTAACATTGCCTTCCTTGCATTATTTCGTGGTTATTTAGAAAGGTCTAAGATCGGGAAACATAAACAAATTAAATATTTCGCTTATGAACCTGTTTAAAGAGTTTTTTATGAAGTTTAGCTTAACGTGAGTGACATACTAAGATTACAAGTACACAATTATAACAATGATTAACTATTAAAGAGAATTAATGAAAAATTCATGGTATTTTTGCAAGCATAAGATATCCAGGAAGTTATAAAATGCTTATCGGCATTCCTCTATGAAGAAATACGTAATGTATCGGGTTATATAATGTTCCTATAAATAGGTATTTTGCGATTGTGTTTAGTGAATTATTGTCAACAAGAACAACGCTAAGGAAAATGCTACGAAAAACTTTTAAGTGGTATAACGAGCAAATACCTACTGCTGCAGACAGAGTTGCCAAGTTATCTTAATAATTTCATGACATAATTAACGCCCACCGCTAACTTAATATAGAACTTTGTCACATATTTAAATTTGTATGTAGGTTGGTTAGTCAAGACGTTGCAAGCCTTTCTTATTCAAAGTTATGCATAATTGTTCCAATAACAATTTTAAATAAATGTTTACTAGATGTGTTTTCTACTTGAACAGTTGGTTTTAAACAATATATTTTTATTATAAGCATGTATATATTATTGATTAAAGCTAACGCGAGTAGTACATTTAAATAAAACACCTTAATGGTTTCCAACGGTCTCCCCGTGACCACGGCTGCTGCAAAGCATTCGAAACGTCGGGCTGTGGTTAAAATAAATTTCAAATAAGTTTAAGTAATATAAACCACGTTTTAAACCGTTTCAGTTTTACGTCCCTTTTATATATTTCGACAGTCCTGTTTACATAACGATTCGGTAGGCAATAAAGTATGCATTTTTAAAAGTAAAATGAATACTCTTATATAAGATATTATTTTAATAAACATTTTATATTATGTTTCTTTAAGTAAGACTTTGATACACGCCATAAAACTTGAGAAATCATAACGAGTGTTGGGACAACAAAGAGTATTATAGTCATACAAATTTCCTATTATAATGCGTATTTAAATAATATTTAGATAACAGGTAATTACACTTCAGTTACTTCAAGTGTATTAGTAATTAAGTGGGCTTTTTTACATATATTTTATACAACGACGAAACTAAAATTATAAATGCTGTTATCGTTTCAGAAATAACTGGTCTGTTCAATCAATGCAAATAATTTAATCCAAATCATATTTTAATCTTCTGTTACCGAATTAAATACAAATTAAATTAAATATTTTTCTAAACCCGTCCTTCCCTCTATTCACCTGTTATAAAGCTCTATGCACATCTTACAGTTCAACAAAGATACAATACGTAAATGCAAAACGTTTTGTGTTAAATAAGTTCAAGAAACTTAAATTACTGTAAAACAACACAAACAAACTCACTTTTTTCGGCTTATAATCTCTTTTTCTTGAAGACTTTTGTAAAGAAATTTCCACGGGTCTTCTTTTATTCTGTGATCCATTTTAATTTAAAATTTTATCACAACCACATTTGACTGAAAGACAATACCGTAAACGGAATATACAGTTTCAGGCTGCCTGTATCGCGAATTGTCGGCGACTGACAAGCAAGACTTCTCAGTACAAAGCTTTGTTTGAGTTAGGCTCATGCATACTCCAGTTTTTTACATACCCAAGGCTAAAAGGAAATCCCCTTGTGTTACTAACTGACGAGTTGAAATCTATACAATTATTTTGAGATTATTAGTACGTCATATTTATGTCATACGACACCTATGTATGTAGGCCTGTATGTAAATAATTTAAATAAGGACAATTCATTTTTCAATTTCAAACATCGGGCCATATTTATAATAATTTTGTAAATAAAGGTTTTGAACTTTTACTACTATTAAAAGTAGCGTTTTATTCCAATTCATTTTTGTCTTTGATAATTTACACAAAGGTTTAAATTATTGTTGATAACATTATTTATCTGAAATATTAAATTCCTTGAATATTACAATTTTTTATTTAAGTACAGATTGGAAAACTCGAAAACGGAACTCTCGCGGTAGCTCAATGACTGGTCTTGTCTTAAAAACCACCGAAGACGGTAATTTTTTATATTTCTTACAACAATATATATCCATCTCTTTCGATATATATCATCATAGTGACACTCTCAAATATACCAAAACATATAATCAAACAGCCAACCTCTTTTTTAGTTAATATAAGGATAATAACGTGTGAAAATTTTGCGAATTATGGAATAAGACAACGTCTCGTTGTGCCTATTTGAGATGTGTATCGGTTATTCCATTTATTAACAATGAATCATGAGAATCTTCAGTCGTTGATTAGAAAACCCAACTGTAAAGTGGCGTAAAACATACAAGTACGGGATTGCTTGTTTGAAAATATTTGTACTTTCCTTGTCGTCATTGTTACAGTTACAGTTATAGTAGAAAACGGACTGAAAAACGTAATTTTGAGATGACGTGTAACCTTTATTATAGGATCATAAAGTATTTTGAGTGTGTGTTCTTTAAAATTAGTCATCGTCTGTATCTCATTACTATTAAATAAGACAGGTGTAGGATATATTTTATACCTAATGGTATAAAAGAACTGCTTTTCATTTTTATGTCTTTGTAAGAAATTTAAACAATCTGGTGCAACGTTATTTGCCTTTGTTGGTGTCTCAAGAGACAACTTTCTTATGACGTTATTTATTTACTTTAAGACTTAAGTAGGTGGAATATTCAAGGCCTTAAAAACAAAGAAATTATAGCCATATTGCTTTATAAGCTTAACTTTATTTAAAGTTCGATTGTATTTTATTTTTATAATATTAGAAAAACTTAAGAGCCAACAACATAAAACAATAAATCTAAAGGAAGTTTTTATTTATGGAATAAATAAAGTAAAATTTAACAATCAATAGTGTTCCTTTTAACTATAGAAAATAAAAAAAATCACAATGATACAAATAGAGACAATTTTGAGGTTCAAAGAATTATTGAAAAATGATCTAAGGTATGCGTATGGTTTCAAAAACATTTTTATTTTAGTCAAGTGATTGAGGTGTAATGCAATGTAATTTTTTTTCGGTTGCGCGTCTAGAGGCGTAGCGATCTTACGAGTGAGTAGTTTGTTTTTGGATAAAAGAGTTGCGGATTCTGTAGCGTTAATTTTTCGATTAATTTTGCTGAAACACTTATCTATTATATAAGCAATTATGGGGCAAAACACTGACAAACAATTAAGTGTTTTATTGTAGTCCATAACTCAGTCAGAGAACTTGGTAGTTATTTAACGCTATATCTAATATCACTTTTTAAAAGTTTCGCTGTAAATGTTACGTTGTAGAGCACGTAACTGACGACAAGAAATGGTAAGAAGTCATTTTTGCATTCATATAAAATCCTTGAGTCACTAAGGTTTGCAGTTTGAGTAGGTCCGCCATTTACGTTGAATGTCTACAATACAAATTACAAGATTGGTTAGACCTATTGTGATGCTAATAGCCTGGCTGTGATGTACTTGTTGACGAAGCAAATTATTTTTAATTAAAGTGTAAATATGTAAAAATAGGGATAGAGTGTAGCCGATATTATTTAGTCATGGACATCTGCAGTACCTATGGACACTAACGGATAAGTAACAAGTCAAAAACAATTACTATCTGTAGTTTACGTCAGTTGTACATGTGTACAACTTTAAATGTTTAAATAAAACACTTTTACGGTCACATCAGGCCGTAGTTTCCGTAGAATTTTCGTTAAATATGTTTTTTTTTAAGTCAAGAGCACTTTCAGAATGGGTTGAAAATTAAAGATTAAAGACGCACAATTGTCTGATATTATACAATTAGAAGAAGGACGGTGTTGAATGGCGATTTTATCTAAACCGAAGCGAACTATATAGTGTGTATAATAATAGCTCCGAATTAAAAAGTTTTTTTGACGATAACACATAAGCAAATCCTAACTGATATGTCATACATATTAATAGAGTTGTATGTTATGTTAAAAGTTAAGAATCATGGCATGCCACGGAGAAGCAAGGGGAATTACGGTTAGCGGGTTTTAAATTATATGCTTGACAAGATTTCCTTGCTTAACGGGTTAAATTAATTGCCAGAGAGGTTGCAACTGCTTAATAACAAACTGAGTAAGTCATCAAGTAACTCATAAAATGTTAGACTATACAATTTTTAACCTGCAATAATAACCGACTCATTTAAAGCAAATTACATTTTCCGGATTTTTATATAAAAATTGCTATTGTAATAATGCAGCAGTGTTATATAAATGTACTATTAGCGCCATCTAGTCTTTGTTTTAATTACTACAATCGATGAGTATGTCAATCATAGTTCTAAAGGACCACTAAAGATGGCGGTGTAATAATGAATAATATATATTGAATTTTTTTATTTTTTTTACTTTTTACAAGCAAATAAAGTAAACATTCAACGTAAAATGAAGTTTATGTACATTTATTTTTCCTTACAACTTTTGTTTTAAACTCGAAGCAAATTCAAGTTTCAGATCACACTTTGACATAATTACCTACCTATACTTACGACTATCAATTTCATATAAATATTGTAATGTTTATCTCTGGGAGTCCCTGAGTGGAACTATCTTTGTATTTATCGCTTAATAATTCCTAGGCAATTAACTTGAACCACTCAGGAAATTGCATAATATCCATTGAACTGCTACTAGTGTATTAAGGAATGCGTCCTTCAAAGCAGATGTATGAGTTTATAGTAAACTAATTAATCTCGACTGGAAACTTACCGGATCTATTCACTACTTTCCTACTTAGATGGCATCTTATCCTTAGTTGCAATATAAGTATTCGTGTAGGTAATAAAAATAAGGAGGCAAAAATTAATGTCTTTTTAGAATTCTAGAAAATGTACTTACTTGGTTTGATGGGACGGGGATTTCTTTCCACGCCAGCGTATCAAACAATCCAATGTTCCCTTTCGAAAGTTGGGTTTAAGTGGTTTCAAAAGCGACCAACGTTTTCTAGCGTCCAAAGTTGAAGTTGAGTTCACAGAATTTCTATCGGCGATATCGGGTTCTGAATTACCCTTCTTTAGATCACAATCACTGCGTCTTGTACACTTTTCAAAATCAATCACTGACACTGAATCACCAGGGGGACATGTCTTCCTGTTCGATAACGGCGTAGAGGTCGCAAAGTTCGTTCTCAGTCTTATGTCAACACCACTATCACTGTATTCCGATAGATCCATATCCTCACTAATACTATGCAGCCTTGGCTTGACTGGGGTGGGTTTGGTATTCAAAATGCTCTTTTCCTCGAAGAGCTTGCTTTTCTTTGTCCGACCGAAATCCACGAAAGCGGTTATGTCCTCGCAACTTTTCGTGTTATATTTAGAAACATTAAATTGGGACTTCACTTGAGGCATGGGAGGACGTTCGTCCATGACACCGATATTGGCAAGATTATCTTCGCTCTTGGAAAACTTGGCTCGGATCTTCTTCTGCCTAATAGGAGGGACAGGCGGCTCCTCGGGACACTTTTGTAGCACAGAATGTCGTTCGTCTGTCCTTTTAACTTTCGAGTACTTTGCGATAATTCTGTTTATTTCAGCTCTGTTTTTGCGTCTGTGATTGTGTCGTGTGAAGTTGAGTGGTTGCTGATAAGACTCGGCCACGCTTGTACCCGCGACCCGAGCTGACCTCTCCCTCCATTCCGACACTTTGTCTTCGATCAGTCGTTGCAATTCCATCGCTCTCATCACTGCTCCTATTTCGGGCATTATTGCAATATTTCTATTGTTTCCTCGTTACGAGTGTATGTGCTTTTTGCAGCTGTGTATAGACAAATATTGCCTCAATTTAATCCGATCACTGCAACAAAGAAAACATACTTGTCAAAATACATTTTTATGCCTCGAGAGTTGTCTCCGTTCACTATAGTTCGGTTAATTAATGTCCCCTCGGAATGACTAATCTGTGCGCTGAGGCCCCAGTTAAATCTACACCAGATAACGAGCAGCTTGGAATTAAGTAATTCGGTGATTTCATTTTCTACGTACTCAGCAGACACATGTGCTATGCTAATGTTATCTATCGTAAATAAAACATCAATAGCGAAAGCTAACGTTTTACCCAAATTAATATTTTCTCGAATGGTATTTCCTTTGGATGTTGTGGCGATAATCAAAACTATATTCAACTAAGCACTTGTAGGATGTATCTATTTATTGCGTCCTTCCTAAACCGTTTAGTTGACTCTTACATCCGAATAAATAAAATTGAAATATGTACAAAATAACTTATGCAATAATAATGTAGATATCAGTTATGTAAAGAGTAAATTTTAAAGATCTACACTAACTGTGAATACAAAGCTAAATAATATTTACATACAAACCGTTTTTTTTTCTTATGGAACGTATTACATGCATATTATGAACTTACGTAATTGTTGATAACAGTTATTTTATTTTGAGTAACACTTAATGATGAGTAGTTTGACTTTGATTTGTGTTTTCCAGAAACACTTAATTCACTCGCATCTTGTTGAAGCCACAGACATAGTAGTTTATATCATAAAATTATCTAGGATGCCTTGATCGATAAGGTTTCATAGAGATAAGAGAGAGAAGTTGAATTGAAGCGAACTGTGAAATAAACATTTTTTACAAAAACGATTTCAGCATCAATGCAGGTAGGGGGTAATAGAGGGTAAGTTCTAAAGTTTGATACCAAAGCTGATTTTACTCATATCGTTTTCCAAAGCTGTAAAGCCTTTTTAAATAATTTAATTCGTTGTACGCGTTACATTGGAGTGAGCTTTAAGTGATAAGTCCCTATTACCACCATAGACTAACGTTACGCAAGTTTGTAGAGACGGTCTGTTAAACATTTAGGTTCTACATGTTTCGGAAATCTAATCTAAACAATGCTTTTCTTTCCCCAGTGCATGATGAATCTCTAACGGTCCAAGCGACACGGATTATTTGAATATTTTTATAGTAACGAAGTAACTAAGAAGACAAAGACAAGAAATCATGTTCTCAGAATAAAAGTAGAACGAAATATAGATCATTTAATTTGGAACTATTGAGATCAGTTCAAAATGAAATACCATAGTTTAGCTTTAATATAGAAATCTCGTGCCCATGATAATCCCTTGTATGTTTTTATTGCACATAACAGGGTAACTTCAAGCTCAACGTCCAAAATGGAAAGTAATAAAGAAATATGATCAAGACTCACCTTTACGAAATATCCATCCCAAGCTATCTTAGAGTTCAGAAAGCACTGCACTAAGACTACTTCACAGTGACATACACTCGTAGATTTGCACTCAACCCTTGCGCCCGCGCAGGCAGACTAGCACCGACACGTGTGTCGGTCCCACGTGCAGATTCCACAGTGAACCATGCGTTCCAGACCACTGCTCCTACACTTGACTCATACAACCCATCCTAGCACAACAATGAACTAAATAGAGCACCACTACACAAAAATTATATCGCTATTGTCAATGCACTGTAGCAAGTAACAACGCCGTGTTCAGTGATTGAACGATAAGTGTTTTCGCGGCGAATGTGCAGCCAAATAAAAATAACATACGAACGCCTTTTTCCATATCATTCTCAAGTGATACAGTGATCGCGCGGTTCATTGTATCACGCGGAACATAACTGAAACATCCACCTTGAAAACTAATAGCTAAAGAAAAAAGAGCATTTTTATCAACTTGAAACAGCGTAATTAATACTTCAGATATACTTTTACAAGAAATTTCCGCGTTGTTACCGATTTGTTACGTTATTACCAATAGAATGAACTGATCTACATATACAATAGCAAAGGACAAATTTTAAAGCCAACGACCCAAACCACGATAAAAGGTCAATCTTAAAATATTTTGTGTTTGTAAATGTCTTTTGCATAGAACACATGCATGAAATGAAATATTGTCTGGAATCTATCTAGCAAATTCATCTAGGAGCAACAAGTGTCATTTTTGATTAGCATACTGTCTTACAGAAAACCGATTATAAGGACACAAAAAATCGAAGTTAGGTGTAACTATCTCTATTCCTCACAGGCAAACTCTACATGTTAAATGACCGAATCGAAGTAGCCATTAAGTTAATGTATACAAGTATGATTTCGCAGGCATACGAAATATTTCATTTACCTACTACGTTTCCTAATATATCCCCCTTTCCATTCCGTATTAATATTCCCCCTTTCGTGAATTTGGATCACTGCACTTGTCAGTATCGAATAGTTACATTGGAGGGCATTGTGTTAGTGCGGGCGTGACAATGGTTTCCGCCAAGTTCATTGTCATATGTCGTGACGATGCGATGGCTGTCCTACAAACGTTTGCGTATGGAACGCGTAAATAATTTTCCTTAAGTAGGCATTTTATATTCAATAGATAATTGTACATCGAGCCTCTATTTTTCTTTCAAACGTAACAACAGCGTTTACATCAAATAGTGCAAACAGTACGCGGAATTTAAATAGCATATTTAGAATAACTAAATATGGAGCCGCTAGAGGCAGAGTAGCCTAACTGCAATTTATGACTTGACTTATTTATATTTTTATAGTCAAAAATCTTAAGTTACAAGAGCACAGAGACCGAAAATTGATAACATAATTCTTACTCAATAATACGAATTAATCTTCAAAGTTAATTGCGCATTTTTATTGTCCTCCTTATTGAAAATCATGTTTTTTCTTATTAGGCCACTCTGACACATTCATTATTCATGATTTGTAGCTTAACAGAATTCGATTATTTTTTTATTAAAATAGTAACGTTCGACATAGATAACGAAATACCGAAATAACTACCTCTTTCTATCATGTGTTTGTACACAAGTATTAACAAATGAAAAACACACCTGTACGTATGTTTTATATCAACGTATCAATATAAAAACGCTGAAAGATAAAACGAATGAGTCACATATTACATATGATATAATAAAGAAGAAAAACAGACGAGAGATGAACGAGGAGCTTTTCCAACTACTAATAAAAATATTTTGTTATGTTAAGAACGATATCTCGTTATAAGATTATTTATAGTTTTCTCCGCCCATCTATCAATAACCCTATAGATACTTCAAGGTTGTTCATTTTATAGATTAGAGAGATATTCATGATTCTCTGGGCATAGGAAAATTTTAGGGTTTTTCTGTATCATGTTATAAATCAGTACTTACTCTTTAGTCGTAATAGAAGCCACGCTTGAACTAAGAATAAATGTTTGATAAGCCTTTTTTTAATCATAGAGGAAGACTGATGGCGTTTGTTTGTGACTCGAACGGAATCTCTATATTCCTACCATCCATTTAATATCCAGATTATTATAAATTGAAAAATTAGAAACATGTTGGATGTTGGTGGGGTTCGAACCCACGACTCGTTGATCATTAGACCAGCGATGTTATAAAGAAATCCACTATCTAAAGAAACGGAATCCCAGATCGCAATTTTAAAGGTAGTCCGATAAAACTGATTTCCTTCTTCGTTTCCTGCACTCTTGACGTTATTTCATAATTCCAAATATTAATATCCCGCTCCAGAACCGAGTGCACACTCAATTGTCTAAATTGGCTTAAATTATCTCCAGCAATGTAACAAAAGGCGTTATACGTACGCTGAAGACAGCATTATTCAATTGGAATAAGGATAACGACTTTATTCCAGGAAGACCCGGAAGAAAATATTTTAAGTCGTGCTAAATTTTAAGAAATGTAAGTATATCTTCATCGTTTATTTCAATGCAAACTTTTTCGTAATATTATACTAAATATTAAAAAGAATAGCAATTTCTTGTATTTTTTTCTTGTGCGATCTTCTTTTGCCAAAAAAAAAAACTGCCAGTAGCAATAAAATATATTTAATTTTTGATTTACATTTCAAATTGCGCAACCACCAAATAATTAAACAATATTTACGCTTTAAACTGTTTGTTTAAATCATTAAATTCAAGGCAACAGAAAACCATTCTCTACACCAAGAAATCAAAATGAATAATGCCCCTCCCTTCATTAGTATTCTCTGGAGGTGATGTACGGTATCGTGTGTAGCATTGTTAAACCCTCGGTCTTTGATCCCAATCTTGATAGGGGAAAGTACAATTTCACCGAAACAAGTGAAAATAACAGTGAAAACATTTATAATTTATTCTGAAGCACTTTTTAATGTAGTTATGTAACCTACGTTTAAATCTCATCTTAACCGTTCACACAATTTTTGAGAGATTCTTTTACCGTTTTAAGCGTGAGAATTGGTAAATTAATTATATTATAAGGCATCAGTCACATAATATAAAACTACGATGTGTCGTAGACCTTTTTCTCGGCGGAAATCCTTGACTTTACCCTTAGTATGTATGTTGTAATTTGTCTCCACTCCGAAAGGCTTAAGTTGTGTAAATGCAGATATAAAAAGAAATCGAACCTTCGACTACTTCGACTACACTCTATAGCATAACTTACACGTTCCTCCTTCTAGGATGTTTTAAAATAATCCTGTATAACTTCTCTTAATTTATTACGCTCCGTCTAGTTAATTTTAAACATCTTTACGTGATGTTTGAAACAATACAACATGGCAACCATGTATTGTAAGTTTGTGTAATTTCGTAAAATTAAACCCGTTTAGATTATCAAATGACCTGTTGTAATACAATGTCCAAACTTCGATATTAATTCTTGTATAATTGTAGTTGGATGCAATTAACATACATTCATAGAGGAAGGCTGCTCGCTCGTTTTCCTATTTGGTACGGACAAGAAACGATCGAAGAACTATTATTTCAATAATTGTACTATTGAGTAATGGTAGGTACTGTAATACATAAAAAGAGGCCTGTTATTGAGGCTTGGTTTAAAATTTGATTATATATTTTATTCGCAAGTTACCTATACATTGACCGCCTCGAAGGGCCCATGGTTATTGTAATATAATAGTTTCGTAAATACTGTCTGTAGTTTACGCGGGTAGTACACATTTAAATAAAACACTCCAACCAATATTGGTTAAACTTATTTGATTTCTTTTTTTCCAGTTGCCCGGATTGTTGCATTAGGAGACACGGGCCATAGTTAAAATAGTTTAACTAATATATAACGGTAAAACTGTTTTATTTAAAAATCCGATCCTGGGCAACGGGATTTCTCTCACACGTGTACGTCACTTCATCTTGTTCTCATTAAACTTATTAACGTGACTACATAAACTCTAATAAACCCAAATTCCACTATTGTTTATAAGACAGTTGCTAAAATTCTAGCAGTACACGAAAACTATGTCACGTCTCGCGTTCAACAGTAGGTTTCAGATATTAATTAGCATATTAACAGTTAGTTTACGATAATTAGTCGTGCACTTTTTGATTGATCGTGACTATTATAACCTGAATATTAGGAGAACGTTTAAACAATTATAACAATCTCAATTAAGGATACAGTGCCAAGTGATCGTGACTCACTAGAAAGTTTATAAATAAAATGGTGTAATATATTAACTGTTTAACATTTTATTTAAATAATCAACTAGCCTAAAATTAAATAGAATAAATAAATAATTTAATTCACTATCGTAATGGCACGAACATCTTATTCTTGTTAATTTACGAATCAGTGATTTCGTCACCTCCGGTTCTGAAAAAAAAAAAATCATTCAGCTTCAATCTTAACATGTGATTATACAGAATAGTTGTTTAAGTTATAACTTCAATTGTTTATAAACTGCTGTTATAACAGTTAGGATTATACGTATATTCTAAACTAAATCTTATCTCACCTGAAATAAGGCTCAAATTCGTATACATCATCAAGAACCCTCCGAACGCGGCACGTGACTCCGCAAGACGGTTGCTGGCTGCCGTATACATACATAGCCCTTTCCAACAGCTGCTGTGCCGACGTCAACTCTAACACTGTAAATAAATAGCTATTAGTTATATACAATATATATTGATATAATAGAAATTATATATTAATTATTTCGACAGGTTCGGATTAATACATTTGTTTCGACACCGGATTCAAATTCATTTGTTTTCGGATTATCTGGCAAATCTAAGGCCTCGATTTCTGGATACCAGGTAGACATATCCATTTAATATCGTTTTAAATAATCATTAAAGAGCAACGCAATAACTAAAGTAGACTTACAGTTACGATTGGCAAATTGACGTTCATCTTCATCATTACCATCGCCGCCTTTATCCTTCTTGAAAGATATCAACTTAGGTATCACCAGCAACATGCACACAACTGCTATCATAGTCACAATTTTCTTGAAAATCAGGAACTTTAGCATTAACTTCGCAATCGTTAGGATATCCAGTTTCAGCGATAATTTATCTAGGAATCCTAGACCTGGTGCCGTGTATGGAACTCCGTACGAGGGTTTAGGAGGCCCGTAGATCGGAGGGAAGGGTTTCGAGATCGGTGGTCCGTAAGACTGAGCTGGTGGTCCGTATGACGGCGGCCCGTAGCTGGTCGTAGGCGGACCGTAGTTGGACGTAGGAGGTCCGTAGGTATTTGGCGGTGAGTTATACGTGATATCGGATTCGAATTTCACTGGCGGACCATAGCTCGAAGGCGGCAAGTAACCGTTAGATCCCGAAGAATAGCTGTCACTAGGATACGAAGGGGTATAATCGTACCCGGAGAAACTATCGTCCCGGTTTGAAATCTTCTTCTCTCCATCTTTAGCCGTGATGATGACGACACCCTGTTTGGCCTTCTCAGCTTCCACGCGAGATTTCGAATAGGCATCGAGGTAAGTATCAGTTTTGGTTGCGGACTTGGTGACATTAGCGACCGGGCCGACAATCGCGGAAGCGCACGCGCAAGCTGTTAGAACTATACAACACCGTATTAAATACATTTTGGTAATAGCTGGCGTTCAGGAGTTGTCTCCATCGATCGCAACTGACGAATGACAATCGGCTTCGAGCCCCATTCAGTTTTCACTTTTGACTTACCGTAAAAGAACCTAAATATGATAATGGGGCACAATTAATTCTCCGAGTGACCCCGTGTGCGTTCCGCATTGCTCATGGTAAGTAGGTGCATGTGTCGTCTTACGCATGTTAATGCGGCCCGTGGGCACGCGTCCGCCCCTGCTGCTAACCTTTCTTGGGGCCTGCCTTTCGAACCATAAAGAATTCCTTAATAGACCCTAATGGACGTGAAAGTTGGGTCATGTTATTGTAACCTTGCATAATGGAAACTTTTAGAACCATCCGGGTTTTAGGATATTTGCAAATCGCGTCAGTCCTAAAAAATACCGCAAAACAAATTTCCGACATGCGGTCACTTATCTAAACAGCGAAAACACGAGTGGAATTAAACGTATGGGTTATAAAGATTTAGTGTTTAGGCGATTATCTAACTCATGTAACACATCATCATTCTTATCACGTAGTACAATGTAGAAAACTTAAAAAAAGATTGGAGACAATCCAAGGTAACAAAGGTATGCTACCACCCCGTATGGAAAATAATACGATGTTGGCATTAATGCATTTAAAATTTGCCGATTTCTACTGCTTAAATGCATTTTCACTTACGCCGTCATTGAGAATCGTAGATCATCCTTTAAACGTGACAAAGTAACACTACATTAGGATTAATTATTGTGATTCAATTTAAATAAAGACCATAGGATATATACATCACTTTTATTAAATTAAAGTTTTAATTAGTAATTCATGTGTCACATTTTATAAAATTCAGTTCCTAAAGAATATGTGTACAAAAATTTTAAGTTACCTTTAACTAGATTTAGTTTGCTGTCTTACAAATAAAAGGTTTTTAAGTAAGCCTTATTGTCACTTTAGTTTGAATGTTAGTTAATATTTTGTTGCAATAAAACTGTGAAAACATTTATTATAAACATCCAATGTCCGAAGGCATTTCAGCATTTGTAATATGTATTGGTTAAAGTGGTTTTATTTAACTCGTGTATACTTAACAATTTTTTCATTCAAAAGCGTTACCTATAGTTAAATATCGTTCTTCAAAAAACTTGTGTTTTTTCCTTTTCCTTGTCGTCCCATTTTCTATCTTTGGTGCAAAGAATGAATTAATCGGCTTGCATCGTGGCGACTTTTTGTTTGACGGTTCGTCGATTTCCTCAAAAGTACACGAAACAGCTTTCTCTTGCAGCATAAGCTCGGCCGTGGACCAGCTGAACCGCACCAACAAAGGATAACCGAATACGGGGTCAATTTTTTCCCGGATGAATTTCTTTGTTAGTGGATCTGGAATTGATAAAAACACTTTTTTAAAAAGTGCGTGCCAATTTTCACAATATGGATCTTCGGACAAAATAAAAATGGTTAATTATTATTGAAAAATAAATTATATATCAACTTCAACATATACAATTACAATAACTACTACGTCTAAGTAGCCATTTGCTCCTTCAACTTTCAGTATTGATCATGTGAGATGACTTAAAAGAAATAGAACAGAAACTATATAAATATAATCTGTGGATGCACTCAATAAATAAAAAAAAAGGTGATAATTATGTATCTGTAGTAAAGCTAAGCTAAGTGTTTTAAAGCATTTAGTTTTACAAATCTATTAACTATTCCATCTGGTTCTTTATAAGATATTTCATCTACCTCCAGGATATCCACTTCCAAATTGTGTGTAATCTAAGTCTAATCCTTCATGGAACTGCCACACCTTCAGAGCATGATCCCTCGTCACTTTAGCAACTATACTAGCGGCTGACACAATAGGATATATGGAATCAGCTTTTTTTGCTACCTGTGAAATAAAATTTACTTTTTTACATCACATCATGCAAGGTTTGTTTCCCGTCTTTAACTACTTGACTATAAATAAAATTAATCAGATTACTGAAAAGCCCACTTTCTACGTAAGAAAAATGGATTCCATGTGCAGCAAAAAATCATAGACACATTTTAATAAACCGCAGAAGATTTTGCATGTTTTTACTAAAATCTTTTATAAAGTTTTAGAGCTGCTTCCATGAATATTTATTAATTTCAGTACTATGTAATTTTAGTAAGTGTTCCAATATTTGAATATTTGTTATAAATAATTTAATTTTTCCATTCACTTATACATTCAAATATATCTGGCACATTGTGCATATAATATTGTTATAAAATAAATACACACTGTTATTTTTATCCCAGGAAATATATCACTGAGTTTAGCTTGGTACTTCTCTGGCGGGCCCACAGTGTCTACATACACCTCTTTTATATTTGCACCTAGTTCAATAACTTTTTTTATTAAATCTATAGCTGATGTCATTGAAACCTATAAAAAAGACAAAAAAAAATTAATATTGTTTATTTTATATATTATTAAGTCTACCATAAAAGTAATCATTAATAGCATAAATTCTTGTATTGTAATGGATTATCTTCAAGTGCCATTAAAGGCTATTTAATATAAGAATTTACATACTGGTATTCCAATAGAACAGTGACTAATATTGCACACTCTCTTTTAAGTTCAAATAAACACAAAACAAATCAACTGAACATAAAAAAAAAATTACCGGTTTCCATTCAAGGATTGATTTGGGGTCATAAAGCCTCAAAGAATTGACTAAATCAGGCACAGAACTTTTATCAGATTCTTGCCAAAAAATAGATTTATTTAATTGCACATGAACAGTTCCACAACCTCTTTAGGACTGAAAATGTAGAGTATTAAAGATATGACAATTGACGTAACATTGCATCTTTAATTTATAGTGTATTTAAGAGCATAAAACATAATATCTTACCTCATTTAAGGAATGCTTTGCTCTTCTATACATAGAATTTGAAATATAATTAGGTGATATAACTTCTGCAGCCCAGCCTACATTTTTAATGCAATCTTCTTCTTTAAGCATCTTAACCAATATTTCATCTCTTTTTTCCTCTGTAAGAGCTTTAGAGTCTGCGCAACCGAGGTCCTTTAGTATGTCAGTCCGATTAATGGGACAATATGCTACTCCATATACCATGGGGCCTGGAAAACAAGAAGGTTAAAATAAGATAGATAATAATAAAGCGAGAGTGTAAGAATAATAGCTCTTATAGAATACATCTTTATAAATTGAAACTGCCCACGACATCGGACGCGTCCTATCACTCACACCCTTACTTCTGGTCCCGTCGTTCTTGCAAGTTAATCTTAAAAGATCTTTTTAAGAGGAATCATTCTTCCATACACATTTTTTTGGGTATCTTTAACAGTTTTCGCAACATACGCTTCGGAAACCCATAATGATGAATAATATCCAGAATTATTTACTTTTACCGCTGTATCTTTGCTTGTATTAGTCACAGGGCAATGTTTTAAAGCCTATAGCCTTCCTCAATAAATCTGGACAACACAAAAAGAATTTTTCAATTCCAACCCGTAGTTAGTAAGTATAACATGTCTCCGAAAAATATAGCTGCACATTTAACAGAAATAAAATAAGAAAACAATAAATTTCAAAATACCTCTAGGGCAACCCATTGTTTAATATATGTTTTTGTTTACGAGATTTTACTCTCTAAACTTGTTATCTTAACAAAAACAAGTATATTCATCTGTACCTATTATATATATTTTTACATCCATAAATTAAAGACTTTTACTTTAAAATCTTACCTAATACTGGGCCACGGCCTGCTTCATCCACTCCTAGCATACATGCTTCACTTCTACAATTAGAAGGTACCTCAGAAAGGTTAAGAAACTTGGTTGAATTACATCTAGATTTTATGTAATCCTTTAAATCGTTCAGTGATTCCATACTGAGTGCTGCAACACCAATTTTTTAAACAATTTTGCTTGCCTTGAGAGGTTATTACTCATAAAGACATAAAACCAATAATATCTAGTTACTTAATTTAGTACGAAGGACTTAATAATAAATAATCATTCCCTAAAGTCCGGTACACTGCGTTTCTTTTGTAAACTTTCTCAATTCCCAATGTACGTAATAAAACAAACAAATAACAATTCAAAATTTATATCACAAACGCTATTTAGTTTTGACTGGCAAATATAAACATTAAACCGTTTCCCGGGCTAAAGGCTATAAAAGCTGACTCGAATGCATTTGCAACACACCACAGATAATAAATCTGCAAGCACGCTAACTATAATCTCTCTGCTATGCAATAGCATTTTTATTTATTCTTATATTTCTTTTACTTTTGAATTATTTGTAAATGGAAAAGATTTTTTTTAGTTATTTCCCAGCATTATCACATTATCGCAGTATCTTCCTCTTTTGTGGCGAAGTTAATATTATTGAATCATAGACAACCCGTCTACGATCTGTTAATAGAATTGTAAAGGCTAGGCTTTTATTTTACCTTACAGGCTAAAAGGTAAAAAATATAGGAAATCAATCATCATACAAAGTTCTTCATAAATTGTTACTCTCCATTCATTTCCTTTTCAAAAGAGCCTCGTCTTTCATTTCTACCGTTTTCTAATAAAGTAGTAGTTTCTGGTTTTTCATACGTTATAGAAAATTGTCTACGAGTTATTTTTCCTTTAAGATTAGGACATACCTTTAGTTTTAAACATCAAGGCGGACTTAAATTTATAAATCGTTGATCATTCACTATCCTTTATATTTTACTCCTTATTCCGTTTCCTACATTTCTATCGTTTCACATGGCAATAATAAAGATATTTAATAAATTTTGTTATAATTTATCATTTTAAATAATATAAAACTCTAGAACCTATCTTATTATTACTAAATATTTTTTTCTTAAATTATATCTTACTTTCCTTATCCTTATTTTCGGTGACTTTTTTTTACCTCCCTTCCTTTTCTCGTTGTAGTTGATACACAAACCGTGCGGGCCAAAAAAAACTATTCCATCAAAAAGTATAGCAGTGAAGTGCAGTGTTAACTGTGTAGCATAATATTTTTAGATGTAGAAAATAGGTGTCATCCCGCATATTTATTTTGAAAATCGTGCACGTAACAGGTAATTCTTATATTATATTGTTGTAGATTTATGCAAATGAGAAAATTTTCTTTGTAGTAATACTTGTAAACTCGTTTATAGGTTAGGATAGTGCGATTTAATATGCAGAACAACCCCCAGGAGCTTTCATGGCAGGCGATACAGACTATTGTTGGGGTTAAACTTCCGACTAACGTGTTACGATTTGACGATATTGAATTTCATTTAATAAATTCGACGTTGGACGCAGAAGATTCGGATTCCGACGTTGAAATCATCGAAAATGAATGGGAATCCGATAATAATGTATCATCGAAACCCGACAATTCGGATAACGAAAAACCTTCACCGGAACGGGAACAGAGTGAGTCACCTATTCTACATCTTGTAGAGCCTGATAACAACAATTCAGGTAAAGATCTTCTCGATTATAGAGAATATTTTTCTAAAATGGATACCAAAGATATTATGGATAGTGATCAGACGTCTCTTAACCAAAATGATGACGCCGATAGCTCCAATGTTATGTCCATTGAAAACTATTTAGAAGTCACTTTGTCTACCGATTCTGAGGCTAGTCATACTTGCAGCCAATGTAATCAAATGTTTCCCAGTGAACAGTTGTTGTCATCACATAACTGCAGCGCCAAGCCCACCGAAGAGAAAAAATACCCATGTCATGTTTGTTCAGAGAAGTTTCCTAGTTATTGGGAGCTCAGAAAGCACATTAACAGCCATTTTCCTGGGATGCTGGATTCCAAGTCTAGTTTTTGTCATCTGTGTCAAAAAGACTACACTAAAACTGGATTTATGAACCATCTGAGAAAGCACACGGGTGAACGTCCATTTGTTTGTGAGCTTTGCCATAAAGCATTCTCTCAGTCGAGTTCCCTGTCTATACATATGAAGTTTCATTTGAATGTCCGTAAACATGCCTGCACGATATGTGAAAAGAAGTTTGTTACCAAAAGTGAACTATCCAGACACATGACTGTTCACACCAAACAAAAATCTTATTATTGTGGTGTATGTGATAAAGCATTCACCCGCTCTGACAATATGAAGAAACATGAGAAAACTCATGGATAATTTTTTTAACCTGATAAGCAACATCTTATATAATGTGAAGAATTTCATCTTAAGCTGTGCTTATAACAGGATATTTTACGATGCTTTTCAAAACAAGCTTCTTAGATTCTCCCATTGCCAAAAATTTAGTCATAATTACTGTTAATATTGTATTTGTTTGTACCAAATTGAATACTTTCTCGTCTAGTTTAAAACTTAGTCATTATGGTGTGTTATTGTGAGTGTTTATACTCTCAAGTGGTGTGCTGCTGTATTTGCTTTTGATTTAGGGGTTTATTTATAATACTTTTTGCATGTTCAGAATACACTTAGTAAGGTAATAAAACCTTTGCAGGTGCTGTAATATAATGTAATGTCACACATATCTTGACCAAACGTTGCCTTTTTAGATATGATATAGTGATATTTTAATGTGGATATAGGTCAAATGTCCAAAGATTCCGATAGCCAAGCTGTAATGTTTGTATTAGAGATAGTAGAACTAATAATACTTCAGCATTGAGGCCTTCTATAAAAACTTGTTTGTCACAAATTGTTCCTGCTTCTATCTCAGAGCTTTAATAACATATATTTTTGTATGTCTTTACTTTAAGGCATTATAATGCTAGACAAGTATACTTGATTTGCCAAAATTTAGATAAGATAAAATTTCCTTAATAATACTATGCTGCAACCAAAGCAATAATACTAATGAATGTGCCTATTTCTATATTTTACTATAAGTAATATTACACCAAATAATATATTTTAGATTTTAGAAGTTTTATAGAATAGTATCATTATATTTACGCCAAATTGGAGAGTCAATTATACCATTTTAATCAAATTTAAGATTACTCTGGGTACTTTTAGTAATTTTCCTATTGTATTGGTCTCAAAATGTTGTATTTTTAGCAACAATGATCAAGTAGATATATAAGTTTTCTTATCTATTGTCATCACAAACAAAAGATGCTTATTTAATAGCTAATTGTAAATGTGACATAATTTCTTCTTATATTGATAACAATTGTTGTAAAGAAGTTACTCCTTTATAGGTATCCATTTAGAACAAACCAATATTTGAACCCAAAGATTGGCTATAAACCAAAGTTATCTATAATATAAGTTTTCTATTGTGCCACTTCAAATTTCAGAAACTGGTTGTTATAATACCAAAATCTATAATATATTGACAAGATTTTGTATTTTGTAGTAGGAAATAATGTCATTTTATATTATTTATTATATTTTTAATCTTAGAGGTTTAGTTGCATGACTTGTTCGTAGGATTAAGATTGAGCCAAATGAAAAAACACAAAAATCTACAAGACTGACAATAATATTCAGAGTAGATAATAACTTCTGCACAAAACACTATTTATTGATGCCTTTTAACTGCGATATTTATGTGAAATGCACCTTGTTAAAAAACTCATCATGACAATTAGTGTAAGATCCGTTTAATATAATATTATCTATTTTATGGAAAATGTAATAACTATCGATTTTATTAAAGAGTTGTTTGTTGCAAGTCATGTTTTATTTTGTTTCCGAATTAAAGAAGTCGTTTCCCTTTGTTCTAGGTTGTCGAAGCGATGTCGGCACGGTTACGTAATCTTAATCCATATGAATTACATAAGTACTTGGTAAACGTTTATTGCTTAAATAAAAAGGGTTCAACGGGACTCTTGCAACGCGACGCATCTAAGGATAGGACCGACCTCGACGTTATAAGGGAAAACCACAAGTTTCTGTGGGAGGAAGACGAGGTTGCCGACACTTGGGAGAAGCAATTGGCTAAAAAATATTACGATAAGCTCTTCAAAGAATATTGTATTTGCGATCTAAGAAGATATAGAGAGAACAAAGTAAGTCCTTTGTTATAAACAATATCTCATGCGTTTCTAGCGATATCTATATTTGTAATTAGCCAATTGAACGAATCATTATGCTTCTAAAGGCTGCACAAAGAATATTAATGTCAAGTTATAAATCACGCGTTGGATTTAAACACAATGTGATAGCAGAGCCGAGGCAACATGGGAAATAATTTATACGTAGATAGGTACTTGCTCCCCTAACTAAGATGAAATGGGGCTGGTCCCCTATTAAATTGAATTGCCTTTTTTGCCCGTTAGACCTTCCTTTGTGTAGCATGCCAGGGAGAGCAACAATAGCGGTACTGCCTTTGCAGTAGGCTAAATATAGCGCATACGGTATTCACCCGCAGATAATAGTCAGTAGCGCACATCTGCTCACCATTTCTTACTTTGTCCGACATTGAGAATCGAGGCGCACATTGGTTAACAAATTAACGAATACATTATCACACATGTAAATGCGGAGGCCTCCCGTGAGATGTTATGATGCATTTAATTATTCATCTACTTGACTAACGTTCCCATAAATGCATGAAATAAGTAAATTTTCGATTATAATGAGATTAAATTAATTATTTTTACTACTATCGTACAGACGTCAAGTCTTTTTTGTATAAATTATAATTAGTATGCTATCGAGAACATTTTTTATATTACTTATTATACTATTTACTTGACCGCCCCCATAGCTCAATGGTTAAAACGCGTGTTGTGTTAGGCAAGGTCGTAGGTTCGAACTTTTGGGAAACTATAAATGTTTTCATCAAGTATTTTAAATTTTCTACCAATAACTAAACGTAAGCATTCATACTACACGGAGCCGGTCAATAGTAATATATCACTGTATTTTAATTGGTAGCGATTGAATACTCTATATAAATAGGTAATTAGTTAAAAAGACTGAGATAAGTCGCCTATGTGTTGTACTTGTAATGATCTTCGCACTAATCAACAATAACAAAATAGTTAATTATGAGACATATCTGATTAGAAGCATAATGTCGTATTAATAATTTGTAAACAACTTTAAATACCAATTTATTCAGTAAACTAGCAAATACGCATTTTTGAATGCTAATTAGGCACATAGTATGTATACATTATCTATGCACATACTTACCGTCCACGTTTATAACCTGGACTTTTAGAGGTAGAATTAAGTATCCCTTAATATAACCAACCATTTTAAGTATATCCTTTGACTACGCAATTGATCTACAACTTACCTAAAAAAACCTTCATAATATTCTAAAGTAACGTTTTAAACCGTCGACATACTTTTTGGTTTCAAGGTAGCTCTAAGATGGCGCATCGAAAAAGAAGTCGTTCTGGGCAAAGGACAATTCCATTGCGGTTCTAAAGGATGTAATAACGACCAAGGGCTAAAGTCTTGGGAGGTTAATTTCGCCTATATCGAAGATAGGGAAAAAAAGAATGCACTTGTTAAGCTCCGTAAGTATCAATAATATGTTTTTTCTAATATAATTTTCCAAAATGAAGAAATTTTGTTTAAAAAAGTTGTTGTTTCCAACGCAGGTCTTTGTCCCGATTGTTCAGAGAAGCTTAACTATAAGTCAAAGAAGAGAGAAATTAAACGAATAAAGAAAAGTCATAAAAAGAAGAAAAAGCAGCAAAGGTCAGATAGTGAGGAAGAGGATGAAATAACTGTTCCGCAGGAGGCATCCTCAGAAGTTCTCGATGAAGCATCCACGTCAGGAAAGATAAAGAATGAAGATGACAGTTCGTTGTGGAAAAAAGGTAGCGAAATCCAACCAACAATAAGCGTGTTTCGCATTTCTTACCAAAATTATTAATAATAGATAGGGATTACCCGCAAAAATCTCTTCAATGCGAATATTACATAACAGGTTTTTAAATTTCAGGGGCTCAAGATACAGAAGAAAAGAGTCGAGAGGAAGAATTCGGAGACTATTTGGAAGAACTGTTGCTCTAATTTGTTTTCCATAAGTTCTCCATTTACGTTAAATTTCGAATTCTATATTAAAATGAAAATCTTTTTATTAAATAGTGTCTGTAGTTTACGCGAGTAGTACACATTTAAATAAAACACTTTAACGGTTTAAAACGCGATATAGTAGTTAAACTTATTTAAAAATCATTTTTAAATAAGTTTAACTAATATATCGCGTTTTAAACCGTTAAAGTGTTTTATTTAATTCTTTTATTGACATAAACTTTAACCACGGCATAAATGCAGCATAACTTGAAATTATGCTGCAATTTATTTGTTTTTCCCAATTTGAAATGAAATAAAATAATTGCTTTGAATGATAAAAGAGGACATGGGATTAATTTGGTGATAGGAGAAATACCCAAGCCATATCTTGGACATAGTAGGTATGTCCAGGTATCGTCGTTGTTGCTTATGCGTGGTTCCATCACGTTAGATTTGAGATTTTTTTAGTCCTTTTCCACCTCGTTTACATATTCTTAAACTCGGCGTCTGTACGTCGAATCACAGTCAACGCTTAAAACATGAACTTGTTCTTAAAATTCTGTTCTTTTGAGTAGTGCGAAAACTCGCTATCCAATTTAATTAAATTCGTATATATCATTCTTTATTCTCGTAACCTCTATACCGCCCTACTTATGAAAGACGAGACACTAAACAAAGGCTTGCAATAGTGAAGGTAAAATAAAATACACAATTTATTCATTCTATTTATTCTGTCATATTTACTTGTTATGGTAATGTAAAATTTACATTTAAAAATCACTTGTAATAATCACATTTCAACCAATAATATAGCCGTTTAGGACAATATTTGTATCTACAGCTACACATAAATAACAAATACAATATGTGCAGTTCAGTCAATTTTAAGTGGGGTGTAGGCTGGTAAGCGACCTAATATTATCAAAATGAAAGAAAGATTTATTCATATCGGAATAAAAGAAAATATTAAAATAAATGTATGAAATACGTAATTTGTAATCGGAATACATATACAGACGAATTTTTTTCTAGATTAATTCTTCTGACTTCAATTGACTGTAGGTATCTAAGGTAAGTTTGCTGCCCAGACTATACCCCGCTTTACACTTTTAAGTGTAACAAACCTAACTACCGCTACATTTTTTTTATCTACAATTACAATTAGAGATTATTATCATGTGCGTATAAAAATTGAAATATAAGAATTCTACATACATAACGAAAAGAAACATAGTGACAGTTACTAGTCTATTTAATTTATACGCGATGCATTTCAAGGCCAATATTTAAAATTTAGTGGAACTAAGAAAATAAAAAATATAAATACATATATCCAATTGACATTTCAGTTCATATTAATACGAGACAATATTTTCAACATCCTTTTAGAAACATATATACATAACTTAATAACAAAGCAACATAAATTAAAATTTCAAATACAACATTAACATAACACTTAGACTTCTTTCTTATAGTAGACCGTTTTAAATTGTCCTCAAGTAGCTTAATTTCGTTAAAATAATAATAAAAAATGCCACGTTTAAAAAGAGCAAACTTAATTACTAATATTGTAAATTAAAAAGCTGTCGTAGATGATCGCATCATAAAAAAAATATTATGCTAAAGATAGTTACTTTTAAGACACTTAATATTAAACAAAAATCTTTATGGGTAAACTGAAAACGAAAGCTCTTGCAGAACTACAGCAAGGAGATAAAAATACTTCTTAAACCGTAATTTGTACATTATGATTACACGGTTGAAGGGAAATGCATATTAAATTAAAACACAAAAATCTAATGGCAAAACAGCATAAACAAATTTTAAAACAAGCCTTTAGTTGGACTCTACAGCAATCTCTAATTGGTAGTGGGTAACTATGAAATCAAACACTCAAATTCGCAGAAGTACTTCACCGACTGTTGCCCGCTAAAAAAGAAACGATATATAGGTTTTATTTGAACTCACTCTAATCTAGTTTAATTAACATGTTGTACATAAATACAGGTTTAAATCTCCCCGTTCTAGTAAAAAAAAAACCTTCAAATTTTGTCTATTTGGGTTGAGAGGCCTTGACATCTTCATCGTCAGAACAGTCTTCGTCGTGAGTGTGTGTCAGCTGCCGTGGTGTCTCCGGGCGTACGTGGGGCACTGTTGGGTTCTGAAACGTTGTTGTGTTGTATTTTATAAAAACGGCAACACTTCAAATAATATTTACAACCAAATTATAAAGTACCTTCGTATCGTTAAAATCCTGAGGCGCTGAAACTTCTTCAGACGAGACCTCTGCGACACAAGACGTACTAAAGGCACGCTGCGCGTACGCCTGTCTCGATCTAAGGAGTAATATTATATTTGTTATATTTTCATTTAATATTTACATAGATTATCGAATATTTTTTTAACAGAGGAGGACAAACTAACGGGGTTCACTTAACCGCAGGTGAAATACCCCAGCCATATAGCAGCTAAACATAATGCGCTGTCGACCTATTTTAGCTTGAATATTAGGAATTCCACAGACTAAAACCGAAATGCGATTTAACTTGACAGCTTTTTTATCTGTGGACGTTTGTTCGCGACCCGGATGACATTTCGATATTCCTACCACCCATTTAATATTTAGTTTTCCAGATCAAGTCCAACATGTTTTAGCACAAATAAATAAATAGAGTAGAAAAGTTTTGGACTCACGACCAGTTGTTTATTAGCTACCATTAAACCACGGAGCCACACAAGATATATATTATTACTTATTTTCACAAAAATAAAATATTTTGTGTCTGCTAGGATTAAGCGACTTTAAAGACATTGAGTATTTATGAAGTATTTTAAATATCCACACTTGTAGTTTTTCAAACTTAGTAAGTGGTTAGTGCATATATTAAATGTTACTATCCTACTTGCAAATGAATTAACGTCCACATACCTGTCAATGGTGGGCGTATCAACAGTGAAGCGTTGCTCATGGGCGACGGTAGACTCGTGGGGCATTAGCATGGCGGGCGCACGGAACATGTAGCAAAACGGATAGTACATCAGGTTGAGGAAAGATGCTGCATAGAGATCAGCATACCTTACCACCTGCGACACAATAAAATTTCATTAAATCAAGGTATGTACTTGTTATAAGCTGTGGTATAGATGCATTCACAAGATGGCAGCACTTAAATGTTAAGTTTTGTAGCGTACGCAACGGAAACCCTCAATTATATATTTCTATAAACTTTCCCCGTTTTTTCACATTTCCCCCGTTTCTTCGACCCTACTATTCGCAGCCGGTTTTATAACCCGACGCTTCCTCGATAAATGCTCGAACCAACATACAAATAATTTGTTAGCTGATAGCCAAATATTTTTTTATTAAAAGTACCTGTGACGAGAAGAATGTCTGCCTAGACCCAGAACGGAAGAGCGATCCTAGCATACCATAAGCGAGGTCCATCTTGTGAGTGACGTCACGGATCGCCATTCGAAGTTTAGATATATCTGGCTTTTCTTTTGTACTGGAATCTAAGTCTCTGAAAGGAAAAGATATAATATTAACTGAAACAAGTACTGAGAGCCAGTTCTTAAAATAATTACAAAAAAAACAGAAATGGTATGGAGATATGTGAAGTAAAAATGTTTAGTTTTGATTACCTATTCATAGAAATTATTTTAAAAAATGAATATCTTAATATTATTCACTTGTTATTTGCACATCATGGCACGAAATAAATTGAAAAAGAAAATTACGACAAGGGCAGGATTTGAACCGGCGTCCATAACGTCCCGTTGAGCTATCGTGTCGGCGACACGGACAGTACACAGTTGCTCAATGCCGTGCAGGTGGATGCCGGTTGAAGTCCAAGGTATTTTAAAAAAAAATCTTAAATTTGAAATATTTAGTTTAATATTCTTCGCATTTACTAACTTGTACATATCGCCGAGTTGTATATCCAAGTTCTGTAATTGAGCAAAGAGCTGGCATTTGTCCGTCCACACGTGCAACTCCTGGACTAGTTCAGGAACTATGAGGAATGTACGCCATCCGCCGATCTTCTTCGACTTCAATATATCGCCGAAAATATGGTCACCGATGTACAATACATCTTTGCCTTTCGCGCTTATCAGCTCGGTGAATACGTCACAGGATCCTGTTATCAATAGTAATCGAAATCTTGATAAAGTGTTATCAATTGATGCTTTGCATTATATTTCAATAATAATATGTACACTAGTACAGGTACCTATAATTGTTTCTCTCTTATAGCAATTAAAATTCGCATGTTGTTTAACAAGAGGTACGGTTTCAAACCCCGGAGTAACATGATTTTTTGTTTTTCGCCATGATAGAGAAGACTGATTACACACTTTTGTATCAATAAAAAATACTGTGAAATATTTCTGTCCACTTTACTTTATGTACAAAGTTACAGTAGGTAAAAATGATTATGAATGATTATATTAATTAGCTTTAAAATAAACAGGTCAGTGGTAAAAATTACGCTTATTGCGTTAAATACAGCTATGAATCGAGGCCTCGCAAGTTGTAATTATTTTAAATTAAGTTTTTCAACTATTCGTCGTTACTAGGTGAAATGTATTACGTAAACTTCAATTGTAAAAACAGTTGTTAGTATAAAGACGATAAAAGTATTTCTCTCCGAAGTTTCTCGTTAGATCCTAATTAAGAGTGATATATTTGTTATGTTCAAAAATAGTTTTCTAATTCTAAACACGATGTTATTAAGGCAGAAAGTTGTTTTAAAACTTCATATAAAATAGTACACATACATCGATGGTATAAACAAGATCTAGTATCTATATTTGTTATTTTTACTTTGATCTAAAAAAAGTACATCCTTGAAATGATTAGTAGTATGTTTAAAATCGCCTGTTTCATAGGAAAAAATGTAATATTTTTCACATGTTTATGATTAACAGTATAAAAATTAAAAAAAAATTACGACACGGTCCGGACCTGAACCACTATCCACATCGTCGAATCTCAACCTATTGATAGACGAACCTCTCGCGCAATGTAATTTCAACTTTAAATGTCGTATTTATTCTAATCTAAAAAAAGATTCTTCTTTTTGTGAGAATGGTTTAGATTTATACTTTGGTTCGTTACAAGGCCATTGAAGTCAGTTTAAGAGGACTTTGTACATAAAACTACTAAACACGGCGGGTCGCTGGCGTAGGTTGAACAATTACAATACTTTACACGAGAGTTTACTGCATCCATTAAATATTTACAATATTTGATTATTTGTTGACTGTTTCAAAAAGGACTTTTCTTAGAGGTTTTCCTGATTGCTAACACCGTGACGCCGAGCACGCGATAAAATTCTCATTTTCTTATAATCAGCATAGCAACGAATTCGATAAGATTACGTTTTTTTCATCTTTACAATATATAGATAAGAAAAGGACTATCTAAAGGCTATTTATTAGTTAACAGAATATTTGAATATCAATTGACAGTTAATTTTACAGTGAGATTACGTAAAATCTTATCTTAGTGGTTTATCTAGTAAGACGTTTCTAAACAAACGGCTTTGTCATTGACCTTAATAAAACTAACTTAGTAACGAGTTAGGACTAAATGAGTAATGTATTGCCAATATGTCGAGCTATATTTAGAAACTAGCTGTCTCCCGTGGTGTTACCGGTGTTTTATCACATACCAAAAATAGCATTACTTTTTATAACAGAAGCTCGCAAACCTAGTGGCGAACGAGTTTAGCTTTCAGTGGAGCTAACTACAAAGGCATGCTGAAAAAATCAACGTCACAAGCAGGACTCGAAGCCACGACCACAGCGAAACGTTGCTGCTGCTTTAGCAATTTAGCAATTTTTTTATGCAAAAGCTATCATTTTCGTGTGAAAATAAGAATGTTTCACAGGCATATAGTGTTGTCGCCAACTTTGAGTACCTACACTTTTTTAGAAATAATATTCTTCGCACGATATGAAACGTCTCAATTAGTGTTCCCGCTTTATTTAAATTTACAATTTTTGAACAATTGCCGGCAGTTTCTGTCATTGACGCTTGCAAAGAAACATTTGTTTCAGTTTTGTACAAGTAATAAATAAGATTTATCATCTATACCCTATTATAGATTTATAGAATGTGCTTATAAGGAATCTTGTAAAGTGTGTTAAACGAAAACCCAAAATCATTTCATATTGGCTCAGTGCCAATAATGAGCGTTTCTGTGTTAATATTATACCATTTGTGTGAAGGACTGAGTTGGTTAAGGCCTTTATGCCGTTAAAATGAAGTGGTTTCGATTTGAGATAAGCGTGATCAATTTAAAACAAAACATAACGCCTGCTAGTGGAGGTCCTAAGTTTATTGCGGGGTGACATGAGCTGTTCTCGTATTTCCGCTGAAGTATTCAATATCTACTAGCTAAAAAAAACAATTTAAATGGCTTCAAATATACACGCAGTGCGTATACGCATTTCTTTAACATATTTTAAATTATACGTTAACACGTTATAATAAATACCCGAAAGTTGTAGTCTTTTCGAGTGCCTGACTCGAAATTTGACTTCTAGAATTATATCAAAATTGTTAAATATCTTCATCATTGCAAACTTTTGTTTTAATCTTAGGTCACATAATTTACCTCCAGAGTAAACAAGTCCCTCGTGCAGTGGTCCAACATGGTGTCCCATTTTGAGGGCACCTGTTCTAGTATCCACCTGCCTTAAGGTGGTACCTTCGCCGAAGAAGAGTGGTTTCTTCGCATCCACTACGATCCAGTCAAAGTACGTCTTCCAATTCCTGTGTGGTTCACCGGGCTGTGAAAAAAAGAAACTAAATAATTTACCGATGGGACATACGATTTTAGTACCTACACAAGATCTAAAAGTTGAACGTATTTATGTAGCAGTAGATAAGGAGAATGGCCAAATACGGGTTAGATTACAATCTATTAAAACGGCTAAAACATCACGCAAGGAGCCAACGTTAAATATTTACTTTAGACAACGTGTTTATTAAAAAAAACCATTTGGTTAAATCAAAATTAGATATATAGGTATCTATATTATTAAATATAAATAAAAAAATATAAAAGGAGTTCTGTATGCCAAGGTCTAAAAATTCAAGCCTTGTTGACTATCTATGTTTGATTTTAATTCATTAGGCGCCTGCATACCAGTATGGCAGGCCAAGGTTAGAGGTAAATCTATCGCTATAAAATCAAGTATTTTATTTACATGTCGCTAGAAACCGCAGCGTATTTTTTTCACAAGATATTTGTCTTACAAACCGCAGGCACTAGTACTAGGATGGATACAATTGCAATGTAGTTGTTTCAAATAAATGTAAACACGCACGTTGAGCGAGCTAAATGTAATTTATGTCCTTATCAAACACCATGCAACATCCTGTTTTTTTTACCATTACACAATTGATTTCACTTTTTGTGTCAGTCGCACCATGTTAGGAATTAGCTATATTGTGGTCGTTTTATATAGGTCTGGCTAATCTCGATATTAAATGATCACGGTCGTCTGGTCAGTAAAGTTTACCGCTGATCACGAGGTTTAGTTTTCGAATGCCAAGAAGGGCGAATGAATATGTTTGGTGAATTTTTCGAGATTATTTCTAGGCCAAAGTTTTGAAAAGAGTAGATATAGATCTCGGTGCCTAAAGGAGCAGGCTAAACGGTTGTGTATAATGTGATTGAAGGAAACGAATGTTCTCCGTCGAGTAAAACACTGAGGGGAAAAATTTCTATTTTTTTTTTGTCAAACAAAAATACCGACAAACGCTCACAGTTTTTCCCTCAAAAATAAGGTCATCAACGAAAAGGTTTTTGTTTTGAACAAAATATTTTTTACCTCGCATTTGAAAAAAGAACGATAAAAAGTTTATTTTATTGATTTACCTTAGCACCATGAGGGAAGTCAAACAGATAGTTCATTATTTTGTCTGTGAAATTGTAGTCGCTGTTTGTAAGAATGAACAGTTTGGCACCGCTGTCTCTTATCCTCGACAAGAAAGTCGGGAGCCTTTCATCTTTCTTCAAGTACAAGTCTAGGTTTTCTATTGTCTTCTTCTTGAGGTCGCCGTGGATGTGGACATAGTCCACCGCATTTCTTACATCTTGGAATATAGATTTGAAAGACATTGCTAAATCTCCGCATCTTACTCCGGTTTTCTCCCTGTAATATTATAATCATTTAAATCTAATAAGAGATCTAGAATAGCCAATGATCCAGTATTATTTGTTAACAACTGGGATCATCGATTTGGTAACCTATAACGGTATATTACGAGGGCGGCATAATTTTTATTTGTAAATCTATATCATTTTTTTATTTAAGAATGAACTTAAATACTGTCTATAGTTTACGCGAGTAGTACACATTTAAATAAAACACTTTAACGGTTTAAAACGTCTCCCCGTGACCACGGCTGCTGCAAAGCATCCGAAACGTCGGGCCGAAGTTAAAAATCATTTTCAAATAAGTTCAACTAATATATCGCGTTTTAAATCGTTAAAGTGTTTTATTTAAATAAGAATGTACTTTCGTTAAAGTAATATATAATCTTATGTTCATAATGAAAGCAAAAATTAATATATATTATATATTTTACCTGGTGTATTGTGGAGAGTTGGTGAAGAAGTCTATCAAACAGGCTATCAAGTATGTTTCCGGCAAATTGAATAATGTATTGAGTACATAAACTCTAGATTCGTCTAACGTCAAGAACTTATTGGGATATAGTTCATACACTTGAGAACTGAAAAAATATAAGCTAGCTATAGATTGATAGATTATTTCTTTTTTATTTTATGCATGGTCATTATTTTTTCTAATAATTTACACTTCTTAGGAATTGTCTCTAATTGAAAAACTTAGATTAATTATTTCTGCATCGAACACAATTTCTTTTAAAAGCGGTTTTCGACTACACATTAACGCTAAATAAAATTTAATAATAATAAGAATCTTACTGCTTCAGAAATTCAAATCCGTGCACACATACAAGAATGTTTCCATATGCATCAACTTTCAGCAAATTTCCATACAACGTGTCGAACCATAGACCTCTGAAAAACGTAAAATAATATAGCCTATGTTTGTGCGACCCTCGCATAACTATTTCGTTAAATATTGCAAAGTATCGTCTTTGACCTAGTCGTCAAAATATTTCATGATCTATGCTACATAGATGACATCACACACTATTTGTAGTACATCACTCGTCAAAAGGTATTTGAACGGCAGTAAAACTATTTAGTGGATAGGCTGTAAGAAATACATTTGTTTCTGAAGTAATGAGCTTCTATTAAGCGTTTTGGTAAGTACATACCTTCAAACCAGGTTTATGTTTTAATTTAAGTGGAGCAATGCGACGTACTTTGTATCAAAACGACATTACCAACAATTTCAACGATTACCTTTTTTATACATAGATAGGTACATCAAATCGGGAAAAACGTTGTTTGAATATGCGAAAATGCATTTTCGTATTAAAAGAAAATGTCTCAACACTTACCTAACGGGAAAAGACGGGTCGTATTCGAATTCCAAAATTTCCCGCGGATAACCCTTATGAACTAGCCTTTCTTTGGTAAGATTAAATCCTAAAGTTTCATATTGAGGCGATTTATACTCTGCAATAAAACAGTTTTAATTGTTCATAACATTCGCAAGTCATATCCTCGTGCAACAATGAGTCAGTATTAATTTTCTTGTTTGTAAAACATTTGCAATTACTCACCTGCCAGAGTGTAGTCCATGTCAAAACCGTAAAATTTAACATTCTCTAGGTGTAAAGATCTGTTCACGAAGATTCTGTAACAAATAAATTTTATTCATCATAAATTTATTTATAATCTCTCAGCCAACAAACCCCAGAGAGTACCTATGTAATTTAACAAAAGTACGTTTTTCTCCAGCGAAGAGTACGTGTCACAATATACATAAAGCTTCGCATTTTTATAAACGACCACACCAACACAGTTTTCGCATAAACTCGTTGAATTAAATTAACATTCTATAAAGGGCGACGCAGTTAATTAGATTCATGTAAGTCTTGTAAAACTAGGGCATAAAGACAAAGGAAGCACACTTAAAAGAATCGATGTTATTTTTATACATAAAAGAGGGAAAGGGGGACGGGATTCTTTTTTTCTTGTTACTCGAGGAATAAAGCGAGCAACCTTTTCGAGCCTTTTAAACGAGAGTTTGTTTTCTCGAGATTTACGTGTAAGGGACAGCAGTCGATATTTACACAAGGTCGATAAACTAAATAAATAAAAAATTCAAATCGATATAAATAGAATATTTAATTATTTCGTAACATGTAGTTTACAACGCGTTCATTGTAAAAACAATTAACGCGTCGCAATTAACAAAACAATGAGAAATTACGTAATTAAATTCGTATTGGATCGATTTTCCAACATAAAAATTAACAATCCTTAATTTTATATACGTACCAACTGTACTGGTGAGTGAATATTTTCTGTGGTTTAAAAACACTTTTATAATTGTACAACGTTATATTTATTATACGTTAATTTGCTTTTAAATATAAACATGGCTGAATGATTTAAAATCAAAGCGTGTACCACTTGTGTAAATAGCGGGCAATATATACTTAGAACCAATATTATTTAATGCCTTTAAAACTTTATAGAAACATTTTACTATCAAAGCAAAATCGCTCGTTCTACAATATCTTGTGGTCGATATAATTAGAGAGATAAGCGAAAACCGAGCGCAATTCAAACTCCGTTACCAACTTTTAACAAGCAATTTAAGCCTATTTCCATCTATTCCATACTGACCAGTAACACGCACGTACTAACATCACGCCATAACATGGCAGTTGTATAATCACTAAAATCAAAAAATAGGAATTTTAATTTGAGAAATAGTATATTATTATCAACCTTAGGCAGCCAGTAGGCGACGCAACCCACTAAAACTTCCCACGTCCCGGATAACAAACGCTTATGAAATATTAACATGAATGTCGAAACAAGATTCGAATTATAGCGGCAGTATCAATTCCTATAGATGCGATACTAGAGTAGCCGCCACGATAATACTGAAAAAATTCCAGTCATAAAATGATTCAGAACCTCGTACTTTGTGTTAAATGAAAAACATATCGCGAAAACAAATGCACCGTGGCCATATCAAGTTATTTTCGAAATGAACGCATTCATTCTCAATGTCGCCAAGGTTGCAAGACAGGTGATAATACTGATTTAAAGTCTCCAATTGGCGTCATTGGGTTAGTCCGATTAATAACTAGATGGGCTGTGACACTACCGACAGCTAAACACGCTACCGTGCCATAAGCTCAAAATTTGCCAAGTTTTAATCAAATGCCATTGGCATATAATGCACTACATATATGTCTTTCCAGCGGGCGACTTCCAGCAATCTAGAAATAATTATTAGTTATTACATCCGTGACCAACGAAATGTTAGATCAACACCCTATTTTTAAACACAGTGGTATACGATATGTTATTTATATCTATTTATATGTTGACAATGCAATTTTTAAACAATGACAAACGTTGCACGGATGCAAATGTTTACCACACGCACTTCATTCGAGAGTGATTAACAGGAATCGTTTGAGATTTGACGAAGCATCTGTTTGTTTATTCAGTGGAAAGCAGAAAAATATGATCACAGGATATATAACTTCATATTTAACGCTAGAAAGTGTTAGTTCAGAGGGTTAGACTTGCATATTTTTTCGATACTTACTCATTAGGGGCTGCAGTGTATCTGTCCCCTTTGCCATAGGAAGAGCCGTTGCAAGCTCCGGGAAAATGCTCTGACATTCCATTCGCCATCACTTCGTGATACCTCATGGCATTACAATCCGCGATATTTTTAACTCACTCGCACTTTCGTTCTTTATTAAGTGCAAAGACCTTGCATTCAATGTTAGTAAACAAAGGTACTTCGGAACTTTGTCTTTTAACAAATTCAAATCGCAGTGTGACTACTGGCTACGTTCACTATTAGTAAGAAACAGGAAATACATATTTGAGTTGTTATCCTTGACAGTAACAAGGTTAAAATACTATTAGGTCCTTTGAAGAACGAATCATGCAAACGGCGTGTTCAAAATGCAGAACGTGTGATTTTTATTTGAGGAACTATTTTGGATTGAAACTGGTGTTTCATTTGTGAGTATTGATTTAATTAAAAATGCTGATTATTACGCCTCAATCGTAACTTCACTGAAATACCACAAATAGCGACATTTGTAACATAGGAAAATAACCGCTGAATAAATAATTTTACGAGAGCGCATCAAAAAGGATGTTATTTCAACTTTTATTGAGCTCGGATGCAGCGAGCTTCGTGGAACGGAGGTCGGCCGCCAGTAGGCAAATCAATAATATATAAGTACCTAATTCGCTAGATATCCTACATCAGTGCGCCTATGAAAAGAGAGGGAAAACTCCTGAATATTGTATTAATCATTTAACTGCAAAGTATCTTAACTAATGCTGAACTAATTACATGTAATATTATGTTAGATTTCCGTCTTTCTAAGTTTGTGATTTTTAGTAAAATAATAAAAAATATACCTAAACCCGGTAACTGTCAAGGTATAAAGCCCGCATTAATGTAGGCGGGAAACCGTGTACCAACAGACGTGAATAAAATCACAAACGAATTTCGCATAGATAGGTCCCGCAGTATGTAAATACACCTTAGCTGGCATACATTAGCACCACGATCACAGCTGTGCTTAGTTCGAGTTTGCATAAGATCACCGAACGAAAACGTGTACTTGGCGTACGATTATCGCGATGATAACACGGACAGACAAAGACAATTCGACGTTGTCAAGCTGCGAAGAATCCACGTACACTGACGCCATTCATATCGGAATCGAGGTTGGTGCGGCCGCGGCGTCCACAACTTCCCCCGCGACCGCACCTCCACCAAACAGCTGATTCATACAACTCTGTACGCTTGGAACGATCTAAACTTGAGTAACATAGTTTTACTTAATGGATAAATACATGTTAAAAATTTGATACCTTTATTCAAATAAACCTTATTAAAGACATCACACGATTAAACTGTTTGTTAAAATTAAAATTATGCTAAACGATATTACTACCTAGATAAACAATCCAATCTTTCTAACCTACGGTAGTTTAGTTAACGTAGGCCCTAAATATAAAGAAAAGTTTCTCTATATTTATGCATCTTCAAACATCGTTTATTTGTTATTTACAGTGCCATTTTAAAGTGTACATTTAATACTGAAAAAATTCCTTTCTAAATGTTTAAAGCAATCAATGGACCTTACCTAAACCCTTATCTTAATCTTAGTTAAATGACAATGCCACACGAGAGAAAGCATACAAAATTAAATATGCCTTAGCATTTTTTAACAATTTTCGAACTCTTAATAATCGCATTGTTCAATGTAACAAAGAAAATTTACTGAAATAATCAATGCGTCACACTATATAGAGCAATATTTGTCGAATGATAAATTGTTTAAATAATATTTCAAAGTAATGAACCCGATAAAATCTTCCACGTCATAAGATAAGCCCGGAGAGCTATGCTTTTATATTTGTTATTTAACAATTTATATAAATAAATTTTATCAACGCTTTGTTAAATTATATCCATGTGCAAGAGTTATCACAGAAAATAATTTAATCTTGTGGACACTTTACGACTCTACATTTGATACCTGTAAATGGCACGAAAATATAGAATTTTTCTGTCCGTCGGATCGCGCTTTTTCCCGACTAGCTTTTTGCTTATGTTAATTAATTTTTATTTATGTTCAAAGGTTCAGCAGCAAGGTACTTAGATGTATTGTAGATGTGAATCTTCACTATACAAAACCCACCGCTTTTACTGCAGAGCTACAACGACTGCCAACATGACATATGGCCGGTTTACAATTCTTCATTAATATAAAAAACTTTTTTGCATATGGTCTGACGTTAATATTCAACCCTATTGCAATAGAAATCGAGTGGGACTAAATCATGATAATTAATAATAGGCACTTCAAAAGTTGTCACTTTATGAAAGTTGCCAATAACGAGTTTACAAAGGTACAAGTTGCGTCATAGTTTTAGACACCTACGCACCTGTGTTCCAACTGTCTCCTATCAAGCCATGTATTATGCATCATAGTTATCGTCTCCGCATAACAATCCAATTCGAGTTCGCTCCTAGACAATGGCTTGTCAACGCCAGCAATCGACTTGTCGGGAATTTCCACTGTCTCATCACCAGCTAGGAATGCTACAACTGGTTTCCGCTTGGAAGACGAAGAGTTAGCCCGAGCTCGAATCTCTTGGGGAGTCAAGGATGGCGAGAGGGGATACGCAACTTCAAACGCGTCTGGCATTTTTCCACTAACAATATGCTTCTAAGGGTATCGGACAATTACTGACATTTAAGTGGACGTAAGCGAGACCGTGCTTGACCCCATATTGAGATAACACTTATCAGGTTAAATAATATGATGAAAATTTGTCAACTAAATAATCATTTTCTTAATTATGTAGTTAAATTTTTATCGCAATCTTAAGACACTTACTGGATATGTGAAAGTCCCGTGAAGTGGATGATAACAGATCCAAAACCAAGAGAAGATTTTGATTTGCGTAAATCTTTTTATATTTTTTTTATTTATAATATACTTACCTCAAAATTTTTTTAATGGGAGTAAATAGTGAATAAAGTAAAATTTGTAACCAAAAAATAGATGTTCAATAGAACATTATAAAAATTCATTGCAAATACATACCTGTGTTCTGCCCTTCTATAATACTTCTTTGACAAAACATTATCTTGTGATTGCAGACATTCTTTATTCTTACACACATTTATATTTGCCATATTTAATGTTAAAATGCAAGTCTTTGGGTATTTTCTTTGGTTTCTTATTAGCCTGGCTAAAAATTGGAGTGGTTTCCGCATACAAAATCTGCTGTCCCCAAAAATTAGGCACTGCTTGAACCTAAAATCAAGGCAAAATTAACATTGTTCAAAATATGATTAGTATGATGGTTTATGGAATCAATAGAAAAGTAATCTAATCTTTGATTTGTATTAAGGACATGTTTTAAATAAATAAATAACTAGTGTTTACATTACATACATTGAATAGTCTACAGCTTAGAAATAACATAATAAACTGAAGTTAGCCAGCTGAAATTCCAACTTTTCATAAATGAAATATCCATACTAAAAATAAGATTTACATGATTTACACACACATTAATATGAACTTTTATATTCCTGTTATGTGAAATTCTACGCAGTTAATATAAGCTGCATAAATCAAGAGCTTACTATTCTTTACTATTAAATATTGAATAATGTATATAAATAACATTTTATAGGATATTTTAGTTGTTGAAAATGGGTCCACCGCAAAATGTACGCTCAAGTTACGAAAACATTCGATTCATCTCGATTCGATCATCAAGCAAATTTAATATAAATAATGACGAATTCAAAAACTGATAAAATTAAATTTCCTACCTTTTCCTATGAAATCAATGTTGAAAAGCAGTCAGCAGTCAACACTCAAAAACAAACAATAAAGTTATTTGTCATTCATCCTGCGCTGTGGGCCATGTGCTGTCAACAGTCAACTGCCAAGTATTAAATAATAATCGCTGTCGTCAAATGTGGGCAATGACGTCTGACACATGACACTACAGGCAGTATAATGTGCGTATCGTATGGCATTGTTACTGTCCAACTTGAGATATTGTATTTAATCCCCACTGTCTAGATTTAAATTTTAAATAAAATGTAACTAATAAATTGTGCAAAGTAACGAAGTTAATAGTAATACTTCCTAATTTTAAGACGTTTAAAAGTATAAAATCAAGTCCAATGGCTTACACAGAAAAGGTGTCATTAAATGGCACCGCGCTTTCTTTCTTACTTTATGAATGTTTAAATTCATCATGTAGTCAGGTAAGTTTAGTGTTCTTCGATATTTAATAATTTTAAATAAATACAACACGCTTATTTCTAAATTTGAAACTTTGCCCTAATTTAAGTTCTGATTTCAGGAAGGTTTCTTGTTTGGCGATGTCACTTCAGAGATTAGAAACCATATATCTGATTCACACAATGACAGCGCTCGTTTAGACACCCAAATTGCCATCAGAACAGTTTTGCCTTTGCCATCGGTTTCATTGTTTTACCTTCCTTCTGGGAGTATTAAGGAGGATGTGATTAAAGATTTATTGTCAAATGCCGCCAATGAAGTAGTCGGATGGTACAAATATCGTAGAAACAGTAGTATAAAACCAACATTTAGAGACAAACTAATCTCGAAAGGCCTTCAGAAGTACTTTGAAAAGCATCATGGCAAGAAAACATTTGTAACATGTAACCTATCTTCAAAGACAACATTGGGGGGATCAACACATACATTAGTTTATAGATTTGGAAAAATAAATTGTTTTGACATGTATGAGTATATAGAAGATGTCACAGCTAACTTAGGTGAAAAGGTAACGGGGTATAAAAAAGCAAGCAGGTTATCACCACACTGTATATTTAACAAAATAGTTAAGGAAAGCAATGTCCAAACTAATAATACAAATGATGCAATATTGATGATACAAGAGGCTGTAGATGTAAGGCTTGTAGCAGAAGCAAGAATTGCTGCTAAAAATGAAGCAACAATTAGAGAATTGGAAGCAGAGATTAAACAAATGCATTCAATTTTGGCAGAGAAACAAGCATCAGATTTAGAAACTGCTTACAATAAAATCTTGGAAGAGAAGTATGTGGATAAAGAAGTTGAAATGGTTGATGCTTGTTTAGAGGCTCTCAATACACCTCCAACTATTGACCTACTTAGTACGCCAAATGTAATTAATAGCAATAGTGAAATTTTGACAGATAGTGAAAGTTCTCTGCAACTTATTGAAAATAATACAAAAGAGAGGTCTCCTAGTCCCTCTTTGCCATCAAGTTCTAAGCCACCTGCATTAAACTATGCAGCGGTGCTTAAAAGAAAATCTGAAACCAGCACTAGTAACAATGTAAGTTGTTTTAACATAACATAACAAGTATTTAAGAATGACTTGGGAGTTGATCGTAGTCAGTTTTGTACTATAATACTATACTTAAAACTACTTTCTGCTGCCACTTGATTGAAATTGTAAAAGCATCTTTAAATAACCATTTTTTTCCCTTTTCAGATAATAAATAATTCAAGTGAAGACTTAATTACATTTGACGTTGAAGAGACACCTGCTCAGAAACCAATTATTATTATCAATGACAATGCAACATGTTTTGGTGAAAGTTCTCCAGAATACTAAGTGCCTTATGACTTACAAATGTTAATAGTTACCATATATTAGTCTGCCTTCATATAGAAAAATGGTCTTTGAAATAAAATAACAAGCCTGAGAGTTAAAATAATTGTATTTCTTAATTACATTCTTAGCAGATTGGGTGCTTTATTTCTCTTTGGTGTGTGTGGGTGCTTTATTTTTCTTATATTATTTCACTAGTTCAAATCATGATAGGAGGAATTGGTGATGCTACTTCAGTGATTTGGAATAATATTCTAGCACTGTTTTTCTTTATGTTGGCAGAATTCTCTGTTTAATTCAGTTCTATTTCAACATATTTCTTTATTTATAACTGTTTAACATATTTTGTTGCAGTTATATTGTATATTATAACACTATTTAACATATCTCGTTAAAATTAAACTTTTTCTGGTTTACATACATACAAACTTATGTAAGGATAGATTTTGGTAATATAATTTCAACTATCACAATTAACATTTATTGTAAATATTGGTATAAGTTATCATTAAACATAGTTTTGTAACCTCTCCGTAAATTAACGCTCATAAAACTGTAATAGATTATTTTTTTAATAAACAATATTCTAAGCGCGCAGTTGATTTTACTTGGGTGTGTTGGTGAAAAATAAAAGAAGACCTGTATTGTAGTAATTTATTTTAGTTGTTTTGAAAGATTGTATAATTTCTTTATATAATGGCTCGATTTTCTGTTCAAAGACTGTCCATTGTTTCATTTAATATTCTTGTGTTGATCTAATTGTAATACTGATTAGAATGTTCTACGTTTGGTGAGAGAAATAATGCCTTGTATAAACTCCTAATACTTAACATAGTAACTATACTTAATATCTAAAAACATAACGGAATATTCATATCGTAAATCACTTTAACGCAAGAATATTTTTAAATGGTTATAACATAATTTAAAAATCAAAAATAAATTGAAAAAATTTACAACTCGGGCAGGACTTGAACCGGCATCGAGAGCGTTCCGTGCGTTGCTCTACCAATTGAGCTACCGAGTCCTGCACCTCATCGTCGAATTTTTTTAACTTATTGATGCATGCACCTCTCGCGCAATGTAATTTCAACCTTAACTCTTGCGTGTTAAGGTTCAACGTATTATGCTTTGCAGCTTAAGAAATCATTGGTTATAACATATTTTTAACAAAAGAAATACTACTAATATGTTAAAGCTTCCTTCAAAATATAATATGATAAAAATATTTCATAAATCAACATAGGGACTAGAATAACCTAAGATATTAACCAACCAGATAATTGAAATATAAAAGTATTTTGTTTAATCTTAAAATTAATCTGGCATAGTTACATTTTATTACTAGTTTGAATGTCATAAAAACTACGTACTCGATATTATATTCGAAATCTATTATACCGCCTATCAATACATATAGATTGGTATTTACTAGACTAGAACGAGAATGTTATATTGACTATTTTTAGGTTATATGGAATGTCGATATGACTAATTGTAAAGGCGCAGATACCAAGTGGGCAAAATTACTGTTAAAAATTATTATTTCTACCCTAACGTAATGTCAATCGCAACTACAGTCTTATTACAATAAATCAGAAGCGATAGCGGGGTTTTCTCCAGCTAGTTCATATACTGAGTGGGCCAGCCGCCGCGCTTGCTGCACCGCAGTGGAAGCAGGAAGCAAGCCCAAATGCACACAGATTAACTCTTTTATATTCACTCCTTGGGTGTCATTCGGGAATACCAGCTCTATCAATTGCCTGTAATCATTTAACAAATACTCATGTTATGAGGATACACGTAGGAAATTAGGTTAGCGAACATTTTGCAAGTTAATCTTAAAGGATAAACATATAACGTCGCGGACCTTTTTTTAGATAAATGGATTTTTTTTTGCGTATGATGAACTGTTTTTGTTGCGTACGCCTCGGAAAAATAGTTTTCAAGACATGGCGATAACCCATTACCTGTAGAACGTGCCCAGTATATCACCGGGCGGGGCAAGAGCACGCAAAGCGGCAGGGTGGTGCGGTGCCGGGCGCACTGGCACACCACGTCTTTCCCACCACTGCACTGCGCAAACGTGGAGAGCACCACGCCGCCACGTAGCCGCACCATAGCCCTCGCGAAGAGCGAACATTGTTCGACGCATTATACTCCTAATCTGTATAAAGAATAGGTTAGAATAATAATAAATACAATAAGCTCAGAAACTCCACTAGCTTTTAAGAGAATTAAAACAATATTTATATATAATAATATTTTAAAGCTGAAGAGTTTGATTATTTGTTTGAACATGCTACCTCATAAGATTACATTGCAAGAACGTCGTCGTGGGTAACAGCTGTAATAGATGAAGAAACAAAGTTTTTATAAGATTGTAAAGTACCAATTTACGACCATGTCATAATACACTATAAGTATTGTATAGAAAGAATATAAGGACAATTATTACAATTTCATAATTTAAAACAATGTAAAATATTATACCGTTTCAGGTGTAAGCATATCCACACAGTCCGCCATATCGGGCGCCAGGAAGCGTCCCGTGGTCCGATCCACATAGATGAAGTGGATGAGTCCGGGGAACTCTTCCACATACTTGTGCAGGGTTAGGGAACTACTCCCCTCCAGGTCACCAGTGATACCCACATTAAGCGAAATAATTGATGCAATAATGCATAACACAACACATATCTCGACATATCACAATACAACATGCAACATATCTTTCTAAGGTAAGCATATAAACACAAAAACAACCAAATTGTTAGGGTGTATGTAGAATGTTCGTTATGATTAGACAAATAGTGTGAGGAGTCAATTTTTCGCCTCACACCGTTGTCTGTACCACCTTTAGCTTAATTCCATGAGCCGAAATAAGTAAATAAACTCGACTAGATTCTCTTTCCCACGACACCTTATAAAAAAGGATCTATGAATGGTACAATAACTATATTTATTAAACGTGATTCTCGTTTCTATCACTATGAACTGGTAATTATAGACTATGAAAATTCACCAAAACAAAAACATAAGAAATATGCATTTCATGCAAAAATCAAATCAACCTTTCCACCAATGCTAAATTACAAAATACATTTGAAAAGGATATGATCCAAGACTGAAGTAACGCTTCGCCTTCACTTGAAGAAAGTCTATATAAGGCGAAAGCAATCCTTTGAGATCCTTTAGCGGTTGTTCAGTCCTGAGGCTAGGTATGTCTGGCTTCAACAGCTCTATCACAGCGTCGAGAGCTGTATGCATAGCTGTTGCTGTTGTTTCGGGGGTAAGGGGCGTTGTTGTCGTGCAAGACTTGCGTAGTTCCAACATCCTACTAGAGACGCGGGCGCAGAGATTTGCATTCCCTTTGTTCTTACGGAGTGCGTCCGTTGTCTGAAGTATTATAAACATATAATTACAAGTAAAACATATTATCATTCATAGTTATTGGTAGTATGTAACATGTAACAACTCATAGCAAGACTAATATTATTCTGAAGCTGAATCTCCCATTCTCGTGCAAAGTATTATTTACGTATTCTTTAATTATTGATACTTAAAGTAATGATTAGCAGTAGATTACGCGTGTAGTACATATTTAAATAAAACACTTATAACGGTTTAAAACGCGGAATCGTCCGGCCGTAGTTAAAATCAATCAAACATAGGCTAACTAATATATTCCTCGTTTTAGGCCGAAAAAGTATTTTAAATAAATTATAGTGTTTTACCTTCTTTAAAGCAGCTTCTAAAGTATCTAGAGAATTAGGTAATAGTTCTAGATTTCTTTGAAGTAAAATCTTTCTTAGGTTCATCAGAATTTGACTGGACAAATGGGTTGCTATTCCCACTTCCCTGAAAATTAAAACATATTTTATGAAAATAATATATATATGTATATGTATATATAGACATTAATAGTCCCGAAAATTAGTTAAGGCGTTTCGTTAATATAAATAAATAACTGGAATTTCAATTTTTGAACGGAATTATTGGAATAAATAAAAAAAATACCTCAGTTCCATGTCAATCAGCGCCACAAATATGACGCGAGGTGCCACTTCTAAAAGATGGAGAGAATGTGGGGCACAGGGCGATCCTGTGCTACCAGCACACATGTTGACTATTGCACTGTTTTGCTCTGACAACCCTACACAATGTACAATAAATATTCTTTAATAGACATAAACGAGCCGGCCTGATTTTTTGTGTCGTTTGATCTCGAACAAAACAAACAACAGGCCTTTACTCTAGTAGTAGTAAAAAGTTTGTTCTAGTAGTAGTCAAAAAGTTTTGTACAAGAAATGAGAGTAAATGGCATAAATTAATTATGTTCAAGATTAATAATAGCATAAACGTGAAACATCGTTTCTCATAAAAGACTTTGTAACAGAAACTTTTAAGATATTGCACATGATGGCTTTATATAAATTAAAAATATAGTGAAATAGTAATAAAGTAAGCTTAAGAAATATCTTTCTTAAAGATCTTGGTTGGCAAAGCAATGGACTTTAATACGTACCTAATTTAAAAAAAAAAATAATCTCTACCTTAATGCCTAAATTTTAAGGTGGAATTTAGATTGCGTGAGAGGTATGGTGGAGGTTGAGTCCCGCCCTTGTTATAGATTTTTTTCAATCGAAATATTATTTATATTTGACAATCGAACACAGAACGCCTTTAAAGATTATGGATCGGAGGCGGTCGTTCATACTTACATGGCAAACGCGAATTCTTATCACCCCCCATTTGATCGAGATCGCTCCAATATTCTTGAGCAGCAATGCATTGTGTACTCAGTAGTATCAAATCAGGTGGCATTAAGTCATCACTGCCTCGACTAAAACATAACGTAACATTTTATAAGTGTAATTTAAGAAACTTGGCATAATTTATACCACTACTTGGGAATTATATAATTAAAAGGGTGATATGGTAGGGTGAAAAATAATTCATTTTTTCTAAATGTTTAGTGAAACTTTTTTTGACATCAATCAATCATACATGCAGTTTATATAACAGTTTGTTATAAATAAAACATTTTTTTAAATTTGTTAAATTACTTACACACAAGACTAGTAGTAAAGTAAACATTTTATAAAAACATACTTAATTAACCCTCTTTAATATCATTATAATTACTCCTTATTGAAGGCCAGTGCTAATCTTATTAATGAAGATTAAGGTTACTTCATAGCCTATATTAGTATCCGATTATATAATATTTGAATGAGAACTGATACCCTATTAAATAATACATACCTCGAATAAAGAGCAAGCATTTTGTCTCCGACAAAAAGCATAAGATGGTAATGCTGATGTGGTGCTGTTTTGAGTTCTTTAGACACAGTCTTAAGAGCATTAAGAGCCGCTATTGTTGCCCCACTTTCGCCAATTACTCCACTTGCACCTGGGATAGAATCTCCCTTTAAACGACTCTCTAGGAGCACTGATAACCAATCTTGATATATTGAGGAATGTAGGCTGCAACAAAAATAGTAATACATAATAAAGTCTCCAGTTTAAAAAGATCACTTCTGTTTAAAAATTTAATGCATTAATCTATGATAAGAGTACGATGCAGATATATAATATTTTACTCACAGGTTGATATTTTGGCCACACACATGCTGCACTAATGTTTTACAGTCTAGCAGCTCTCTATGAGAGTCATCAATATTATCTTCGCTGATTATCATAAACACATGGTCTAACCACTGTAAAATCAATATATTATTATTTATAAACATAGTTATTAATTATTTTCTATTGGGAGCACCAATAAAGCTTTATAACGAGTACTTTTGCTAGACAATTAAAAAATAGAAGCAGAAAATGTTAAAAAAATTAACAAATTTTAGCTTAATTGTTATTTAATAAGAAGATAGTAGTAGCGAATATAGATACCTCATCAAAAACTATTGTAGTTTTATCTTTGCATTGCATAGAAGTATAAGTGTTGCTAAATTGAGCTGCCATAATTCTTTGCGATGTTATTATAGGCGAAAGAAGCTGAGATATATGGTGACTGTCTGTAATATTTTCGTTGCTTTCCTTTAAAGCAAATGTTTGGTTTTAGTAAAATAATAATAATAATACTTTAAAAGTAAATAGGTAAGTAGATAATAGTTTGTTTTATTTGGAATTTACTATGGACATGCTTAATTCTAATTAGGCATTGATTTTATTGATAAGTATAAGGTAAATAAAATAATCACCTGTTCATTAAATGATTTCATTCTACTCAGAAATTCCTCATCCCACTTTGAATACAACAAATCATTTACACTGTCAAATATTAAAATTGCTTTCATTGTTGTGGAATATTATTTGATGAGCTGATAATCCCACAAGAAAATAACAATTTTCAAATATATATAGTTTTACTGATTTTGAATATTTGTTATTTATATTTATGAAAATTGCACAGATTGTTATTCAAGAAATATACTGTCAGTGTATACTGTATGCACAGTGAATAGTAAGAATTATACCAAAACTTTAGTACAGGATTGAGAATAATAAAAATATTTTATGGCCTAGTAACGAGACCTTTAAGCCAAGTCTTATTTTCACTTTTATTATAAGAAAGTATTTTTAGTTATTACACATTGCACTTTTATATCGAAATTACAGTATTTTCAATACATTTGTATGACGCACTATAACACTTTTTGTTTTTAAGTAAAAACAACTGGCGGCGGGAAGTACTAGGTATAACTATTGAGCAAGTAAGGCTACAACTAGAGATTACTGTCAAATGTAATGCAACGTAACTTAGGCCATTAGCGACTATTTTTATTCATATATATTATATTACTTGGAACCAAGTAGACCTACAACAAACATTTTCATAATAGTTATTATACGACTAGGCATAGACAAAAGATTTGTTGGTAATTTTGTGGTTTTTAGGATGATAGGTATGATTCATAGAGTACGAATGGTTGTCGGACTTGACAGTTGATGGATGGTGTTTGCTTTCTTGTTGTTATTCGATGCATTTCATTTTTATCAATTGATTATACGCAAACGAGTTTTTTAATATTTTTTATAAACCTGCTATTTCGAAAAACTTCAGCTGTTGCTAGAGACGTTATTGCTTTGTTAAAATTACTACGATTCTAGTTTTTCTAGATAATATGGTTTATATATAACCTGCAAGCTGTTTTTAAGTACATTCAAACATGAGCCAAGCACAAAAAAACTTGGTTTGTACACTTTCATATAATTGGACTATATTTGGTTATATTTTTTAATGAAAATGAAAACAATTATTTCAGAGAAAAATAAAGTCCCTTTGCTATCTTACTTTAGGAGGTACAATATCTTACCAATTTATATATTATAAAAAAGATTTTGAAGGGTATTATAAAAATGTACTGCAGCCAATTAGTCAGAGGTTGAACCCAGAATGGTCCCATAAGCTTGGAGTTTCAGCTTTAAAATATGGTCTCTTTCCCTCAGAAAATTTTGAAGATCCAACTGTATTGGTAAGACATTATAGAACAAGACATATATATTTATTTGTCTCTAGATACTCTGAAAGTAATATCCAGCTTATATTGAAGATCATCATAGATGTCATTTTTCTCCCTTTCACACTATTTTGTGCATCATTTACTGTATTCTTTACACACTTTTTCATTACTTTTAAGAGTTATATTTGGTTGAATAAAGTTCAAGTATATTTGGCAATACTAAGAGGGACTTTTATTTCTTTTCAGAAAACTAAGTTTCTGAATAATGAACTAAGTAACCCAATTGGGATTGCGGCAGGTTTTGATAAGCATGGAGATGCAATAAAGGGATTAAGGAAAATAGGTTTTGCTATTGTGGAAATTGGATCTGTAACACCTGAACCTCAACCAGGCAATCCAAAGCCCAGGGTATTTAGATTACCAGAAGACCAGGCAGTTATAAATAGATATGGATTCAACAGTGAAGGACATGATATGGTGTTAAAAAAACTACAAAATTTAGATAAAAACATTTTTGACAGAGGATTGTTGGGTATCAATTTAGGAAAAAACAAAACCTCAGATGATGCAGCTCAAGATTATTCATATGGTATACAGAAATTTTACAAAATTGCAGATTATTTTGTAATTAATGTAAGCAGGTAAGTTATAAATATTATATAAACTAAATGTTGTGTCTCATAGATTATACATAAATAATAAGATAAACTATTGTCGTTACTAGTCTAAACTATTTCTTCTAGTCCAAACACCCCAGGATTGAGATCTCTACAAAGTAAAGCTGAATTACAAAAATTACTAAGTGAGGCAAATAAAACAATGAAATCTTTACAAAGTGATAAGAAGCCTCCACTTCTCTTAAAATTAGCGCCAGATTTAAGCATTGAGGAGTTGAAGGATATTGTATCTGTCATATCAGCTAAGGATACAAAAGTAGATGGCCTTATTATTTCAAACACTACAATAGAAAGATCCAATTTAAATAACCAGATAGTTGCTCAAGAAACTGGTGGTCTTAGTGGTAGACCATTAACAGATAAATCTACAGAAATGATTCGAATTATGTATAAGCTCACTAAAGGTATGTGGCATTTTATTATTAACAACTTTAAAAAGGTTGTATTATGTGCTTAATCAATTTTATATTTTAATAGGTAAGATACCCATCATCGGCGTTGGAGGAATATTCAGTGGCCAAGATGCTTATGAAAAGATATTAGCAGGTGCAAGCGTCTTACAGATATATACAGCATTAATTTACCATGGCCCTCCTATTGTAAAAAAGATTAAATCTGAGCTTGCAGACTTATTAATTCAGAATGGCTACAAAAATGTCAATGAAGCAGTTGGAAAAGGAGTAAAATTATAGTAATATAATATTAAAAGTTATGAAACAACGTACATATTTTGTTATGAACACATTATATAACATTTATTTGTCAATTTGTGTCTTTGCAGCACCTGAAATAGGATTTTTTCAATTGTAAATATTTTATCCATATTTCTACATACTTTCTGTTATAGATTATCTTTTACCTAATATTTTGCAACTTGGTATACTAGTTTGTAGCTGTTTTTTACATTCCTCTAAATTATTTACACTCGTTAAATTGAAAAGCACTAAGGTTTGTAACTTAGTCAACAAACTTAATTTGTTTAATCCTGCATCAGTTACATTAATGCACTGTGAAACTTGGACATAAGTCAGAGAATCTTTTCCATATTCTAATCCTTCCATGGCTCTGTTGTCAATGTACTTATTGTCATGTAGTATAATTTTCCATAACTTTGTACATCCATCTATAAAAAAATATGATTAACATGGGTGAACTTCAAACTACAAAGTAAAAATAGTAAGGTACATACTAAGGTGTGAAAAACCATAATGGGATATTGAAGATTCTGTTCCATCAATGACTGCAACTTTTGGAACAGATTCTGTTTCTGGTGGAAGAGAGTTATAATCTGCTAACTGCTTTCCATCTGCCCAGATTACTTTGCCACCATTTCGCAAGACCCATTCAGCACAAGCTCTATCTGGTCCTAAAGTTTTAATCCTTTCATGATCGGGTTTATTAAACATCATGTTTACATATTCCCAAAAAGACCTGGCTTGCATCTTATGACGAGAATTATGCTGACATAATAAGGTATGTGTCTGGAAAAAATCATGTATATAGAAACAATTACTAATTATAATAATTTAAACTACAGTACTATCAAAGTAGAGTAAGTTATATAGTGAACGAACATTTTTTCTGAAACTCCACATTTTCTATTTTTAGAATGGCACACGGTTAATGGTTGTAAGTCCTCGGTATACCTGGAAAAAACAAAATATTATTAATTATACATTAAATAGTAAGATTAACTTTTATTTCTTACTTGTATATTGTTATCTCGATTCTAAAGCTCTTTCGTAAGTTCGTAACTAAACTATTTATTTTGGTTGTCACTGTCACCGGTTAGATCATAGACAATGGAACGAATATAACGTAAATGTTTCCTAATCTGTTATTGTCAAAACAATTTTTTCAGTATTTTATTTTCTATGGTTTTCCCATAGAAAATAAAAATTGTTAAGTAATTAAAACAGTGTTTGGAATTAGAAATTATTTCCTAATTGTCTTGTTTTCTTAAAATGTTAAATATATAGATATTAGAAGATCTAAAATATGTAAGATAAAGTATAGGTTTGTGTAGGCGAAGAATCTATTTATATGGTTTGTCCAATATATTTCTATGGATATTGCTTTGTGATTTGTTTTTGAAGATACAATGTCGGAGTCATACGGTATTATTGACTACCTTTAAAACAATAGTGTTTTATTAATTATACAAAATAATTTTTCAATTAAAATATTATTACTTTTTCAGAATACTTATTTAAGTTTTTAGTTATTGGCAGTGCTGGGACAGGGAAATCGAGCCTTCTAAATAATTTTATTGGAAATAAGTGTTAGTATAATCTTTTAGCAAACAAATACAGAATATATTGTCAATGTTATACTTGTATATGTATGTTTAACTAGTATAAAATGTTGGTTTGTTGTAGTTAAGGAAGACAGATGCCATACTATTGGTGTTGAATTTGGTTCGAAAATAGTTAACATAGGTGGAAAATCAACTAAACTTCAAATATGGGACACAGCTGGTCAGGAAAGGTTTCGATCAGTGACTCGATCTTATTATAGAGGAGCAGCTGGAGCTCTTCTTGTTTATGATGTAACATCTCGTGACTCTTTTAATGCTCTTGCTAATTGGCTTCGTGATGCTCGCACTCTGGCAAGCCCAAATATAGTTATTTTACTTGTCGGCAACAAAAAAGATTTGGAAGAGTCCAGAGAGGTCACATTTACAGAGGCAAGCCAATTTGCACAAGATAATGGTAAGTGGTACATGAAATATTGTAATTAGTAACCTTATTTCAGTCTATTTGTGTTATTTTCTACACTTTTGAAAACTAATTGTAAGCATAGGTGAATATTACAAAATAATATGATTTATGTACTAGTTTATAGACAGTCAAATGCTATGAAATGGAGATATTTTCCATTATTAATGTTTAAGGTTAGTAAGTTTAGTATTTCATCATAAAACCTCTGGTTTTTAGAACTAATGTTTCTTGAAACCAGTGCTAAAACAGGAGAGAATGTAGAAGAAGCATTTTTAAAGTGTTCCAAAACAATACTAGCTAAAATAGAGACAGGTGAATTAGACCCCGAGAGGATAGGGTCTGGCATTCAATATGGAACAGGGACTTCGAAGAGATTGGGTGCACCAAAGAGACCAACAAGGACGCCATCTGATTGTGCTTGCCGTGTTTAAACAATGCCTTTCCAAATAATATTTATTAATTATAAAAATTAGACACTCAAGGTGAGGTTATGACTTTAATTTACTTGTTTAGCTTCTTGACGTAGAGATCTAAGAGAAAGAGATATATGTATAAGAATAGTATAACACATCTAATGTGGATACTTTGAGTTTCTAAGCATTGAAAAACTTTTATTTTAATAGATTTACTCTTATTTGCTTTGTATATACTGTATTATTAATTTTCAGGTTGACTAATGAAATATCTGCAAAAATAAAAAGATCTGCTAGTTATTCCTAACAATCACTATCCTGGATAATTGTGAATTTTAAAATATTTTATTCAAAATTAACTTATTTCCTGATGTGATTTTAATATTTCTAAGAACTCTTTTAATGTTTGGATAGTAGGGTGCAACATTTTGACTAACAATTAAATTGAACTAGTTTTTTCATTCCTATAAACTGTCTTGATGCCATTTTTTCGTATTTCTAAATGTAACTATTAATTATTTCACACAATTGAAAGTTTAAATTTTGAACACATTTCTTCATGGAAAAATATTATTTTACTACTATACTTTATTAAAAATGGTGAAGACTAATGATGTGTTTTGTTAAATGTTTGAAAAATTGTTTGTTAATAAATGACAATTAGAACTTGTATGTTCTGGCTCTTTTCATATTTCACTGAAATAATTATTAAATACTTTCTGCACTGGACTATAGGTAAGAAAGATTCTCATCTTTGTAATCTCATTATTTAAAGTAGCTAGATGTAGAAAATGAATTTAAAATTCGATTAGCTGGCGATCACTGTACCAAATATTTGCTTAAGTACAGTAGATACTCTCTATAGTTTTCGCCAGTAGCGTACGTTGAATAAACCTTTAACGTTTAACCGTTATTAGTAAACTTATTTAAAAATGTTTTTACTTCGGCCGGCGGTTCCGGGGGCGGCCCCCGGGGGTGGGGGCCGGGGCTGGTCGCACGCCTCCGGGCGGCCGGGGCGGGTTTTTTTATTAAAAGCTTCGGATATTAGTGCTTTAAGTAATGGCGAAATTTTATTTAAATAAGTACCCTCCTAATGTAAATTTGTTAGTGCGTAATAATATTATTTTGTATTGAACTTGTTTAGGTCGTTATTTGGGTAAGCAATATATTCATATAAAATATGAGTAGGTTTTTGTAAAATGTGTCCAGGCGAATGAGTTACTTTGCAGTTGAATTTTGTGATTCCCAAAATAATAGAGCTGCTTAAGTATTAAATAGGGATAGGTTTTCATGTAGTTATTAAACTATGTATTTATATTATAAGTTCAGGAATTCATTTTAGTTGACTTTTTTTTATTGACACATTTTCAAAGTAACCCTTTATTTCATAGCATATATTTTTTAAAAAAATTGCACCATGTATTATTTTTAAGGTAGTATATAATCACTTTAGCATTAGTGCGCAATCGTGTGTATTAAATGTGACAATAAAGTGATGTAAATATTGTATATTTCATTAATGCATACTAATTAATTGAATACTTGTCGGTAGGATGCTCTTTAGGAATAAAACCAGAAATGTGTTTTTTAGAAATTTATTTTCCAAATAAGTAACATTCTCGATAGCTCGTACATATATGGAGCTAGCTAAATAATTAAAATGATTGTTTTCTAAAATGGCTTCATTGCTTTGATATAATTATCATTATTTACAGCAAAATTATTCTTCTAAAACCATTATTTGTAAAATGATTATATTTCAACAAATAAATAACACATAATAATTACTGTTTTTATATAGACCAGCTATTTTACAACTCATAAGAGTGATCTTGCTTTTAACAATTGCATATATGTGATATGTATGTAAATTTCTGCCTTTATGTGTAAACATCGAACTTGTTAATATCAAATATTGATGTTAAAACCACTCGTGGAATGTAGGACGCTTTGCAGAAAATATCCATACTCTATTTTTTACAATCATCCATGAATTGATGTCGGTGTTCAAACAATTGAGCAAAATAATTACAAAACGATAATCCAAATGAAGCAATTTGATATAATATTACTCCAATGCTAGGTATATACAAATAAAGTGACCATATTGTACTTGGGGTTCTCTTGTGTTCGGCATTAATTATTGCGACGTAATTATTAATATAGTAATTAAAACAAAACGTATGTCAAAAATAATCTTAGCTCACTAACAGATTGTTGTTTATCACGCAACAAGATTATTGACAAGTACGACACTAACATAAAATGCACCTATTTTAACTAGGAACTATAACAATGGTGTAGACAAACATGGATGTGTTCTTATTTTTCGGCTACAAAAATGTTATTCAACTTAGAATTGGACCCAATAAAAATAGTTTTCCAAGCTAGCTGAAATTCAAATTATTGTATTTTATCATTTCCGTATTCGACAATTGATTTTCCTTAAATGACATTAATGTAGCAACAAAAAATGTTAACATAATATGTTATTAAACAATTTTCAAAATTAAATTATCTAAACCAAAACAAGCAAGTTTAATTTTAAGTCCTAGTTCTATCACAGTAAAATATCGAAACACTCACTTAAATTAGATAAATATCAATGATATTAACATAACACTATTATATTTTTCATTTTAAACGAACGTCTAATCGCCAAAAGAAAATTTTGTCTAGGTAATTGATTTTTGAGGTTATTGTAGAGGATGGCAATGGAATGATAGAATAATATTACTAAGTACCTAATCTTTTAAGTAAAATAATTTAACAAAGGTAAATATTGATTTTGAGATTCTTATGTATTGCCATCATAAAAGAAATGTTGTTCCAGGTAATAGAAAATTTAATTGTTTCGTTAATGTACAATAATTATAGATAAAATTCTGTATAAAAGTAGACTCTTATATTACAAGACCATCACTGTCGTTAATGTTAAAAACCTACAAGTCTAAAGTAATACATACAAACAAAAGTCACTTTACCTAAAGGACCACGTTGTTACTGCCTGTCTACTGTACCTGGTGCAGATTACAAATGCAGTGTGCTGTCCGTTACCAAGATCGACACTAAGATCAATATTTAAGTGTTTTTTAAATTAAATATCAGTCTTGTAACGACGCATGTTTAAGGTCGTGTAAATTTCGATTAACACGGCAGATACAAATTTAAGTAACCCTTGTAAATATTTTGTGACTAGACTATTCTAAAATCGTAAGTACGAGGGATATTTTAAGTTTCTAATATAAATATCGTCATTGAATCTTAGCGCGATCCATATTTAGTGTAGATGAAATCGGATTTCAATGTTAAATTTTGGGATCGTCAGCCCCTTTACGGTAGCGGAAAAAATCAAAAGAATATGCAATGATAACTATTATTTTCTATTCAAAAGAAGGCTATGCGGATAGACGCCTGTCCAAGCCACACAGCACTAATTCAATAACGCTATATAACTAAATAACTACGTCCACCAGTCTATAACCGTTTCGAGACGGAGAAAACGGTTTGAGATTAGAAATCGCATATTTAACGCTTTGATAAATACAACTGTTTATAATACTGGATTTAAAAGTCACTGGATTAATGATAAAATCTACGTACTGCGATCATACTTAAGGTAAGTTAACGTAAAAGATCTATTGCTGTTACGACTTTCCGGTTTCTCTGTACATTTTGTGTGCGTATGCGACCGCCGCGCAAAGCACCGCTGTAGCTGTGGCGGAAGGTTTCTAATAATAGCTGGTCTACGCGTGGCCTAATTGTTGCCGGCAAGCAACCGCTGCAACTAGAGCTGCACCGCGACCGCTGCCGTCCTCAGACAACATAAGGTCAAACTGAAAGTAAAGATAAGAAGGTATTATTAACAAGATCATTAACAAGGACAAACCGTGACTTGTCACTGTGATTTAGGTCTTACGTATATTATACTAATATATAAAGAATGAATGAAGAGTTAGTTTGTTTGAACGCACTAATCTTAGGAACTACGGGTTCGAATTCAAAAATTATTTTTATGTTAGAACATTTATCGAGGAGTGCTATAGGCATATATATAAAGCGAGAAGCAGTGAGAAATGTGAAAAAACAAGGAAAAATTTTCATCTCTGTGGGTTTCCGATGCGTACGCTGCGAATGGCGATGTCGATGTTGGATAGTAGTTGAAATTTATAAAGATGAAGAGGAGGTTTGCAAAAACGTACGCGAACGAAGTCGCTGACACAGCTAGTGTCTCATATAATTTCAAGGAATAGGGCATCCTAGAATCATTTATAGGAATGTAGGATTTATAACTATCTATCACATCTGCCAATTGCGTGCTGTTACATGACATAGTCGTTAAATTTGTGTCCTATACAGAGGGTAAGTGCAAGTGTGTCTCTACCCTAGAACAGAAATAAGTGAAAATATTAAACACTAGCCTATGGCGGCTCTTAAAAATCTTAGCTACTTATTAATATAAGTTGACCTTTATAGTTATGCCGTTCGAATTACACGCAAGGTTATTTATTTGGAATCAGGTTTCTATATGTCACGCTTTTGAACAGGATTTGGAGATATTTTTTGTGTGTAAAATATATTTTTATTATAGTAAATTATATAGAAATAGATAGCGTAGAATAATTTAATTTATTTTAATTATATGCATTGGAAAAGTACCTTCTGGTACATAATTACATTCTACATTCAATAATATACATATATTGATAACAATAGAGCTGCTTACGTAAGGTGAATAACATACCAAATTAAGTACGCTCCATATTATAATGCCTTCTAGTTTATAACAAACACTTTTTTTCTAATTTGTAGGTATAGTTAATTGCCAGTCTTAAAATTGTATTAGCGAATCAACGTCGTTATTTATATCGCCGTCTGTGGTAAGGTGTTAAGATACACAACTTTAAGGAAGAATCTTAATATTTTATTTCCCTCTTTCATATCAACTATTTGTTACGAACCAACCATGATGACGCCCGTGGGTGTGTTTTTTGAAGTATTGTTATTTAAACAATTCTTAAAAAAACAAAATTATCAATGGAATTGTTTATTATACTCGTAGATTATACTGTTTACTTTTAAGTTGGTAAAGTTAATTATTTGGATTTTATAATATTATCAAATAACCATTGAACTTTGTGGCATTGACACGGTGGGCTTGGCTTTTTATCTGTCACGATAAAGGGTGCAAAGTCTGCGACTTTGAAAATATATTTTGTATCTTATCTTTTTTTGGTAAAATATTTATTTATTCTTCCATCCACAAGATTTTCCAAATTTCCTCTAATGGAAATAAGTTATCGAAGGGAATTCATTACTTGTTTAATTTTTCCATTCATTACCTGCATCATTACCTTACTGGGTGTTTCTTAAATAATTAATATATGAATATTAACTTATTCGTTGTAAATTAATTTATTTAAATAAGAAACTGCTTCCTATCTGGAGAAAATATAGTATCTTTGGTCGAGTTAGTAGGTATATGTTTGACAGATGAGGTTAAAGTATTACTCACCTGGATGCCAGGTCGAACTAGCTGCGCGATCTTTTCGCACATTAGCGTGTGGAAGTGAGGGTGGAACCGATAGACGGAGCCATCAATGCCGACGGTGACTCGGGGCTCGTTCATCTTATTGAGGAGAGTCGCGATGCCGGCTGACACCAGGTGGGCGGCACGACGGGAAACACATTCGCAAACGTGGCGCACTCCCGCCATATCTGCTTCTGTGGCGTGGGACAGACCTGGAAAGGCATAACTCATTATCTATAGCGTGAAGTGCTTCATATGACATTTTTTAAAGATTATATAATGTGTAGAAACTTGTCGAGTTTTTTTTAAATTTCTTTCTCTTTCCAAGTTTAAACCTGTACTAAAGGGACACTGTTTTAAGACATAGAATGGATTTAAACTTTAGTACTTATACTTATTTTAAGAACTTAAGACTTTTACGTGCGTGGATATTTATCTTTTTGTGCCCTCTCTGATTTTTTTCAAATCCTTTTTTAATGAAGCAACTGGACAGAGAGTTTAACAATTAGTAGATAAGTATTTTTAACAAACTGTCTGTGCACACTTTGCAAATATAATGGAGAGGTTAATTAGTCGACGTTATGAATATGTAAATGTATATAATATTAATGTTATACGCGATTTTCTCTACAAAGATCGTAGCACTTGACTGCTTTTCGTTATATAACGTGCAAACAAATCGGCTGCCAAAATACGTCAAATCTGCGTCACACTTTTTTATCTCTCTGCGTAACTCGTGCTAATCGTATTTTATTTACTTTGAACCCTAATTACCTAGCTATTTTAGTACTTCGTCTGATTAAAGAGTCGTAACGAAATATCGGACAATTAAGTATCGCATTATATAGAAAAGGCGATTTGAATTATTGAGGGTAGGTATATAATCTCGGGTTACGTAATATTAACTTCGTAACAAAACGTCGGTGACGTCCGGTATCGTTGTTTATTGTTTACAATTTCTGATAACAACAAACTTTAATGGTTTTGACTTTTTCGCCCTCAGATAATATAAATCGTAGAGGTTGGGCTCGAAAGTATCATATGAATGCCACCTTACTTAAGATTTTTATTTCTAGCTTTTGAATAAGAACTTTTTAAAATTAAGAAATATTTTCATTTTTTGACAAAGCTTAAAAAAAGAGGATATAAACTTACCAAGTTCTTCTAGCACCTCCATACAGCTTGTGAAATCGCCGGGCTTATCAGACTCGATCTCAGATACGTATTTGGTGTAAAAGCTTCCTCTTTGGAACAGCAGATCAGATCCACGGCCTCCAAATAAGAGACCCATGCGGGTGTATTTAACCAGTGCCAAGCGTACTAGTTCTCCCATATACATTCCTGATATCATCTTCTCTTGTCTGCAAGCCAAACAATTGTTTATTATTACGTATTTATTAAGAATTTATCGGTTAGAGACACCAATATATTAGTAAATTTTTATACCAACTCTCCTTGTTACCATGACTGATGCGTAAAATCCGGAAAGTTGGATCGCAATTAATCGCGTTGTAAACTGGTAGAAGTACCATAATTAAATAAAGATGGTTGCATACCGAACTTATATTGCTTTCGATTAAAATTAATACTCGAGTTCTTGTGCGTTTTTCGCTTAATATCTCCTATTCGCAAAAAAGGTAATTTTAGCCTTTTGTAATTATCTTTAGGTTTTAATGACATGACAAATTTAGTATTACTTATCATTGGATTGTGGGAATGTGTATGTATGAAGCAAGTCATTTTATTTTGCTCAATTCTTATGTAAAATTTTCCTTATAAAGTGAAACAAGTCGCTCTCTATTACTGTACCTACATTGTTGTAAACTTGCGGACAAAACCTTATTTTCCTCAAGTCTTGAGTCATTATATGTCACACATAGATCTAAATGAACAGAGGCATAGTACACCTAATCAAAATTGATAAGATTGATTTATTACATTTTTATAATTTTATAATCGAAATGAGTCATTGAAACATTTTTGTGACTCAATTCTGTTGTGAATTGTAATATGATCGCTAATCGTAAAGAATTATAAGCCACTAGTCACGTTTTATGCAGGCACTGGTCTTCATAGAACTCTTGAAATCGGATATGAATAACGTGGGAAACATATTGTATTGTACTGAAGTGTTAATGTAGCTTAGACGTCAGCTAAAACTGGTGTCCATTTATCAAAATTACGTGTAAATTTGCGGCAACTTACATCTGTTTCCCGGGATTAATGGATTTGACATCGACTTCTCTATCAAATTCAGTTCTGACAAAGTCTAAGGCGCCATCGTCACCAAAGGCCCCCCATTCTGTGTTGATCAACAGTTCAGGTTTGCCCGGTTCTCCGTCGAACAAATCGCAGTTCTCAGTCTTCTCTACATAACACGCGTTGCTGCCTGTACCTGTATCACATTTCAATTCTTCAATATTATTTCATCTCAAAACGAAGGTTATTCATTTAGGCTCCTTCATGCACATGATACCAATAACGATATTATTCTGAGTAACTCCATGCTTATGAAGAAAGGAAGTTGGTTAGTTTAGTATGGAATAAATTAATTAAAATCTTTTTGACCTTATTCGAAATTAATCTAATGTTATGTTAGATTATCGGATTACGGTATTATTTGGAGCAATTACTTCAGTACTGTGGCTTCGCTTTTCTGAGCCAAGTCAAATCACACCATAAACAAGGTAAACCTACCGACAATAAGTCCTATTTTGCAGTTGTGGTTTTTCCACGCGCAAGACATCAATGTGCCCGTAGTGTCATTGAGAATAGCGCATATATCAATCTGAACATCCTACAAAGATGAGAAAACATGCTGTTATGTTCCAAATCCTAAATCCCAAGTCGTGTACTGTATGTTTAAGTATAAACCCGTGGTGTTGATGATGATACTTAGAGGCTTTCAATATGCTATTTCCCAAATGACCATATAAGTTTCCGATTTATCCCCAGAAACAAAACAATCAAAAGAATTTCCAAATGTCCGACATATTAATTTTTAAATAAAAAAGAAGTCACAGATAAGCGAAAAATGCGTGCAAATTGAAACTTTGACGTCAACTCCAGTTACATGCAGTTATTTTAAAAGTTATTGTCTAAGATTTGTTTAAGAATTCAGAAATAAAATATTCGACCGAGCATTACAGATATAGTAATTATCAAGATATGAAATTGAAAGCCTCTGCCGGCTCTCATTTGCGTCATGCCTTATGTCTAACCGAGAGCGTAGATATCATCGTCAACTCACCGATTATGATTCCTATTCGGCAATGGGGTTCCTTATGTGCACACGACATAAGGGTCCCCGTTGCATCATTAAGGATGCCCATCACAGACAACTTTAGGTCCTGTAAAATCGTAGGCTTTACAAATTACCAAAATTTTTGCTTACTTATTTATTGCAAAATTCTACAGCCGGTGCCCACATCTTTTAAATTATCAGCAGAAGATACGTAAATTATTTGGCGTTAATTTCCTTTGATCTTCAAAAATTATTAAAGCGTCTGAGCGCAATATTATCTTTAGTGACTTTATCGATTCCTAATCTAGGACGTGCTGTTAGTCAGACAGTCAGGGTTAAGAAAACATTTCGCAATTTTACAGAAACATGACTGTAAATTACAGCTAACGATAATGTACTTTTAAAGAGTTTATCCCATTAACTTGTCGCCTATTTCTAGAACGTCAATACTTTGTTTACATGATCTCAGTTAAACGGAACCAATCATGCAGGAGTTGAAACAGATAGCTTACCCCTCTTCTAGCGATAGCGTCTTTGAGACCTTGTACAACATCTTCGCCTACGACCCCAGAACACGAGAAGCCTTTCGTCCAGCGTTGTAACAACCCCTTAGTTAGACCCAATTGTTTTAAAGGAAAACTGAATGTAAAACCGAGAGCCAAACGTTCTTTGTACACATCGTGTTCCTAAAAGAAAAGAATTAAATATGTTATTTGTACTATACTATGCTGTACTGTCTATTTTGTTCGTTTTTTGACAGGTAGCCAAGAATTTCATGTTGGTTTTTTACATTACATTACATACATATATGGTTTTTTAATAGTTATACTAACCTTCATGAAATTGGCTAAACACTCGGCAATGTGATCAAACAATGCGACACCTGTACCGGTCATTATATGATTGGGTATAGCGTAGATTTTCGATTGCATGTCGAAGTGATTTTCCCCAAGATTTATAATAAGCACTCTAAAATTTGTTCCTCCTAAATCCAATGCCAAAAATTTTCCACGTTCTGTAACAAAAAATTAATTGTGCAATTATTTATATATAGATGGCTTTATCTCTCGATAAAAAACTTAGCAGCTTATATAGAGTTGTATAGTTTACCTTTTCCGTTGGGCAAATCTTGAATGTATGTGATCCAGCATTTGACGATGGAGTTGGCGTGAGTATCTTTGCCGAGACCTTTGACCAGGTCGTTATGGAGTCTGTTCATTATCTCCCGGATTTGCTTGTCCGACATGTGAAATACCTCACATTCTTCCCGAATCTGTGCAAAAATAATATATTTAGTCTATATTTAACTAAGCGAAGTCTTGGGTTAGAATCGTAGGGCAGCAAAAAAAAATTAGGTAGGGCAACACATAGAAGTATGATCAACTACCCACTTTCCTATAATAAACGAAATTATATTTTCTTATAAGAAAGGACCTTACTTAACTCATACTTAGTTTTTTCTCTAATTAGAGCGCTAGTACCATATCCATTTCACAAGTTTATTTCGGATTCGACAAAAAAAATTGAAACTATCTAAAGTTAGTTATTTTTAGAAAAACGTAATTGTTAATTTGTATATAGACGTACAAAAATCTATATACAAAGTAAGGTTAATAGGTATCCATGGCCTAGAGTGTAATATACAATGACAGTCCATTTTTTTATCACTTTCGGCGTTTGATACGGTGAATCAGCAAAATTCGTAACGGTCCAAGGTTTATTACGATCAGGTCCTACGATTGCTATAAAGATTTTACTGTATATGCAATGTGTTGTGTAACAATACTCGGGTAACGAAAATACATGTAAATAAAGCTATTTCCCTATGCACGAGCCACCGCTTAATAGTGACGGCGAGCTAACCGTCCAGTTTATCGCGAACGAGTTTCACAAGGTCAAAGCGGTCATTACAACACCACTACTGTCACTAGAGCTACTATGCTTTCCAATATGAATTTCATAGCAAATCAATATAAAGAGATAGTTATAAAAGTAAAAAAAATAGAACTCACCTGCGGTACATGATTTATTGCCATGCCCATTTTTAAATGAACTATTAATTTCCTTCTTAACACAACACCGCGAACACTAAACTCGCGACTTGCTTTACCAGCAAGGAATTAAGAAATGAGGAATAGTGAATAATGTGCTCTGACCGTCGACCGTGCAACGTTTGTACGTTCTACAGACTGACGCGATCTTTTTCATTCATGATAAGAAACTATCGATGTCTCTTTCGTGTGTCCAAATACCGTACGCGTTAGAACGGTGCGACTAGCGTTTTGAGGTATAAGGAAATTGTCGTTCGATTTTTAATGATTTTGAATTAAATTATTTACGTGGACCGATTAGGATTAACGATCGATCATTTGTTTGTATTTGGTTGGGTTATCTGGCCCTTCTGAATATTTATCATTTCTTCTCCGACGCGCCTCTGTACGTTGGATTCCGATTGGACGAAGCGTGGGCTCGTTTGTGACGTCAAACAAATTCCCCAAGTCGTCGTGTTTCTATATTTGCAGAGCTGCCAGTGCAGCAGTGTGCGTGAACATTGTCCGCAATTAACGATGTGTGTTTTAATTAGTAACCCCACTCCTTCTAACTTACTACAGAATCAATTATAACATTATTTCCAAAACTTGCATAAAATCAAATAACTGTAAGTGATACAAATATTTCGTGCAAACTAATAAAGAAGTAGAAGATCCCGTACAAAAACAAGGAATTTAATATTATCTAATTGTAACTTTTTTGCTGACGCTAGTTTCTTTACATGAAGAAATTTTCATTAATTGCATAAATTTAAATGAAATATTCAAATAAAATTTTGCACATCACGTTAATTCATTAGTTACGTATGCCGTGCTAAGAATTAAATTTATTCATTATTTTTGATTTATTAAAGTGCTGATATAAATATTTATTTTTTATAAATGTTTCTATTCTTAAAATTGTGTGTTACTCTATTATTATATATTATTATCATATTACATAGAAATGTATATTATCGCATTTGCTGTTAAATGTAACTGTTTTCAATTACCATAAATACCTAAGCGGGATACATTGACCTACGATGTTAACTGAAGGTGAGGTGGTAAATGACCGGTATTGCCTTGGCGATTTTAAATCTTTGATTGTATGGCATTAAATATTGGTATAAAGTTCTAATAATAATCAGGGTATATATTTATATGAAGGGCGCTCTGCATTGTATCCTGATAAAGACGATTTATAAAAAAAATGAAGTAAATCAGAGACGAGCAAACGTTAGAAGTAGATGTTTTGTAAATCATCTGTTATCATAGTCCTACGTCTTAAATATAGTCTACAATTTTGAACAGTTCGCTACTTGAAGATTGCGACGTATATTTTTAGGTATAGATTTTACAATATCACTTAAAATTATTATGCAGAAAAAATATATTTCTTAAGGTCGGTTGAAAGACGTTGTTGATTTAAACACTTATGACGGAAAATTAAGAAATGTCGAAACACAAACACACTAGAACCGGTCTTTCAAATGCGGAATTGAAGTCAGTTATCGAAAGGTGGTTTGCCTTACTAAAGTAGATACGAGAACACATGCACGCATAAATTTATGTCGCACACATACTAATAGTATGACCTACTTAGATTAAGAAATAGCCTTTTTTGTTTCATTTACGGAAAATACCATCAAATTATATCTAGACCTTTGTACATAACCAGGCAAGATCAGGGCACGAACGAATCTATTTAACAGACTTAAGCCAACTGTAAAAAGACATATACATTAAGTATGTACTATATTTTTTTATACGTCTCTTTTATGTCAACTCGTAAAATAAGAATACGTAATTTTTGTTAGAATCCTATGAGATTATACTTTGAAATTCGTTTTAAATCGATATATTGCGCGAGAGATGCGTGTAAAAAATTGCTATAATTCGATGATCGAGGACGGGACATCGTACTGATATTGGTTAAGCGAAAAGCAGGGAACGCTGTAACCGTGGGCTCAACTGTGTCCCGTGTCATAAATGAAAAATCTAACATAGTTTTTGTCAAAACAAAGAACATATTTATCGTCTTTTGAACTTTATATAAATTGAAATTGCAATAAAGATAAGTATAATACAAGCTTTGTTAATCACGAACTAAACCTATATGGGCAATGTCGATTCATTTATCTTTGATTATTTTTGATATTGTTTATCGTTAGGTACTCTCCCGTCGTAAACTTGGCAGCGTTTATGACAAGCGCATGTCGTGTGTTTAATTTTATTTCTTCTCGTGACCATCATCTAATATGTAATAAGTAGTTTATAAAAATTTCTTTTATATCTTCGGAGGATAGAGATTATATAATTTGGGATAATATTAAAACGGACATTTGAAAAAGATTAATTTTGGCTTTGGACGTTCAGAAATGTACCTACTGACTGACTCAACACCATACAACTCTATGGCTCTGCCACTTGTAGACTAAGGTTCGCAACCGAAAAGAATTTTATTTTTTTTGAACCACATAGAATCGAGATTTTCCAGATGTTTCATATATTTTAGAAAATGTTAGACCCGTAAACATGCAAAAGAAAGAAATGCTATAATTTTACCTATGACCCTGGCTAAAACACATGGCTAGCGCAAAACAATACTATAATAATAATGGAGGTATTATAAGACTTTTTGACTACGTAGGGGAGTACGTTATCAATACATTTTATTGGAATTTGCATTGAAAAGCTATTTGTATATAAATCCTTTTTTGTCGAAATGCCTATGAAGAAAAAATATATTTTATTTATTATTCTCTTTTATGCTTACAGCTTTCGTCTGTACAAATGTATAATATTCAGGATCGCATATCATATGACGTACACAAAAATGGCTGAATTTAAAAATAACCATGGCCTACTTTGAACCAAGAGCGTCTAGTTAGAAAAATCGCTAATGAATTTATTTTTAACAACCGTTAATGAAATTATTTCATTATTTCCCCCCTTTTAACTTTTAGCGTTAGATTATGCAAAATCCTTATTACATCTACAGATAATATAATAAATATAAATATGAGCTAGTTACTAGTGACTACAGATAATGTATAATAATAAATATAAATAATAATTAGTTAATAATTAAATGTTAAATAAATCGAATGTACCGGAAATTGTAACACGATAAAAAATGATCGCATATTTCTTTTATATATCGGATTTTAATTATTACGATATCATATTTCATTCGACTATGATTCTGTATCAACCAGACTGTTATCAGTACTTCAGGATATAGTACTTAGATAATAAGTACCGCATCGCTCCTATCAGTTACAGTGATAGCAATTTTGTTGAGATTCTCTGGCGGTGTTAAGTTAGATTATTTTCGGGAAACTTTTCAATTGTTGAAAGATCGTCTTTAGCTTTAGACCAGTTGGGAATTAAATATTTACTACTCTAATGTTAACTTTTATTGGAAACAGAATACATTAATTATCTATTTGGTGCTTGGAAGAAGACGTTTCATTCTTAATTCTTCTTAAATCACCTACAATACAATTAAGGCTTTATTTGGAGGTTCTTGTGGATATTTATTTGGAGAGTATTTAACGGGTTTACAGATTATTAAAATTTAAAAAAATACTTTCATAACGAACTGACGTTTCGAATGCTTTACAGCTACCGTGGTCACTGTGAACTCTTCCGGTCTTGCTTAAAAATAATTAACTGATTTTTATTTCGCGTTTTAAACTGTCAAAAGTGTTTATTATAGTTGGTTGTTTCTCAAACAATGGCTTAAGATGAGCAAAAACAAATGTCGTATAGAAACTAATTAAAAATGAACCGGACACAATATTCATACAAGTTATGCATGCGAATTGAATTAACAAGTTCATAAATATCGTAAATATCGATAAAACCAGATCATGAGCATACTAATACTCGATGCCACAAGTATTCGTGATAAACGATTTAACACAAAATATGTCAACTTAAACCATCGTGAGAACTAGTAAAATCTGGTTAGAACCGGCCGTAGCACTAGTTTTTATATACTTAGTACCGATATTAAAATACATATTATATTTTTATCGGCTTCATAATAAATCATTTTGTTTCTATGTCTATGTAGTTTACGTGAGCAGTGAACATTAAATGAAACATTTTCTAGGGATTTAATCGCGTAATATTTTTGTATATTTATTTTAAAGTAGGTAGTTAATATATATCGCGGTTTAAACCGTGTTTTTTTTTTCAAGTTTGAGTTGGAGTTTTACCTCTAATACAGTATGGCTAAACTTATATTTGACGGTAAAGTGTACTTTATTGTTCATTGTTTAAACAGTTTGGCAGTTTCACTAAAGTAACTGTATTTGCTTTAGTGAAACTGCCAAATTGTAAGAAAATAATTATCATTTCAAGACACACGTAATCTTATTGAGTGAGGGATAAGCATTTAACGAGGTTAAAGCAATAACAGAGGACATCTTCATGGACAATTTCTTGTATTGGCTCTGGTAGGGAAGGCATTGAATAAAAATTAAAAACGTCATATTTAATTTTGCACACCAGAATAAACTTGTAGTTTTTATATACGTACTACTTGAAACTGTATCCGGTTGTAAGCAATATTATTTTAACGGAGCTCAAATAATATTCTCTGTTTGTATAAGCATCTAGAAAATGTATTGTTTTTTCCATCTACCTACATGTTATGAACATATTTTTGACTGCCACTAGTTATGCAATATATAGAAATTGTTCGTTTCCGGTTACAATAATCGCTAGTCTTTTTAAACTCATTTCAGTGTTTATTGTAGTGACATCGAGACAAGCATGTTTTAACCTGCAGGTTTACTGGGAACGATTGGAAGTTTTCTAGCAAACATTGAACGATATACTCACGATATCTCGCGCTTGACGCATATCGATTCGTCTTGTCAGTCGCGCGGACTGAGATAAAAGGTGATGGACGATGAGCGTTGGAGTCCACAGGTTGATGGCATAAATTCCACTGTTCACAAAGATATTGGCGATATCCGCGTTACGGCGAATACCGG